TCACTGACGTTGTGTTCGGTGATCTGAACTCACCAAATGTGGACCGTGATTTTCTCACCAGTCGTGCAATTTTGACACCTAAAAACAAGGATGTTGCTGTTCTGAACGAGCGGGTTCTCGATCAGTTTCCAGGCGAATACCTTGAGGAGTTAAAAAGAAAAGTGCTGACTCGGTCGACGATCCAGAGGACCAAATCGCTTACCCTCCTGAACTCCTTAATTCCCTTGATCCATCCGACCTTCCACCACATTGCCTCAAGCTTGAAGTTGGCTGCCCAGTGATGTTGCTACGAAACTTGCATACTGGAAATGGTCTCTGCAATGGTACTCGATTGATTGTTCGCTCTGTCCGCCGATATGTCCTTGAAGCCGAGATTGCCACTGGACCACAAACTGGCACAATTGTTCTAATTCCACGCATCACCCTCACACCGTCGCAATCCCGGTGCCCAATACAATTCAAAGGAACGCAGTTCGATTGGCGTATTCAATGACAATCAACAAAGCCCAAGGTCAAACTTTTGACAGCGTTGGTCTCTACCTACCAGAGCCGCCATTTACACATGGCCTCCTATACGTAGCAATGTCTCGGGTCCGTAGACCATCTGCCATCCACATTATGGTCGACCCAGAAAACTCTACTTCACCTGATCAACCTGGGCTCAACACAAGAAATGTCGTATATAATGAAGTTCTTCTATAACTCATATACGAGCATTTATGCTTTTCTCTATCCATTACTATTGATATACTGTCCCTCTTTCCGTTGCTTCATATAGTTCTCTGTTCCATTTTTCCATTGACTTCACTCTACTCTACTTTATTTTTTTTTATCCCATTTCAATACTTAGATTTCTCTTCTTTTACACTCATACCGAACATATATTATGTTCTTATACTTACAATTTATAACACATAACACATTAGAGTAATGTAGGGTTTCGGGTGCTTTAGCGGTTAGGGTTTAGTAATATGCAAAGCGAAGTTGTTTAGGGTTGAATACTTCAAGATCACTGATTCAGCCACGAATAAGCAACGAGAGGGTGGTTTGGGGGCTTGCCACCCAACCTGGAGGTCAAGGGGGGAACCCCTTGCGACGCGTTCCCGTTGAATGACACGGAGCGAAACGGAGGGGCTCATTCAGCCGAGCGAAGCGAGGCAGGGACCGCTAGTCTATGATTATCTGGACAGAAAAGCTAAAACAATCTTATATTACCGCTTTAAAGGCTTACCTTCGTTCGTTAGCTGAGTGGTACCAAGTACTTCGCAGAGACGCCTTGAATTTGATTAATCTGCATGCTCTGCTTGCATACGAAAGCAACGGTGAGATACCCATGCCAGAATTAGACAATCAAACGTATTGGGCTACGGCATTTCGGATGGTGATCACCAATCCAACGCAAGAGGTACCTATCCCGGCTCGCGTGAGAATAATTTCTGTTGCTTGGGATGAATTGTGCATAATATGTACTGTATGTCGCGGAGCATGCAGCACTGACAAGCTTTTTACATTATTGACTTCAATAGACTCCAAACCGCTACGCCGTTCTACGCGATAATTTCAATAATCATTATCAGCCACAACGCCGGAATGCGGAAACAGGAGAAGGTATTAGATATACCGATATGACGCTTTGAAACTGGGTAAATGTAAAACAATGATAGATGTTTGATACTGACTTTCTTAACAGCGTTATACGATCTTCCTGTTCTTCGTCAAGACATATCAATGTCCTTGTTGGCTCGATTAGCACAGCTTTTTGCAGTGAAAGCTAAAACCAGTAAGTGTAGTGTACACGCAAGTCTTACATGCTCTATGTATGATTGTTGAACTATAGAAATAGATAGTAACTAAAAATATAATATATGTAGATGCCATGAATCACCTATGCACCAATATTCCTGTCTTTTTCAAGCGTGTATGGGTCGCATATCTGAGTCATCTGCGCCATGAACATAACCTTACCTTTCGAATCAGCATCTCTAGCATGGGTAAACAAAAGAACGATTTTCTTTTCTACTTAAATTGGTAATACTGGAGTGTTGAAAAATATCTCACCGCTATTTTTTATGATGATCTGCTTATAGCAAAACAAATCTGTAATTTGATCACAACGCACAGAACTCGTTTGACTCAGCGTTTAATTGAACGAATTCCAGCAGCAATCTTTACTGAGGTGCTTCAATATTTCAAGTAAGAAATTACACATAATTTCATTTAAATTGTTACGATAATTATATAGACGCGACACATAGAGAAACACATAGTTATAACTACGACGGTGTTACTATTATGCAACTTTTTAGCCAACACACTGCACGATTTGAACAAGCATATGCCGGCGTGAATTCGCACGCATAGTACAGCAACCGTCTAGATCTGTCCCTGCAATGCTAGTGAATTCGCTACCCTTTTATATCTGGCTGTCACTTGAAGGCCCAACCTTTCCAATACTGTCCCAAGTGGACTCCACTACCACTTGCCAGTCACCGCATTGGATTCATGCCGGTCGACCTCGAAACTATGTATTACATCGTACGCGAAGTGGACGAGCGAGATCCTGCACAAGTGCCAGATAATATTGTGGTAATGATATGCGCTTTTACTCTCTTTGTGTTTCCAGTTATTAAAAGATGTTATCTGTTCATTTACTGGCTTGTTTCCATCGATGCATAAATCTAGAGACCAAATAACGTTCCTGGTCGTGGACGTTGCTTGTCATATCGTGTTTTCAGACAGCAAGATCCTGAGCTGCTTGAAGGCTTCTGGGAGTCGCTATTTAATATCGGTCACGTAGAGTCGCGACGTTGCCGATACGCAGTCGAAGGTAGATTCCGTATACTTTTTGAATAATCACAAAGTGGTATCTTTGATAGTTATATATAAACTCATCTATCTCATATACATTTATAAATATGATGTGCCCAGGTCAAGGTGTTGTGCCCCCAGAAGACTGCGAGCTCAAACTCTTCAGTAACACATTCGAAACGGATGGTGTCGCCATTGTGTTCCATTTTCGCAGGCCTGTGACAACGCGGCGTGGAGGTTGGTAGTACCCTCATAGCATGCAATATTAAAAGTATGTATTTAGTCATGACGACATCTCATAAATCTATTGTTAGAGTATATGCCTTCTAGCTCCAACCAAGTTAAACGTTTTCCTCGTGAAATTGACGTCACACAGTGGAGAAGAGGAATGTATCATCTCTCCAAAGAGCCAGATGGTCTTGATGCAGAGCGGCTTCATAATTTTCGAACAGTGTTCATAGACCCAGGTATATATCTAATCATTCTCAAAATATGTAACGGTATCTAAGTAGATATTCTGTATATTACTTTAGGCATCCGGTATCTGGTCACTGCTGTAGACACTCTTGAGCCGCTCGAAACACCTAGCGAGAGCAGAGCACGTATATCAGCTGAATAACAGAACATACCAGTGAGTACTGCGTGCAGTATATTTACTTTTAGCAAGTATGAGCGTGTGTCCGCGCTTTTTACATCTGATGCCAACATGTTTGATTTTGTACATAACCCTTTTTTAGGTTCCAGTCCATGTTCAAGTGGGCGCTCCAAAAGGAAAACAAAAATCGAGCACGCTATGCTCATGTCGAGCGACAGGCTCATCCGTATCAAGATATCCCAGAGATACAAGAGGTGTATGATATGTTGAGAGGACATCCGGCTTCAGCGCCTACCTCGGAAGGTTTCCGAAACTACATCAGAAAGTTGAGTGGCGTGCACAGACAGTAAGTTACTCAGCTATGTCGATATATACTGGAACACCGTGATCATCATTTTGGCATGAGAATTCACTCTAGTTTTTTTTTTAAAAAAAATAGCGTCCATGAACAATTCAACAAACATTTCTTTCACCGGGAAACGTTACTCACTCTTTTTTCTGCGCGCAAAAGCGCATTGGAGAATCTTGCCAACAGATGGATAGGGTTGGATCACCGTGACGATGTAAGTATCTTTCTGTGTATGAGTACTTCTTTGATAAGTCGCAAAAGCTAATATGGTTACTTCAAGGTACCTCTCCCTTTCTTCAATAAGGCCTCCAAACGCGAACGCAAAGCTCACCGCCGCCGATTTTTGCCGACCGCGCCGCGCACATGCAGGATTCAGAGTGGAAGACAATTTACTGTAGCATATGGTGATGGAAGGTTTAAGCCCTCCTTCAAAGGATTTGAACCTATTCCTGTTGAGGTAAATAAGAAAATTTATCTGGCAGACGTGATGGAACGTTAATTAGTGACGAATGAAGCGAGTGTCCTTGCTATGAATTGACGCCTATATTATAAATTACTTTGTAGACGTTCCGGGCGGTTCTAGCAAGACGTGTAATGGTCATGCTCATCGATGAGTATCAAACCAGTGTTGTGTGCAGTGCTTGCGATGCCAACACGCGTCAATTTCGAGACCGTCCAGGAAGTGTTCAAGTGTGCCGCGAGCACACAAAGCGGAGAATTCGTCGGATTCGCGAACGTGCTGAAGACGATGGACACAAAAACAATGCCCGACGGCAGCTCTGGTGTGTGGATGACGACGGCCATAACCTTTGGCCAACATCGACTTGCAACGACCGTCAAAACGCTGGTACGTAATATAGGCTTTGTTACTTTCTATCGTGTATACAAAAAGTTTGTGAAACAGTGAGAGAGCTTCAATAGCTAATATTATGGTTGTAATAATATACCAAAACTTATTTTCAGCTGGTTCCCAATTATCCGTGTATCCGTTGAAGTTCTGCGATTATTGTCCTGCAACTACTGTAAGTAGCTAGTATTTGATTGATTTATTACATCAGTGCCTTGATAATTCATCATACGACTTGCGCATAAGCTTACATTATCTATACATATAGTTGTGGGACCGTGATAATAATGCTGCCCGAAACATTGGTCGTATCTTCATGCAATACGTCCAAACTGGTAATTTGAGATCGCGACCACCGTCGATGCGTCGTCCCGCTGGAGAAAATGTGTTAGACGATGCCCACGACGACGAGTTTGAAGAGGAGGAGGAAAACGAAGAAGAAGGAGAAGAAGAGCAGGCCTTGGCGCCTGTCATGGAGTGAGTGGAGGGCCACTCCAACGAGATACAAATTGGGGGGAGGTAAGTATCTTATTCCACACTCGTTTCTTTACTTTTGTAACAGCTGTGCATACTCTTCAATGCACTTCTTTCCTTCTTTCTGTTGCATTTATTCTCCGCTTCTTATTTCTAATTTTTCTTTGATGAATAAAAGACCCCCAGTCATAGTACAAGAACAAAGTGCGGGACAATAATGAGAACCGATGAACGCAAAAGCAAGCTGCTCCTGATAATCATCTTTGCATAAAAGCGACGGGGCTTGTTTCTCATCATATTTGCCAGAGCAAGCAGATGTGCACTACGCCTGTTCCTGCATCGAAAAGCTGAAAACCATCATGATATTCATTGCTGTAACAGACGCTGCAAAAACTTGGAACTGGATTAGTTGTAGTTGTTGGATAGCGACTGTAGCATATATCGTCACTTTATGTTAAGGATGTAGGTGTAAGAAATGCATAGCCATACTATGGTTCGCTGTAATAATGAGCCCATATAAATCTCATTCCTTGTATTCTCGTTTAAAAGGAGACACTGTTATGGTTACTTGAACAACTTCGAACAACTAAATCACCAAGTTAACACATATAATGTAAGAACAAAAGAGCGAGTCAAGAAGTGTTGTTACCTTTACATCAAGTACTATCACGCACTTATACTGATACAACCCAGATATGTTAGCTCACTATTCGCTATGCTGAATGATTAAGAAACCAATGATACGTAACCCATAAGTACAAGATAAAAGATATGTCATTAAGCTAATGGCTATTCATTTGTTGCCATGGCAACGAATCAGCAAAAATTAAACACAGTATACATGCAAAGATAACACGACGGTATATAACTATATACATACCTTCCGTACTATGCGAAGTGCTAAGGTAGAATCAATACGATTCCCTCTTGACATAGACGGCAGTAGCTATGAAATCGTTGATTCGAACATGATGCAGCCTGTGGTGGGTCGGTATGTTTATATGCGCTTAAAATAACGGCTGGGAACTACGAACGTAAAGTATTCTTTGTGGATGACGGTGATGCCCTTACTGTTAAAGCAGCAACACATAAATAACGAGAAATCAAAGTAACTCAACCGGTTCCAGTCGGCCAGATCTACAGTGTTTACCAATCAGCAACACCTTGGTCGTCTGGACCGGACCATGCTGATTTTCAAAGGTCAGCAACACAGTAACTGCGCTTCTCAGAGCAAGTTAACATAAGGTAGTGGAGGTATATAGAAAACGCATGAATTGTATTTTGTTGCTTGGATTTCTGCAGAGTATACGGAAAAAGTCGAAAGCTATTTGTTGCACCTTTCTTCCTCCTTTTCTTATGAAATCAGACAAAATGATGCACTTTTCTTTGTTGTCGATGTCATCCCAATCTTTTTCTCCTGCAACAGCCGCTACTTCTATAAAGCGGGTCCATTGTCTCTTTCTTATTTTAGCTCCCCACTTCATCAACGAGACTCTTCTATTTTATCCGTGTACATGCCTCACCTCCAGCGTACTCGATTAATTACATTCCTCATTCATTGTAACGGCTGGGCGTTACCAATTTTATTGTTATAGACGAGTGTAAATCATTTCGATTATATATGTGCCTGTAATCGCTGTTAATAAAAAGAAAAGATAAGATTGCAGCTTCTTGCCACATGTGCGAGAAAATTGTTTGCTTAAGGCATCGATCTATGGCAAAACACTAATTTACAGTTAATACAAAATAGCCGTATCGACGACTGGAAATTAACACCTAACATTGATGGAGACGCATGTGGCTCTTATCGCATCTGCTGTGTCCATCAAGCTATACAATATTGCTATGCCTATGCATGAAAATGCTCACAACGCGTCAACGCTGAGATCAGTGCGCTTGAGGTAACTTGTTGGAGTACATATCCTTGGGACGGCTCGGCTTAAATAAACAGCCTTGGGTTAACAATCCGTGGCAACATCGTATCAGTATATGGAAGCTCATGTCCTTGCAGACATATCTCACTCTATTCTTCTCTCTTTCTTTTGTCAAACAATACTGCTGCTTTAATAAACTATGTTGCTGTGAAGCAACATTAAAGTCGCTCATTATTCAATATGCTGTTTGTTGGAAATGTGGCTGTATCATTGATAGTGTGAGCGTGGCGGGCGTAAGGCGGATGCGTAAGGAGAAATGGAAGATGAGGATGTAAAGAAGCTAACGCCATACTGTTACTTCTGATTGATTCGATAATTACAAGTAGCGAAGTAGGGCCATGTTGACAAATGGCGTGGGCCTGTAAGCCCGAAGACGGAGTGAAGAAGGTTATGCATTGTGCTCGTCGGAACGTACAAATATTGTGTGCGACCAATAGACTAACGCCCTTAACTGCGACCAGTTTCGCACGCAGCACGCCTCTGTCCAAATTGCGGCACGCGTGACTGCAGAGAAAATAAACTCTCCCTTGGGAACCTCCTCCATAAAAAAAAAAGAGCAATAATAAGCATTCAAACTCCCCGAGCAATGTATTATAGACTAGGATCCCATTTTATCACATGTAGATTGATATTTAGCAATAGAATGCTTCTCATCATGTATTCTATACATCTCTTACTTATAAATGACTGACATTATACCTCTCTATTGCTGTTTTTCGAAATCTAAGTAAAATATCATGTTTTTTTTTTCGCTCGGATACATGTTTTACCGACAGAAGTCTAAGCGTCTCCTATGATTCCTGCATTTTAAGATTAGACAGCTTTTTACAAACTATAATCTTCTCTGCTAATAGTACGCATATCATATTGTGGATTGCTACACACACACACACACACACACACACGAGCAACACAGCAGGGTTTTCTGTCCTACCCATTTGGGGCACAGGGCACACACATATTTCAGCCCAGCTCATGACGACAATGGTGATCAAGGGCACTACCACAAAAGGAAGTTACCGTTTCTTCTCTTCTTTCTCGTTCTACATGATTCTGCTGTATCTCTGTTTTGCTACCGGCTGCTTTCTTTTTGGCAAGTCGGACTTTGTGGGTAAAAGGTTGCGAATTCGTCATTGATCGCATAATGATAGAAAATGTGGCATGTGAAGAGAGACAGAAACAGGCAGAAGAAGATGATTTCTGCAGAAAATAGGTAGTACCTGACATATCGTGGAGACGGACATTTTCGATAATACTCTGGCATATCCTAACGATACAAATAACAGCGGTCTTGTTGTCTCTTTGACTTGGCACCAGTGATTTTGGCAGTGGTGCTGGCTGCAGTGGAGATTTGGTTTCTGTGGCAACGAATGAACTTTTTATCTCGCGTGAATCGCGACTGATTTCTGTCAGTTAATTTGCGATATTTTACAACTGGCATCATTCCCGGCCGGCGTGTTATACTAATGACAGGCAGTAGTAGTATATTCATGTATCACATAGATCATTCCGATAGAAATCTTGATGATTTCTTCTCCTTATGGCATATCCGATTCGTGAATGACGTTGAGTTAGAGGTACTATCCGTTTGCGGGAACAATACCTTTGTAGTTTATAGGAGATATAGAAGAGAGACTATTATATTACACGCGTGCGTTAGGTAGAGTTGGTTTAGACGGTCACTCGTCAAGCTCGCTTTGCGTGAAGGAGTTTTCTGTTAGTGTTGTAAATTTAGGATACCACGATGTAGTAATGTTGCTGATACCTGCACCACCTGAGCTATACATACGCTTTATGCCATCGGTTGGTCCGGCAAAGCCAGCTATATGCACTCAAGGATAATAATCACGGTACTTATGCTTGGATTTGACCACGATCTTCATGCTCGTTTTTGGATAATATCGCTAGGAAAAGCTAGAGTGGAGTATCAAGCTAATGAATAATTCCATCGACAACTTATATTGACATTGCACAGCTAACAACTTCCCTTGTTCTTATGATTCTAGTTGTACGAGTACTCGCTGGGCTGTCATTCGATCCCTCAAACTCATGCTTGCTATGCCAGCCAAGGTTTTTATTGTCAATGCTAGCTGGTTTTCGGTTATTGATACTTTTAAAAACGAGGGACAGTATAGAAAATCCGTTTACAAGGAAGTTTGCTTTGAAGATCAGCTTCGTCCTTGTGTTTTTCCTTTTACTTGATAAGTATTGCTAATACAATAACAAAGAGCACATGTTTAATAGACGGGGGACAACAGCAACAAGGTCTTTAATTTTATTTGGTCAAATTTTCCAATAATGGCAAGAAGCTCGTCCCAAAACAAGAGATTCGATGTCTTAGCTTCCCTGTTCTTAGGCTAAGGGAAGGTGCATCGACATCTGTTCCCGTAACCCTCTACCACAAAGCTAGGGGCTTGTCTTGGTCGCTTTGTGGGTCATGGAAGGTCCGTTTGGTTTTGAAATGCCCAATCCGGTCTCACCAATCGCGACGTGCCTACCTTAGAAGTCGCCCCGTGCCAACAAAACAAGCATCAACACACACACTGAAAAAAAGGAAGGGACTTACCACACATGATCCAAAAGAGAAGAGAAAAAGCGAGGAAGCAACACGCTGCGGAAAATGGGTGCCTTTTCATGCACACGTTCAAGACCCCGCTTCTTTTGAAAAAAAAAAAATACCCCCCACTCCCATCCACAGGTCCGTGCTAACAACGCGGGGAACAATGACAGATCTTCTGTATCGTAGCGACAGTATGTAACACTATTACAACGCGCTTTACCACACTTTGGTACGCGTTTTTCACCTATTTTTTTTTGTTTCTATCTTCGCGTAGTTCGTTCGCAAAAATAATTGAAAGGAAAAAAATCATTCGGAGGGTACCAGCCGAAACCTGTTTTTTGAATTTTTTTCACATGTATCATTCATCACCCGTACGCACGCCGAGGAAGTAAACTCCACATCTGATTGGCTTTGTGTCGCTACTGCTAAGGGAGGTGGATGAGAAAATGAGCAAACCCAACAGCACTATCAACCTGAAGAAGCAGCCTGTATCGATAATAGTAGTTCTAGGATGACGCGCATACTATGCTGAAAACAGCCATGCTGCTCTATAGTCTGCCCTTGACAGTTTAGTTTAAGCTGTCCACATCCATCATTGCGGGCTTGGAGGATCGGCAACCGATAATTGCGTGAGAATCGATGTCTACTTGGGAGACGGAGTGCTGGGAGTCTCTCATGTGAAAATCGTAGGCTGGACCTTATGGTGCCTTGTGCGAGCAAAACATCCCCTTTTCTTTTCTGCCGAGCATCAGCATCGTTGAAGAAAAGGAGAGGGTGTGTTGATATCATCCAAACGTCAAGTCGTTACAATATTTTGAAACACACCTCTTTCAAAAAATGGCATTTCTGATATATTATAATGCACGCCACGCTGAACGCGAGACCCGTTTACGCGACAAGGCTAGCAGCAGCATGAAACAGCAAGTTAAGGAAATGGTATTAGGGAGTCCTTGAACAGCCTGGACCGCAAGTTGCCAGTCTATCATAATCATGTGGGCGTGTGTGCGCTGCGCACTGCTTTCCATGGATTGTAGGGGTTGATGATACCAAAAGATATAAATACGTTCTTTTTTAAAACTAACGCCCTTAACTTCTATACTACAGTCACCATAGCCGTGCCCACAAACAGCAAGCGTGCCCAAAACCCTCATAAATCCCAAAATGTTCCGTTCTATTGTAGCATTCCTCGCTACTGTCTACAACGCTTCTCCGTTTGCTGCTTTACAATCTGACAATTACGCATGGACCTACGCTTCTCCGTTTGCTGCTTCACAAATTGACAGTTACGCATTGACAAATTCTTCCTCATTTTCATCCACATCAGCACAGTCAACTGCATCCTACCGTCCTTCCAATCCTGCTGAACCCATCCGTAACACTCGACGCCGTTTACTGCTAACAACTACATCTACGCCCAGCACCCCTGCCTTTCGACGGCATTTTGAAATATCAGAAGCACGACCACGCCATACTCCATCACGAGACAACAGTGATCCAACGGTGCTCACGGACGCCAATTGGTTGACGAATCGTCGTTTTGTTCGCGGCGATCGTCTGGAACGTTCTGGTCCCCGTGACAATCTAATGTTGTTGGCTGAAGAAGAAGAGCAGAATGCGCAGCGTGCATTACAAGCAGCCACTACTGAACGAAACCGACAACAACAAGGACAACAGCTCACGGACGCCAATTGGTTGACGAATCGTCGTTTTGTTCGCGGCGATCGTCTGGAACGTTCTGGTCCCCGTGACAATCTAATGTTGTTGGCTGAAGAAGAAGAGCAGAATGCGCAGCGGGCATTACAAGCAGCCACTACTGAACGAAACCGACAACAACAAGGTCAACAGCTCACGGACGCTAATTGGTTGACGAATCGTCGTTTTGTTCGCGGCGATCGTCTGGAACGTTCTGGTCCCCGTGACAATCTAATGTTGTTGGCTGAAGAAGAAGAGCAGAATGCGCAGCGTGCATTACAAGCAGCCAATGCTGAATTAAACCGACAACAACAACAATCTCAAATACCACCACCATCACAACAACAACAACAATTGCGTGAACGACAAGAACAACAGACTGTAGACGGCGTTGCACCGCAGCACCAGGAGCAACAAGTGCAACAAGAGAGTTATTCTGAGGCATCAGAGTACTCTTATCGTTCACAAAGGGCCACGACCATTGCAGTGACGCCCCAGTTCGAAAGCTTTATTACTGATGCAACCTACTTCCCTACGGCAAATATTTCGACAGCATCTGAAGACGAGCCCTTCGTACTTCGACTTCCAGCACGCGACGCTCGTTTGGCTGGCCAAAGCGTTGCTGAATGGGCTGGATTAAGAACGACCAAAAAATGTTACGCAGGTTTAAAACGCTCATGTATGTTGTCGTCCCCTCTCTTTCTCCCCCATCTTCTCCTCTCTTCCGCTCTGATCACTCCCTAGAAAACGCACATGCGAATGGCGGAAAATTTCATTAACTAATATGCTCCTTACATATATTCTACAACAATAGTTTCAGATTATCTTGATGGCCACGACGATTATCCAGAGGAGAACCGAACAATCAACCACCATATACAAGATGCATGCCCACAAAAGAAAGGCAGCACCCACGAAATGAAATGGAAAAACACTCAAAAGAATCTGGAGCGGATGGACGACATGTACAACACCACATTTTCGGCGTGGGTCCAAGCTGAAGAAAATGCATTGACAACAGCAACACATTTGAAACGTCTCGCCTATGAATACTCGCTCGACCGACTCATACATGCTATCAAGTGGATAATTACCGATTGGCGCTTACAGAACATTGCCACATTGATCAAACATGTGATTAGCGACTGGGATTCTGATAACGGCAAGTATTCCATGCATCATTGATTGCGATCTAACGAAAAAGAAAAGAGACATACAGCTAACCCCGGATATGTTTACATGTAAATTTTACTCCTCTATCCGTGTGCCGTTTTGCTTCTTGATATCTCTGAATAGGCCATTTGAACGTGGCGCGAATGCTTCGAGAAGTTACAGAGGGATGGGAACAAATTGAATTTGTTACCGCGTTGGTAGCTGATGTGATGGCGTTTCGTGACGAACCAGATCATATCAAGGCATCATTTTTAAGGTCTTTATGCGAAAACTGGGATTTCTCAAAGCTATCTGCGTTCTTGATGCGGCTTGACAGCAACGACCACAAAATCGACCACAAAATCAAATGCGAGCTCTTACACAGAGCAGCAAAGACCGAACAGCGAAAGATCGAGTTACGCCTGAGGCCCAAACGACAACGCACACAATTACACTTATAACATTTTAATTAATAATAGTAATAGTACAGTATTAATTCATCATTTTTATCATTCTTCTTCACACACATCCACGCAGTTCACCAACCCGCTCTCACGCACGCATATCACTTACTCTCAAACCGAATAAAATATGCACCGTTACAATACGTATACATAAAGTCCTATTAACTACATACTGTATAAGCACTAGCTATGGTGTGCATGCATTTCGCTAGAATACCTTCGTTGCTAGTTTTTCAAAAGAGAATACAGAGCGCAAACACATTATTACACTGTTCAAAGACATCATCAGATAAGATATTTGGTTAACATCAAAAGTATACACAGACAACTACCACGGCAACCAGCTAAGCATTGTAGCATAGACACAATCCATCCGAATTTGTAAAGCACGGAAACACTATACTCGGATTATCCAGCTTTTCTAAGCAGTAGCAGTACGATTGCCATTACATCATGAATGTGGAAGATCTTACACCTGTACAACGAGGGGCGGCTATAAGCCGATACTGTATGGACTGACGCAATATGATGCATAGGCGTATGTCGTTAGTGGCCTCTTGATATTCTTTACGATAATTTAGAAAAAGAAGGTCTGCTGATGATGCACTTAAAATGGATGTCTTGTCACAAAAAAAAAAAAGCACCTGGCAGTGGCAGGTGGAAACGAGCGGATGGGCGATGATAGCGGATAGTGTTATGCAAGCTAATCAATACTTATCATCAGCTGATTTGGGCACCGTTTCACTGTGCCGATCCACGCCTGCCGGCTATCGCACATGCGATGAAGACTGCTGTCTTCGCACGTCGCTTTTGCTCCCAACCCAAAACCACTCTTCTATGCATCGCCATCGTTCAAGCGATCTGGTCAGCACATTGGTTTTTCATATTCGAAGGCCACCCTTTCATTCCGCAGGCAGTAGCTGCTCATGCCACTGCCATCTATCACCGCACAAATCACTTTTCTGTTCCTCATTTTATCATACATGTATTCACACCCAATAGTCCGTCACTCCTCTGGACACTCTGTTAGGGAATAAGTTTTGCCTCCAGACCATAAAAAAAATACTTATGATCAGAATGATTGGGCGTGTACTAGTTTTGGTTAGCGCCAAGCTCAAGCCAGGGATCAAAGGGTCTCGGTACAGTGTCTACCGTCAATGTTGCTTATGTTGAATACGAGATTATTTTTGGATTTGTACCGCGTCGATATTGGGCCGGTGAACAATAGCTTCGGATGATAACGATATATTCGCGCAAGGTGTTGGCGAAATATACATCATTTTTGGTTTGGAGTAAGTATGTGCTGAATGGTCGTATCCAGCTTCCTGATGGGATAAATGAGCCATTGTAGAAAGTCTCGGCCGTTGTTGGATCAACCATGGTGCGATGTGGTGGTGTGTGTAACAAACAAAAGACGCACTCTTAATCAAGTATCAAGTATATACCCACGATCCCTCAAGCCCGCAATGATGGAGGTGGCCAGCTTAAAAGTAGAGTGTCAAGAGCATGGCTGTTTTCAACATAGTATGCGCGTCATCCTGTATACAGGCTGCTTCAATATTTGGTTTGGTAGCCTCAGAACATTTTTTTTTTCTTTTCGATTATTTTCGCGAGCACGACTACGCGACCACAGAAAGTAACAAAAAAAGTGCTGGCGTATTTATGTTTTTTTTGGGTTTTAAAAAATCACGTCCAGGCCCGTGCTAACAATACAGGCAGCAACAGCAACACGATCACACTTTCTTTTGTTACTTTCACTCTCTTCACTTTTCTTTTCCCTTCACTCCCTTGGATCCTCCTGGTCTTTCTCTTGGCTCTTCCCTTGGTTCTGGTCTTCCCCTCGCTCTGGCTCTTCCCTTGGTCCTGGTCTTGCCTCTGTCGGTCCTGGTCTCAGCCTTTTTCCCGTGGTCTGGCGTTCAACGGTGTTGGTCGCAACCGGTCTTCAGGCGAGATCAGAGGACGGAGAAATCCTTCTCTGTTTTTGCCATGGAAACATGGTAGCGTAGTTATCACCATCACCCTTGCCATATACCCATACACAATAACAGCAACAACACTCTTGCACGGATATCCTCTACCTCATTTTACCTAACTAGCTAAAGCTCTTCCTCTCACACCCATTTGCATTTGTTACACATATCAAAAATTATACCTTGGGGGTATCGTTTAAAGTTTGATTGTATGGTACAATGGTCACCAATTTTTTGTATATTGTGTAATGGTAAAGAACGACAATGTGTGCCAAAAATAAAGTCATTGACCGAACTGAAGTGATTGTTTTTCCTTTATTTTATGGAAGAAGGAGGGGTATACACGTACATTTTATATGTAAGCTATATAAAAATAATTATATGCTAGCCGGATGCTGTTAGAGGAAGCTTATTTCTACGGTTGTCATTGCTTCTGACTATTTCTTAGCAAACAGTTTGGGTAAAATCGTAAATCGTAATGCAAGCATAAAAAGAGATGCTCCCACGGTCATGGCACCGCCAAATTGAATAGCAGATGTCCAGCCGTAGTCTGTCTGGATGAGACCGATAATGGGTGTACCAACCAAATTTCCGAAGAAACTGAAGCCATAGGTTAGTCCAACAGCTCGCTGGATTTGTTCTACACCAGCAACTTCGGCTGCAACGACAGGGAAAAGCGACACAAATCCACCACCAGTGAGACCGTAACTGCACATCATGCCATGAAAGAATATAACGTTAGTTTCAGCAGGATTTCCTTCCAACATCAAAGTACATATCACAAAAAGAAGTTAGAGTGAAAGACTTACAGAACACAATAAGCCACGAAAGCACCGTATGTATTGGCGAATTGCCAGATGACCATCGTAAATACCTATGATACATATTTTTTAGCCCATCATCATATAGAAGCTCCATTTGAAGAGTGCGCTATAGTAGCTGTATAAAAGAGCCCATCCTTACCCCTGACATGAAAGTACACGCAAACATGACGTTCATATTCCCAAGCCTGTCAGCAAAGAACCCGAGGCAAATGCGACATACGGCATTCATTCCCGACAATATGGAAATAAGTGTTGATCCGCGCGCAGCGTCAACGCCAATGTAAGACGCGTACGTCGGTGCAAGAAAAAAGGGGGCAACGTAACCAAAAGGCACCAGGAACGCAAAAATCACCAAGAGCAAGAACGGAATCGTCATCATTGACTTGTCAAAGAAGGCACCGAAACCATTTCCGTTGCTGGATGGTGGTGGACGATATCGCGAACGCGCCAGCGCGGTCGCAATCAATAAAATGCCAAAATTCATTGCTCCCAAGATCCGCAGTGCCATGCGATATCCCATCGAATCAATAAGAGACTGGGTCATTGGCGATATAGCGACGCCGCCAATACCTGATCCGGATACGGCGATACCGCATGCTAGGGCACGGTTTTTGGTGAACCACTGAGGTGGAAGTGTGAGAGAGGGAGAGAATACAAAGGCACCACCAATGCCGACTAATAGACCCTGGGTGAGGTAGAGCTGCCACAGCGCAGTATTGAAGCTGGCCAAAATCAAGCCCAGGGGAGATATAAATGCGCCGATCAACATGGTGCCGCGAAATCCGATTTTTTGTATCAATGGTGTTAAAAAGACCCCGAACGAAACCAACACCGAGTTGCTGAGTGTGCCGATAAAAGAGATCTGGAGTTGGTCCGTTTCATCCTTGAACACTTCTTGAAGATACCTAATGTAAAATGCTATTATTAGCAGGATGTAAATCCACAAGAAGAAAGAGAGATTCTCTGAATCGTACAATTTCTGAAAATTTCCCCATGAAAATGTGTTGCCAAAAACTGCAAAGTTGACTAAAAAGGCAGCGGCGACTGCACACCAGCCAGGATTACGCCAGCCTTCGGTTTCTAATGGTTGTTCCCAAGGCTTTTTATCATCTACAGGTGACGGTGTAATCGTTTTTTCACCATGGTCGTTATCGTCGTCTCTATTATCGCTATTTTCCGTACGCTTTGAAAAAACACGTGTGATCTCGTTTACTGAAGCCAATGATGGAAAGGGGGCTGATTCCAACAGGTGTGGATAGTTTGTTGATGCTAGCTGTTCGTTATTATGTTGTTGATCTTGTTGCTCTAAATCAGCGTCGTTCGCTTTGTACTCTTCTTTTATGCTCGAGGCATTTGATGTAACCGTCCGTATTGAAGCTGCAGTCCCCATTCTTCTTCTACCCTCGATCCCGGCGTTGTGGGGTAGTAATAGTGATGTGTGCTTTTGTGAGACTGGGTGAAAAAAGAAATTTAGAAAACAGTAACAAAAAAGAAGGTGGGAACATTTATAAACCTGCTGAGGGGGAAAGGTTGACGCGATCCATCGTGATTCTGTGCTACAGAATCATGGTGCTTTCCATTATGATAAAATGGTGTGTAAGGAAAAATAACACATTAGGCGGGCGCCGGCTTCTCCGAAACGTGGGTTATTTTCTTTAGCGTTCCCCATTTTCCCGTCTACTGGTTTTATTACGCTGTCAAAAAAAAAGGAAAAAGAGCTTAATGCTGTAAGCTCAGCAACAATACCAGTTGTAACCATGGCAAATCATAGCTTCCATAGAAATGCATGTCCCTGGTATTCAGGAACAAAAGTCAGTGCTAACCGACGGCTCTGTGTGTTACATTCATTCGCCGAATGATGTGTTCTCTAGTTTCCATTAGCAAACAAAGATTCCTTCATGTCAATCGAGATGATCTCGACGATTGCCGACAAAATCAACGAGCAGCAAGAATTGTGTCTCGGTTTGAATGTCGTCTCAATACGCTCTTTTATTCATTATGCAAGCGTACTGCTGTTTGATCTGACACTACGAAATAATATTTTTAGGTATAAGATCACATTTCGATTTGCTTTAGTAATCAGTTAAAGGGTAAATGCCTCTTGTGAACCCATGCGCTATTAATGGATAATATTTCCCGGTTTAACAAAAATATGCAAGGGGTTTGCTCAGGTTAGCATACATATAAGCCGAATATAAGGCAAATTCTCTAGTTCGTCAACGCAAGAAAAAGGAGGGAATGGGAAAAGGTTGCGCCTGTTGTAGAAAAATATGACATGTGGTGCAAACTAAAGAAGACGTCATTATATCACGCAGTTGAGCGACACATATGCAGCATCATCCAATGAGTATAGAAGGATGATTTGTTTTATTCTTTTAGTCTGACTAATCCAGCAGAGAAATATGTAGTACGAGAAAGTGAAAATTCTAGTAGCTATCGCTGTCACATGATTTAACGAATAAGGACATCATTTTCTGTATTGCCCGATTCGTATCGAAGGGTTAGAAAGACCAAATAATTCTGTATGTACATACTCCAAGCAAGTAAACAGCAGAAGTATATCTCAGAAAAACGAAAAGTTATTGCTACTCTTCTCTAATATGTTTTATCACTTGTATTGCTACAAATATTTTGCTACCCTTGGCTTCGCTTCCTTGAATTGTTACTCGTGAAATTTCGAAACAGCGAGCGAATCAATCATTTGGCAGCATAATTTCAGTACAGCGAATTCAATCAATTATGGATGAACTTTGGATGCTCATATTGATTGTTATTCCTAGTCATAGTGGTATTCCATAACTGAATATTGTCATCAATGTGGTGGTATTTGCTATCATTTCTGCACATTCAAAATAAAATTGAAGGCTATTTTACGACTCTGATGAGACGAAAATGGAACGTATGATGTGGGATATCTCCTCCGACAGTATTGTTTGTCTATTTTAACTCGTTTTTGTTGCATCGTACAAAACATCGATCTGTTACAGGGGATCCACACTTTCCGCAGCGTTTTCCAAAGAGATGTCACAAAAGGCTTGATAATTGGTAAGATGGCAATTTGTAATTAGCAACAAGTTTAAACCACATTTATTATCTTAAATAAGGGTGATAAGTTCAATAAAGTATAATTTTACATTTGCCGCTCATTAACGAGATTAACCAGGACCACAGAAGGTATGAAATATATATATAATAGAAAATGAAACATATTTGATTCTATAATAGCTCACTCTGCACTGTAGTCAGTACATAATAATGGACATTGTCCGTTGAATGCCATATATAATGTAGGAAACAACAAGGACGCCACTAATCAATACCTGATCCAGGCACGATTTATCGTAAGCTATTGCGGCGGAGCTAATATTTGTGAAGGAGGAGAGACGGATGATCCAGCATTGACGATCAAGAGTCCCTTGTGTAAGATAAAGTTGCCGTAGTGCAGTAGAATTGAAGCTAGCTAGAACTTGACCGAAGAGGTAAAATCGTCTTTGTACTATCGGTGTAAGGAAGAACAATGAATCCAAATGACGTATAAGGTACAGTAATACTTGGCACAAGGTGCCCATTAAGAATAGTCACTAGAGTATGATTCGCCCATTCAAAGACGTATATGCTACAGAAACAATGATGTAGCACAGTCGTTGCTTAGACAATCTACCACAATGGAACAGCACACAGTTGCTACTGCTACATTGACAGTGCTTAGAAATAAACGACGTTATGTTTTCTTTGTAACAAATCCATGTTGTGTGCTTTAGCTGCTATCAGTAGAACTTGTTGCAAGTGGCACAGTATCGTCAGCATACATTGGGCTTGGTAGGAGTACATAGTTGAAGTACTATGATGTGTATACTCATATAAGAAGTAGCTATAGGGAGTGAGCGTCTGTCTACCGGAGCGATATGATGTGATCATGAAGATGGTGGCGATGCAGTGGGTGGTTTGTTTACTTGTGCCAAAAAGTGCTATTTTTGATGATGATGATGATGGTGGTATATACTCTCTATGTTTCGGGCTCCCCTTTCACCCTGGGGGAGCACTCCGCTCCCTGTCCCCGTCGTTTGTAACAAACTCATCTTCTCCTGGCTGACACGGCCAATGAGTCCGAAATAGTATAGCATAATGTAGACAAACTGCATGAAGAGGTGTTGTCGGATATAGATACAGAAGTAGGAGAAAGAAGGGAGGGTGTACATGTGTAGTATGTAATGTACAACATGCTTTTGTGAGTGCTGTGCTTACATGTAGACAATGTATGTAGATCTTCTGCAACATAATGAGTTTTAATTAATAGCAATAATGACATTCTGAAAGCGACGAAGAAGAAGAATGTACATAGTCCCCTCCCCAGCAGTAATGGTAATGTTATTACTATGGCTGTTATATGTAACAAAGAAGAGATATGATATTATTTACATTTGCATAGTAGTAGTAGTAGCAGTGAACGGAAAACAGTAAAGGAGGTGTTTGCCATTGGGATGAAATAAGGCAAGTAACACTGACTGCAGCACTTGTCTCACGCATCACAGCAACCCGGTTGTACATGCACAAACGAGTTGGAGCTACACTGTTGCTTCCTTATCGAGGAACTCTTCTTTTGGTTGGTTGTTTGTTTGTTTGTAGTATTTGTTTCTTTTGACACACATGCTGCTTTTAGATTGAGGAGTTGCAGAGTAAAGAAGATGGGATGAAGAGGATGAATGAAACGTGGTATGGTATGCAAGGTAAGAAGGATATACAGTGAAAGGAGAAGAAGATAGGAAAAGCAAGCAAGGTGTCTCTTTTTTGGTGGGATGAGAGGCGAACAATGAAGATGAAATTATTACTTTTAGTAAGACGCTTTGCGTGGCGAGGGTGGTGGAGGAGGTACTTGGTAATGCTGTTGTTGTTGTTGTTGTTGTTGTTGTTGCTGTTGCTGTTGTTGACGGCGCTTTTCTTTGGCGGCTGCAACGCCAGGTGGCTCTGGCATCACTGGGACGAGGTTGCCCCTTTCTTGCTGATGAGCAGGCGGCATCGACAGGACGTGGTGTACATGTCGCGCACCGGGCTCTTCCACGGTACACATGTCGATGCCCTGCACCCACTTGTCCTGAAGAACGCTTTTCAGAGTGCCACGCCGCAGCGGATCCATGTCCATGATAGTTGCCATGACGGGTCTGGCCTCGCGTGGCAGCAGCTTCAACAGACGCAGTTGCTGGTGGTTCTGGTTGGTCGCATATGCGCGAAACGACGGATCAGCCAGACGTGGGTTGCGCCAGGGGAAGCGACGGATTGTCATGCAAATGAAGATGATGCCGCATGACCATACATCCGACTGCTGAGGGTCGTATGTAGGTTGGGTATAGAGCTCCGGCGCAATGTATGGATCCGAGCCATAGACGCCTAGATTTATCGTATAACGCCTTTAGTACTTCTTTTGCCTTATCTCTCTCTCTCTCTCTCTCTCTCTCTCTCTGTGAAATAGCAAGAGCATTTACCTTTGCACCGCGTGATATTCTTCTCAAAGGGGTATTTAAAGACACATGAGCATCCAAAGTCAATAATCTTCAGGATGCCCATGTGGTCGAGTACAAGGTTATCTAACTTTAGGTCGCGATGGGCGATCCCCATGCCGTGCAGGTACTCGAGGCCTTGCAAGAGCTGCCGCCAGCAGCAGGCCACTTCTTCGCGCGACATCATGCCACTCATGACCACGTTGAACAGATCGTTGGGCGCATACTCCATGATTTCGTAAAACAGGTTTCCTTCTTGGATAATGTCCAGAGTCTCAATGACGTTGGCGTGATGCAGTGTCGACCCAATGCAGAACTCGGCCGTCACCTTTTTGATGTAATCCTTGTCGCTCTCGTGCGGCAATTGCTTGCGAAACCGCTTCACAGCAAATGTCTTGCCGTCCGTCGACCGTCTTATCAAGCGTACAGAGCCACCCGCACCCTTTCCGATGTATCGGCCTGGTATCACACATGCGCGCGCACACAATATCGGTTAGAATATTCTCCTTTTTTTTTGGGGGGGTCGCCCTCCTTTTGTGGTGGTGTACAAAAGATCTTTTTTTTTTCTTTTGGTCCTTACCCCACTTTCCATAGCGTCCCTCAATGTCTTGTCGAAACTGGTTTGCGAAAGTGGTGTCGGAATGTTTAGCCGGCGTGGTGGTGGCAGTAGGAGTAATGGCAGTAGTGGTAGAAATGACGTTATTGTTATTATTATTATTATTATTAGTAGTGGTGGTGGTGGTGTTGGTATCCGTATTCGTAGAGATAGGGAAATCCTCATTCACAGAGGCAGCAGCGGAAGATGGCGGAGATGAATCGGCGGAGACAAAGAAACGTCGCAGATCAGACCAGACCAAGAACAAATCCTTTTGGCCGCTGCTGCTGCCGCCGTTGGTAGTGCTCGCGTTGCCGTTTGGTTCGTTGAGTGGATGATGATGATGAAAATGCGTTTGGTGATAATGCTGGTTGTACTCGGGTTTCTTGAAAACAAATTGGGACGGGGTCGTGGCACTGGCTGGACGATGCACCAACGTGGGCCGGGGGTTAGAAGAGGAAGTGCCAGCTTGTTGCTGCTGCGGTAGCTGCGGTAGAGCTGGACGTTTGGGTGCAGGTGTCGATGTCGAGTTGGCAGCCGCAGGCAGGAATCGGAATGAGGACGAGGAATTAGATGAGGTGGACGACGAAGCAGAAGGAGAAGGTGGCTTGGAAGACTGATAGAGCTGGGAACGCGGCCGTGGTGATGGCGATGCAGACCATGAAGAACGCTGGGCGGCCTTGTGCAATCGTCTAGTCAGTTCGGAAAGATCGACAGGTGTGGCCTGCAACTGCTGCTGCTGCTGTTGTTGTTGTTGTTGTTGTTGCTGTTGTTGCTGCTGCTGCTGTGATTGTTGTTGCTGATCTTTGAGATGTTGATGTCGAGAAGTAGCGATCGTATGTGTCACCGTGGCGGCCGAAAGGGTCGGACTGGATGGCATCGAACGCTCTGGAGTAACCAAATCATAGCGCTGGTTCACAATCGAAGGCATTCCAGACAGCTTGCAGCCTGCGTACTAGAAGAAGAACAATGAGGAGAGAGCGAGAGAGAAAGAGAGAAAGAGAAGGGTGCGTTTGTTTTTCTTTGTTGTTGTTCTTGCCTCTTTGTGTTTGTGTGTGGGGGAAGAGAGAAGAAGAAAAAGAAACGGATTTTTTGTATCATGCCCTTTTTTTTTCTTCACTTCGTACCACCTCGACCGGATCTGACCCGTCTACGAAAGACTAGTGTAAACACCCCCCCCCCGCCACCGCGGTTAGGTTTTCAGTTTCGCCGATAAGTGGTCGTTGTTGGTATATGTTGCTACTACTATCAATATAATAAATAAAGCCACTGTGAATTATCAGCAACATGGGTTATCCACAACGAGGGCTCATTAACATTATTCTCGCCAGCACCCACATTTAAACACATGCAGGAGTGCCTCATCAAGAACAGCAAAATTAGGAGGCCCTTGTCCTCCTGCTCGAAACAGCAAGCGAATGGCCTTATATTTTCCTTCTTCTTTTTTCGTTCTCTTTTCTTGTTCTTCTTTCCCTCTTTTGCCACTCGATCGTTTTCTGTTTATCTTTTTTTTTTTTTTCCAAGTTTTGGGTTGTGTGTAATGTTTCGCAAATCACTAACAATCGAGCTGGTTGAACCCGTGGTCTATCTGCGTGGTCACCCGAAGGACAAACACACAATCAACATTCTGCGTGGCCTTATTCGGCTGCAGCTCTCCCACCCGGCCATTATTCAATCGGTCACCATCCAGTTCATCGGAACTGCAAAGACTTTGTGGCCAGAAGGTAATACGAACACTCCTCCCCACCCCCCCCCCACTAGCAATACACCAATCACCGTTTACCGTTTGCTACCTTTGCCTTCCATTATTACCATATTATATCAACATCAACTCACAATCCTCTGGTTGGTTCTCTCGCGTACACTACCGTATGTCTTTCATATCACAGCATCCCACCACTGGGACAAGCATGTTCTGGTCGACTCTATCATCCCCATCTGCCGTTCTCCCGTCGTCTTGAAGAAGGGCGTCCACGCCTTTCCCTTTGAGATCCTCCTGTCCAATGCCTTGTCAGAATCCGTCGAGTGTGGCCTGGGCCATGTCCGCTATAAGCTGCTGTGCCAAGTGCACATCAAACCGGCTTGGTCTCCCTTTGGCTCGCAGCTCAAGGCACAGCGTGCTGTCGTCCTTGTGCGCTTACCACAACAGGACAGTGTCCCTCGATGTATCAGTCAAACACACACTCTCAAAACCCACAGCAGAAGCAACACTTCTGATAGCAGCAACAACAGCAGCAGCAGATGCAATGACATTTGTAGCAGTAGCACTAATTATAGCAATAGCAACAACAGCAACAACAATGAAGAACTACACGTGCTCGTAGAATCCGCCCATATCACCCCTGGCACGCCACTCGCTCTGTGCTTTTCATTCTCACACGCTCCTTCCACCATCAACGACTTGTCTGTGAAGCTGATCGAGCGACAGAAGTTTCGCGCACGCGCAAAACGCACCACTCGGATCCTCCACCACGAGATAACGCTGGCCCCCAGCGATCCAGATCTACTCAAGCATCAGCTGCGCCATGCGAACAAAACCACCGAGCTGCGGTGCGTGTTTGCTGTGCCCGATAAAGAAACCTTACAAGTCCATCCATCAACGTCCAACCCAAACATCCGCGTCCGCCATTGGATCCAGATCACCTTGCGGTTCACATTGCAGGACGGCACGCCCAAGGAAATTCTCATGGATGCACCCATCTCTGTGCTTATGGACTGCATCGACGATTACATAACATTGCCTGTATACCATCAGCATGCACCACCAACGCCACAGCCGTCAGAAAGAGATTTATCAGCAGCAGCGTCAACATCGTCCTCGTCGTTATTACCATCGCCACAATCACAGCAGCAACCAGTCGCATCAGCTTCGGCTCCGTTGCTCGGACCGCAGCCACCACCTGTTCCTACACCCTCCAAGTCCTGGCTAAACAGATTGACTCCACGACGGTCATGGCTAGGTGACAAGAAAGAGGCACCGCCACCCAAATATGATGATGTTGTACGCAATTTATATCCGGCATGTTAGAAAAAAAAAAGAAGAAAAAAAAACATATACCCAATTATAGAAAGTCTTTCTTTACCTTTCTTCTCGTACCTACTACTACTATTACTACTACTACCGTCACCTATCGTATAATACATATTATATATCCATCCCGCCCCAACCATTTGCATACTCACTTGGCCGTTTGGAGCGTGTGTGCTCGTGTTGTTGTTGTGTGGATGTGGGGCACTTGATATACCGTGGCAGCATTCATTTCACACAGAGAAACACACAGAACAAAAAAAAAACGAACCAAACCAGCTATATTTGTACCCAGCTGTTGCGTTTGTACCTCCGTGTCACACAACCTAGTTTTTTTATTTTCGTTTCCGTCGTTACACATGAAATTGTGCACCCAGAAACCTAGCAACGGAAGAGGTGGTCCGTGTGTGGGTAAAACAGCCAAGGTAGCCAGACATTTCGAAGCCAGGTGACTTTCACTTTAAAATAGCGGTCGTCAATCTTAGCTTTTTGCGACTTTACGATCTTCCTGCTGCAGGGTAACACATAACATGAAGGAAGTTCCACATCTTAAAAAAGGGACGCATTGAGAAAGGAGGGGAGGTGGAGAATGCGCGCCAAAAAATAAGGAACTAAAGAAAACTTTATATATAATAATAACAACAACAATAATATTTTATACTACAACCTATAAAAATCACTATATTTCATCAACAAAACAGATAAAATGCAAGGCCAAATGTAAGTGCAGCAGCCGTCCAAGCCACTGCAACTGGATGGCCGTCCTCTTCGATACTGGGTCGATGCTCTTGTAACATCAATGCTAGACGCTGACGACGACGACGACTGCTGCTGTTGCTGCTTTTGATGTGCTGCATCTGTTGTTGTTCTCCTGTACCATTGCTATTGCTACTGCTGATATCCGTCTCCTGCTGTTGCTGCTGCTGCTGTTTTTCCTGCTCCTCTTGTTCTGCAAGGTCCTGTAGCACCGCCTCCTTGTACTGACGACACCGTTCTTCTGCTTCATGCTGCTTTTGGGTGGCTAGCATCAGTTCTTGGCGTAACTGCTTTATCGACTCCTGAGCATTGGCAACCTGCTTGAGCAGCCGAATATTCTCTTCCTGCACAGCCGCCACTCGTTCTTCGTGCTGCTGGTGCATCAAGTTCTCTTCCTCCGTCGTCGATGCAGTGTTAGTGGAAGACGCGGAAGGTGATGACGGCGCATCCTTCATGGGCAATGTGTCCACCGTGTCGCTACGGAGGACATGCATTCGTTCGTCTTGCTGCCTTGCTGTCTTGTCCTTAACCGGTTCTGACTGTCGCCTGGAGGGTCCAGGGGGTGACACCACGCATTTGATTTTGTGACGGTATATTTTGTCCTTTTCTTCCGTTTCAATGCGCTGCCACTACATAATAAGAGTGTGCAAGCACAACAAGATGAGAAGCTGCGGATGCTATGATTGCTACTGCTAGATAATAGCTACAACTAATTACTACTGCGGTCATAATTACCATTTCGGCCATGCTCACGCTGCTGCTGTTGTTGTGTTGACCAGTTGGTTTGATTTCGGCTGTCTGGATCAGAAACTTGTCCTTGCATTTGTACCCCTCAACAAACTTCTCCTTCATTGGCTGTAAGAATACTAGATACATATTTTTGACAATCAAGCATCAGCCAGTCCGACAGTCAGCTTATAGTTAGCACTCGAACGGTTCCTGAAAGGTATCAAAGCACAAGCAGGTGCAGAAAAGTGCAAGTTGTCCTACCTTGGACCACCACTTGTTCATTAGGCTCAATCTTGCCCGTGTTTGGCTTGACACAGTACTGCTTGGGCGCGGTGGTTTTGACTTTGAAGGTGACAGGGATCTTGCCCGGGTTTTGGATACAGATGCTCTCCGTGGCAACGGGATGGGCAAAGGGTCCTATCGTATTGCATGTACGTTTAGCTTTGTTGAGAAGCGACCAGCGCCACTAATAGTAAAGTTCCTCCTTGGAAAGAATAGAACGCTTCTTTCTTTCTTTCTCTCTCTCTCTCTCCCGTTGTTCGAAGCCCTCCCTTGTCTCTTTTCGAATTCGAGAACGTACGAGTAAAAGTAAGATAGGACGACGGTGTAAGTACTACAGCCATTCTAAATTTGGATGGGTTGGGATGGATGGATGGAAAAAGAAAGGTGAGGAGTAAAAGGAAAGAAAGGAAAGCAGTGTTGCCAGTCAATCTTTATAACAAGAAAAATGACATCAGCACCTGATACTCGTTTTTGCGTTGTTATCCTTGAGACGTTTACGGGAAACAACAAAGCAACAACAACAATCACAGCGCGTTTCAGCCATAGTTTACACGAATGTGTTCACTTTCTTCCCTAAAGTGCCACAAACCAGGCCAAACGAACCTGCGGGTCCCTGAGCACTAGCCTATTCTCATGATCCCCACTCCCACCCCCCCCACCTTTCTTTTCCTTCCCTCTTTTTCCTCTCCAAAGGTAGGAGGTAGAGAGCAAAAAGCTTATTTTTTTTATTCAGATGGCTTGGTCAAGTCTTCCATGTCCTTGTTGCTATAGTATTCCACTTTGGTTTCCTTAGCATCGGCGGGCACTGCTTTGGATTGTTGCTGCATGGCAACCTTGTGCATGGCTTGTCCGACCGAGGACGTGGGGATGGCCATGTGGAGGTTCATGTACCGGTTGACGGGCGTGAAGATGGCACCAAGCACCTGTTCACCAAGTCGTGAGCGTGGCCTGGGCTCTTGCACCTCGAGAAAGCCTGGGAGGAAGATGGAGACGCGCTGGAACCCGGCTTTGATGATGCCTTCTTCCGTCTGGCCCTTGCTTTGTGGGTAGAGGAACATGGAGTTTTTGTTGGAGCCCTGAGGAGCAGGTCCCGAATTTAATAATTACAAAAGGCATATAGTGAGGTCACGTCATCATCACCATCAAGACTGGATGGGGGATTTGTATGTCACCAAACCAACCAACCACTCAGCCAATCCCCACTTTTGGATATATTGTTTTTTATAATGTACCTTGGACGAACAATAAAGGAAATGCACGGGCGACAGTGTTGATGATTCAGCAGCAGCAGCAGCAGCAGTAGTCGGCTTGTTCTCCTCTGCAATAATCTTTGCAGAGTTCAGCACATACGTTTGATCAATGCGTCGGAACGCCTCGGCACTTCCTGCGTCCGCACGCGTCGTGCCCAAACAGCAGTACACATCACTGATATGCAGTAGAATGTGAGTCCCATGTAAATATAAATACACCAACCACATGAGCCCTCTCCACCCCTTCTTTCTCCTCTTCTCTTCTTGCGGATCCTCATTTGTATCTGAACCAGTACTGCACTTACTTGACGTTTCGGAACTCTGCTCGGGACGCTTCCAAATTGTCAAAGTCGACTGTCTTTTGCTCCTGTTTGAATATATGTGAAAGCATGTTTTTGTTGCTTATCAGTAATTGGCTTAACCATAATCAACCTTCCAACGGCTATACTTCTTGACCATAATGATAAAGACTACTAATACAAACCAAGTTCTGTTGTGGAATACTGTCGTCGAGCGGGGCGGGTCGTCGACCAAGCGTAATCACTCTGCTGTAATTTCCATTCTTTAAAACATCCAACAACAATTGCTTGCCCACTGCGCCTATAAGCCAAGTAGCATTCCGTCACAATTCAGCACATCATATTCTGACAACGCTGACGAACAGCTTTAATAAGAGCTTGGTATATATTGTATTTACCTGTGGCGCCAAGGACAAGTGCTGTACGCGATCCTGCTTCTGTGCTCATTATTATTATTAGCAAAGGTGAAAAGAGAAATAAAATGGTATGTAACGTTTGTGTCACTCGTCGTCTCTTTTATATTATCCTATCGCAAAGAAAATCGATCGCGGAAGTGCATTTCCATATTAGGCATGAAAACGCGTACACGCTGGAATAGTAAAAAATCGCACACGGCTATGCATAAATACTAAATAGCATTGATCTTTATAGGGGTGATCTAGAAAGATTCATGTATACAATTCAGAAATATGGAATCGCCTTTTTATTAATGAAAGAAAAGCGTATCCATGGAAATACGAGGCAATTATAACGGAGTTGCCTGTGTCTGGATGATTCTGTCTGGAGTTGTAACGCGTTTAGCAGATCCAGTTCCTCCGATTCGTCTTGAAACAACCAATCTCTAGATTTGCAGGCTACTTCGTCATTATTACGAGGCTGCTGCTAGTGCAAAGGACCATCTGAAGATATATTAAATCAGAACATTACAGTCATCAGCCGTTATACAGTAAGTGTCAGGACATGTATTGAAGGCCTTTTGCCAGAAACGTCTGCGCCATCGCAGCTTGGTTAGACGAATTCTTAGCGCCTATCTGCAAAACCTTAAATACTATACGCGTTTCGTTCGCCTCGTATTTTCTCAACAGGTATGATCCAAGATTGCAAACAAAACAATATCATATCTGTCAAATATGTTGGAATTGAGCAAAGTGCAATGTCTTCGTAAGCTATTGCCTGATTCCAAAACTTCAAATCGCCTTCTTGTGTCTTCCGGTGATACTTTTATGATCTTCAAAGGTGCTTTTGCAAATCCTTTTGAATGCGTACAGTAACCTTCAAAGGTACCAGAAGAAATATGCAGTTGATTGCTTGTGATTTTGTTGTCACAAAGTGAAAGGAGTCATAAGGCAATATGTACAAGCAAAACTAACCATTTTCGTTTTATCAGCAATCTATTTGGTACTGAAATATGTCTTGTTGTTTACAACACATATTCCATAGTTTCCATTGCCGTCACTATCAGCTGGACGAAATTGGCGGGAAATATCATATCTGGAGCCTATATATAAATGGGTGGAAACAATAGCAGCTCGTGTATACTATCATTAGCTATATTAATTATCATATTCAAGCTAAAAGCGCGTCATTCATGTAAGCTCTTCCGCACAGTATATAGAGCCTCGTTCATTTGTTTCTGCGACCTGCTTTATTTGTCATTCTATCTCCTTTGTAAGTGAAAGAAGCTGATACATTAAGTTTAACAAAATTATCGGTAGAGGCATATAATTTTTTGAAATAATGATAATGCTGGCACGCTTTAAGAGCTAGTTGTATAAATAGCAACAGTACTTTAGTAAGTGTCATTAGGAGACCAAATGAAGAGATTATTATAGGTCGGTGCGAGCCAAAGCCGAGGAGCGGAACTGATTTTATACAATAATTCAATTCCGGGTGCTTTGCTTCAAAAGAACCTCGTTCTTACCCCAAGCAATGGAATCGCTAAGAACCGTAATTTCGCGGTTGTTTGCCGATGCTCAAGATCCAGGCTCGACGGTAAAGCCCAATTTAAAAAATAAAACGGAAAAAACGATAAGAAACGGATTCTTAAGTTGAAGTTTTTTTTTATTACGTTAGCCTTTGGAAGACACGAATCGAAAATACTGCGGGTATATATATACAAGTGGAGGGCGGGAGGAGACACGACTATGGACGATCCTCTCGTGGTTCGTCACCGAACGTTTAAAATCTTGATTAACCACCCAATGGCCACTATATTAGTTATTTTAGCAGAAGACCACCAAAGCGTCGAAGAGTCAGCGTGTTGCACCCTGACTTGAACGGTAGTGGCGATCCATTTTCGTCGGACGATAGTGCAATGATCGCGTACCTGCTTCAGACGAGTCGTTTAGATTACGATGCTCTGGCACACGACTTTTTACGTGCATCAGTGGTCGGCAACATGGTTAGAACGTTTATATATAAAGAGATCATATAAGGGTGGGAGAGAGAGAGAGAGAGAGAGAAGGACATGTTAACGGTTCAGTAAAAAGAACCACACCAAAGCTGATATTTTATGTATTTTTACTAGTCTGAACAACTGAAAGTGATTATGCTTAAATACCGCGAACCACCATTGACGCTCGTAAAAACAACCCGTTTATTGGCGTTTCTGAACCACTTGCTCATGATTAAGCCCATCACGCCAAAGATAGCAGCAGTTACAAACACAAATGCAGCAACAGCAGCAACGCCAGGAACAGCAACAGGATCTGGGTTTACCAATTCAGCAGCAGGGACTCACTATCACCATCTCCACCATCACCCTCAACAACAGCAACCGTTCCCGCTAGGTCAGCTGTTTGAAGATCTAACACTGACATTGTCACTACGTAATGTCCAGTCCACAGGCGCAAACAGCAGTAACAGCAGCAACAACGTGCCACTGCTGATATGGGTCGTAACGCTTCAATTCATGCTATCCTGTCTGCGTAACAATTCGCTTCAAGCTTTGTACAACGCGGGCATTGCAACACCCGTCATCCTTGGTATCATTAAACACATCTTACTCGAACTGACCCGTCTTCCAGCAACCAATATGAGTGCGGCGCAGAAAAAATGCTTTGGCGTAGGAAAGCAGATGCTCGACTTGTTTCTGATCCGTGATCCGCAGCCCTTATCTTCTGCTGCTTCATTATCCCAAACTCCTGGTCAACAAGCATCTCCAATGGAACAGTCTCCAACATCGGCAGCATTATCTTCGTCCACTTCATCCGGAACTACCATCGGCAACGTTTCTTACTACGACGTCGTATATTCGGTGAGTCAACAATGCGGGCAACACTGTAGAAATATGATCTAACTCTCTCCCTCGCACAGTTCCCAGAACTATATGGCCACTTTTTAAACTCGGCCCAAACATCAACAAATCCGCAACCAGCTATCGCAAATCATAATATTTGGCTTATGACCTTGCAGTACATGATCACATCAATAACTCAAGATCATCGCATGTTTGAACGATCGCCGACGCTGATGGTGGCTGTCAACATAATCAAGCACGTGTTACGCGAAATTAACACGTTACCTGCCAACTTATCCACAGCTCAAGTGAATTGCTTGAATAAGGGCAAGGAGTTGATCAACTTATTATTACTCGGTCCAATGGGTGATGGTGCTGGTGTTGTTTCTCATTATGATATCATTGTTGCTGTAAGTCCCGTGTGTTTTATTTTGCTGGCCATTAGCAAAAGAAAAGGGTTATGTATATAGTTGTACTGACGCGTCTCTTTTTCTTCTGATTTGCGTGGATCATATATTAGTTACCCGATGTTTATGGAGACTTTTTACACGGCCATTTTGCACAGAGTATTCATTGGACAATGGAAAAGTTTATCAATGAACTGGGAAAACGACGAAGGCATTTGGCCTTTTTGATGATGCCTCCAGGTAATATAAATTCATTCAATCTGGAGGAAAAAAGTAGTATAACTGAACGAAATACCTTAGATGCATCCTGGCCTTTGATTTCTCAGTTGAGTCGTCGTCACGAATACAATGATTTAACAACACGAACAAGCTTCCACATGTTCAAAGGAGATCTCGTACGTATTGATATCAAATAGCGTACTACTAAGACAAAACAATAACGTCATTCTCTGTTATATAGATCGAATTTGTTAAAGAAGGCAATTCAACCAATATCGAGACACATTTCCGCGACATGTTATTCCAACGAGCTTCCATGGACGAGTTCCGCCAGCTTGAACTCTCTCTAACACAATCAGGTTATGACACAACTCAGATCCGGAAAGCAATGGTTGCCAAGGTGCGCGATGTGCTTCAATGTATCCAGCAACACAACACAGCAGAGAGGAGACAAGGTAATGAATTACTTTGAAAGAAAAGTTGAGGAGATAAAAAAAAGAAAAAGGGATACTAACAAATTACTTTTAAAGGGCACGATTCGTCGTCACAAAAAGGTCGTGGAGGAGCAGATGAGACCGTAATGAATATCCCTTCGTATTTAGATCTGTGGGAACTCATGAATGAAACAGCAGATCAGCTTTATAGCTTTGTCACAGCCGAGTACGTTCTCTTTACAGTTCATCGCTTGGATCTGTGAATATATTGACATAGTGTCGAATAGGTACTTTACATATGAAGATATTCTCCAAGATTTCTATGCCCTAGTGTATCAACCGAATGGCGAAGAATACCCACCAGGCGCAAAATACCATTTGAGCAAAGATAATGGTTTAATATGGTTGTTGTTGCAGCTTTTCTGTAAGTTTAAGAGCAAGAATAAATTTATTGATGCTAACCATTACTGATTACCTTGGCTTAACTTTTGACTAATCCTTCTTTTGTTTCACTGCACTTTCTCCAGTCATTGATAAGGTTGCACAAGACGTGATATCTGTGGATTTCAATGGAGATGAACGGCTATTTGGCAAGCTCGTTGCTCTCTATAACGAAGACCAGGCAGAATCAGAAGACGCATTTTCATTCCGGGATCTTGCATTACAATGCAGTGTAAGTGACAATGATTTACATTTCTTTTTAAAGTATCTGCTCTGATAAAAGTCATGTCCAATATTCTATGCGTCCCATATTCAGATATACCTTGAGCGTCTCTCTATCAAAGATATCACGAACCTCAAAATGAGACATCCTCGTGTAGCCTCGTCATTACAATATACGTCTGTATGTCACAAGATCATGACATACTTTGGTGATTACTATCACAGTAAGTCCAAAGTATACAAAACACGTAGAGCTATGTAAAATTCTTTATTAACCCACGCACAACCGCTGAAAATAATAGGCAATGTCACCGATCCGAGCTTATTTCATAATCTGGATATCCAAGAAATCACCAAAATTGCAGTGCATAGTCAAACTCGTCGGGATGCACTACCATTCACATTGTATGTGTATCTTGTTCCAACCAATCCAGAAATAGCGACTGCCGGAAATCCGGAATCAACCTATGCCAAAGGTGGCTCGGTCAGTTACAAGATTCTAGATCTTATCGGTGTCGCTGCAAAGCACAAGTAAGTAACTTGTTGTATTATGACATGTTTTTATATGTGTATGCGTCATATATCAAACATTAAATCCCGATCCTTTTATTTTATGATGATGATTTTACCAGATTACTTCAGTTGATGTACAAAATGATGCTGCTAGATGACGGTCCACGCTATCAGTCAAACACTCAACGAGGCACACAAATGCAAATTACATCTGTGTCTCCCAAAGTCATTGACGCTGCATACAAGCTTCTTTACAGTGCGCCTTGCTCGTAAAATATCTCCTTTCTTTTTCTTTTTTTTTTCGCTTTACCATCGTAATTTGTTGTGAAAGGATAGATACTAATGGTTCTTTAATTAGTTCCGAATTGATGATCAAGGAGATATTTGATAGAATTCGTCGGTGTGACAGAGTATACAAAGCCAGACACGAAGAGGAGTTAGCCGGAATAACACCTGATAAATCTCTAACGGTCGAGAGAATGCGATGGTTACATACAATGTTGCAGATGATGAATTATCGGTTCATCCGCTATTTAAAATATCCTTTTTCCTTTTTGCGTATCATTCTAACCTTGATTGTACATTTAGTTGGAACAACCAAGCCAGCAACCAAAGAAAAGATCGAATCCTTGACCTATGTCTTCATTTTTATACGTTCTCTTCTATATCTTCAGGTCTATTTCACTATATCCGTTATTCAGTCTCGTATCTTGAACACCGTCAGATTTACCGCGTACTGGAACAATTTGTTTTCAATTTGGCTGTAAGTAATCTCTATAATATAACAATTGAACAAGGATGTTTTGTTTGTATATAACGAGTTTACTAAACAAAGTGTGGGCCCACTTTGAAACTACGGAATATAGCGTATGCAAATGGATGTCAAGCTATTAAGATCATTAGATGATCCTAACCGCGAAAAGCCAATTTGGTTTGCCGAGTCAGAAACAGTTGCGCGTGCTGTGGTGACAAGTATCAGTCGCTTAATCAAGACAAGGTAGAAACAAAAACAAAAGTCGTTCATCCTTGTAAATGAAAAACTAACTTTCTATTACTATTGAAAAGAGGTCAAGCAGATATCAAGACCGAGCAAATCTATCGTGTACTGGCCAGCCTTTTTGAATACAGGTTGGATTGGTCACCTGAATCCATCAAATATTTCCCTGATGCTGTCAAAAAGTTTTATACGGATCCTCAATCTCCAAACCAGCGTATCCCTGCGCGACCTGCAATTAATCCAATGAATCTCAAGCAACAAGTGATGAACAACAAATTCTTGCTCTCATACTTGCTGCAGGGATCAAAAGATCATGAGCAAATGATGATACAGACCTTTTCCAAAGCAGAAAATCAAGCAAGTTTGCTCTGTATCATATGGACTATCGCTGTGATGCGGAACTCGATTGACGTATTTGAAATGTCATGTAAGTTTGGTTGCTACTATAGGAAGATGAGATGCCTGATTTCCTTTGTTCGTTCAGATTTACACTTACTATTTTGAATCGATGCTTAGCCGTCCGCAAACTACTTTTGTTGGTGCTGCCTGCAAGAGTTGACACTCATGCAGTTGATTTGGTGGACTATATTTTGAAAGTGGATTATTCTTCTGCTTCTCCAGAATTGGTAAGTTGCTAAAAACATATATCTTTAACATACTTCATGCTGAATGCCTTTTGTCATAGCCATTTAAACTCTTGGATACCATGATCTGGAAGTACCAATGGGTCAACTTTACAAACATCATATCAGCATTGGGAAAGGGAAGCGGGACACCAGAAAGGACAACAAAAGCATTCCGCTATGTGCAATACTTGCTTCTCGAATCGCCCGAATTCAAGAAGCGTGTCGATAAATGGTTATCACTAGGGTTCAGCCACCGATACTGGACAGAGGAAGATTTCCACGAGAAGCTGATGCAATATTTGACCGAGTATCCCGAGTACCACGAATACGAGGCTTTTGCTGTTGCCCAACAAAACACGCAACAGCCAGTTCTCGATCCACCGTTGCAGCCGCAGATGCCAGTGTATTACACTAGCATTGTGAGCGACTTTGTACCCTTTTTGGAAGTGCTGATTGCTCGATTGATTGAGTATGCGCAAACCGACCTTTTGCTGCAAATATTGGATCGATATGGACAACTCTTTTATTACCACAACAGCCCATTATCCTATGTCTGCAATTTATTACTGTACTATTACCCGAACGATACCCTAAGCGACCCTCGCGTATGCAAGCGCATTGTGCGCCTGCTCGGTAAGTAAATTGGTCTAGCGAAATTAACAGAAGTAAGGAACAAAAAAAGCCAAAGGTGGAAGGGCTGATAGCTGGGAAAATTTTGCTAGATTTCAAACAATACGATGTTGCACCGGAGGCAGTGGCCTATGCACAAAACGATGATCTTGATGGAGACGTCTTTAATGCTGGATATTATGAACGTGTCATACACAAACTCACCAACAGTAAGTGATATACTCGGCTGTGGTACCTGATTTTTGCAAATGACTAACAACGTATTGGCGCGCGGGTGGGGTGACTTACCACCCATTTCGTAATGATTGTTCGAATAGGTCTAAATCCAAAAAAATGCGCACCAAAATCTGATCCCAAACTACCGGAACGCCATTTCCGTGAAATTGGCAGTCCTGCTGTGCAAGGCATTACTATTGCTATGCTCGAAATTATCCTGACACCTGTTCCTCCGTCCATGACCATCAAATATATTCTGGACTTGGTATTACAGCGCGGGGCGCATCAAGTGGGTGTGTCGGCACTGACGATCCATGCCACCGGATTGTTGCTTGCTTCATTACCAGCAGGGCACTTTGTACGACCCATCTGGGAAGAACTCAGCAACTTGATCATGCATGATCCTTGCCTACTGGAAGTATCCGAACCATGTCGATTGGTAAGTGTTTCTTTTGTTACTTCTGAGTGAAGAAACAAGGCGTCTTTTTTATAATCGGCTTGCTCATATCGAAAACAACATATTCTAGATTCGATGTGGTATGCCAAAACGAACCAATGGCAAATACTTCATGTCACAATCCCTTCCCGATTTGATTTCTACAGCCGTATTACGAGATTCCATGAGTTCGAGATTAAGAAAGGCAATGGTCCATCCATACGTTTTTAACGACTACACATACAACATGCATAACTATAGCACCAATACGCCAAACTGTTTTCTGGCGTTTTTCCACAGCCTATTACATTATTCAAGCCTGGATATCTTCCCTGTCTTCCTTGAGTATTTGCGCTCGTTACGACAAACTCCGGATATTCTGAAAACCGATGTTCAGCTTCTTTACGTATGCTTTTTGCTTGGACCTGCTTTACACCGGATCGAAAAGCTCGATAATAATAATACTGACGCAGAGGTAAGACCTACATGTATGATAAGAATAGATGGCAGAATCAAAAAAACGGATAATTATTCTAATCCACCACACCTCCCATACACCAGTTTTTGATCGAGTTAATGCATATGGTGAAGCAGATAACTATGCTGATGGATATGAAAGATGGATGGTCTACACAAGCTCTGGAACAAACATTCGACTTTTTGTAAGCAATCGATGCCTCTTACTTAAAATGCTGTTGCATTTACTAACGATGATTATCATATAGACATCACATTCGAGCCGGATTCGTCAAGTCCCCTGAGCTTGCAAGCCAACTGCGCGAAATTATAAAATCCATGAATGCACCCATATCCCAACGACTTATACGATTGGTACACGAAACATAAAAAACATTAAATTACATTACTTGCACTTCCTTTCTTCTTTTCTTTTCCTTTCTTTTTTTTTTTTTGCGTTACATTTTTATTATGTTTCGTATAACTTTTTTTTCGTATGTTGTATGGTTTTTCTTTTTACTGCCATGCCTGTTGACCGTATTGTGGATATCCTCCCATTTGTGGTTGTTGACCGTATGAGCCTGATGGTGGGACACCGTAACCTCCAGGAACACCGGGCGGCGGCATGCTATAGGCCATACCCTGCGGCGGCATACCGGGCGGTGGAGGTGGCGGCATCATATTCATTGGAGCGGCAGCACCGGGTGGACCTGCATAAGCACCACCGCCCACTGGAGCCATGGCTGGACCGCCTGCATATAAGCGATTGGGTAACTGTACGTTTTTCCGTGCCTGTTGTGCCAACAAACGTTCCGCAGCCGAACCGTGTCGTTCGCCTTTGCCGTCCTTTTTAAACGCGTACGAGACTGTGATTTGCTTGTTCATCAAATATTGGTTGTTCATGGCATCGATAGCGGCATCGGACGATTCAAAGTTATCAAAGCTGACAAAACCAAAGCCTTTCAAATTGCCAGTTTCGGGATCGCGTGCGATTTTGGGTGTTTGTACAATAACGCCAAATGCGCTGAATGTGTCATACAAGAGTTTTTCGTCAACGTCTGGATCGAGATTGCCAATAAAGAGTGTCGCGCCCACGTCCAAGTTCTTTTTATCCGAGGTGGCCTGTTTTGTTTTCGATAATTATAAATACATGTGCTTCACTCTCTTCAATTCTTTGCTCGTTTACCTTATTGACACGTATGGGTTTGCCGTAGAGTCGGATCTGATTCATGATTCGGATTGCATAATCGGCGTCTTCTTCAGTCATAAATTCACAAAACCCATAACCTTGATGCGTTTGTGTGACACGATCCTTAGGTAAATGTACGTTGACTAATAATTTTCAGACGGAGAAATAGATAAAGAAAGGAAGAGGATTCATTTCTCTGATTAGTCTGCTTCCTGTTTTACACATTTAAAAAGACTGAGAGAAACAATAAAAAAAAGAACTTACCCACAGGGCCGGCTTGTAACATTAATTCCCATACCAAAGAATCTGTGCATCGTTCGTCGAGATTGCCGATATATACAGTGGCTTCTTGATTTCGTTCGATCTGCTGTGCCATCACTTATACGCAATACTACTAACTACAACCACTAACAATAGAAAGTGGGAAATAGGTTCGCCCCCTCCCACCTGTCTTAATCAAAGCGATAACTGAGTTTGAGAGTCACGACATTTCCTTTTATGGAACTTAGCGGAAGAATCTTCTGCAAGCGCATAGTAAAAACGATGAAATAAAAGAGTTAGAAAGGTTCTTATTTGCTCAAACTATTGAATGTCACCCATGTACAAGGCTTTTTAACTGACACGTAGGGTATAGATGGCAACCAAATAACTGCTCATGTTGCTGGGCGACAAAGAAGAAGGGCGGCACTTTAATCCAAGCTGTCAGCTGATGATGATCCACAGAATATACATGGTTCGCTGATGATTTGTGCAGTCGCAGGCTCAGGACTACTGTACAGGAGTAGAAGATTTGACTCGCTTTGAGCCAACTAGTTGTTGTTGGTGCTGCTGTGTGTGTGTCTTGAGAGGCTTAATGCTGCATGATGCATAATAGTACCATTATCAGCATATGCGTCCATGATGTCTGTCTGTACGGAACCCAATACGCCCACGATTCACTGTTGTTATTGCTATTGTTGCTAGTGTGTGTGTGTGTGTGTGAGGCACGTACACAACACCTTCATTACAGCCATACGACAGCTGCCTCCCCACTAAACATGAACACAGCTCTACCAAGTGGCATACTCCGCTTTGGGGTCACGCGGAAGAGCATGTGCTTGAAGTTTTTCGTCGACAGTTTTGTAGGCCAAATGCCCTTTCTTAACAAGACAAAGCCTTTCTCTGTTGTTCTCTTTCCTCTTTCTTTCTTCTTTCTCTCACTTTGACCGTATCCTGGCTCTGAAAAAGGAAATACATATCAAAGTAGATAACGAGCCAAATCATGAAGAAGGTCAGTCTATCCAGTGGTGGGTTTCCGTGGCGTGGAGTTGTGGGGCGGGAGGGTGTGGGAAGGGGACGTCAATTAACACGGACTTTGTATCAACCCTTACATACCCTTAAAATATGTTAGGTACTGCTTATGGGGAAAGGAGGTGCAGGCAAGACCTCAATGCGCTCCATCATTTTCCAGAACAATGTCGCCCGTAAAACTCGAGAATTAGGGCCCACTGGTAAATGTCAAAAGAAAAACACGAGAGAAAGCGAACAAGTGAGAAAAGAACGTCCTATATTAAAGAAGACAAACACTGAATGGGCAGGGTAGTCAGCATTGAAAGTTCAGAGGTCCAGTTTCTCGGGACAATGTCGCTCAACCTGTGGGACTGTGGAGGGTAAAGAACAAGAGAAGGATTTGAAAAGGGAAAAAGAAGCCAAACGCTAATATGTGCTGTCGCGGGGCCATGAATCCAATTAGACAAGACGTGTATTTCAATAATTACTTTGCCACGCCCAATCATCACATATTCAAAAACGTCGAAGTACTTGTCTATGTGTTTGACGTGATCAGTGCCGAGCTGGACAAGGACATTCACTTTTACCAGACGTGTCTCGAGTACATCTTGACGTATTCACCCAACGCCAAGGTGTTTTGTCTTTTACACAAAATGGATCTGATACAGGAAGAGGGGCGCGATAAGGTATAGTATAATTGATTGGCAACACTTTACAACTGCCATTGCTGCCTTTGTATATAACATGGATTAGTGTAGAAGCCTTTTAAGGTTGTGGCGGCTGAACCGGTTCAGATCATTTGATGTATATGATTTTGTCTTACAAAAAAATCGTAATAATCAGGTTTTCCTAGGACATACGAAGGAGCTTCAAGTACGTTCCGAGCCCATCAAAATCCAGGCGTTCCAGACATCTATATGGGATGAGACCTTATACGCTGTAAGCACATCATTCAGAGTATGAAACATACTACTTAGTGGCACTAACTGCATATGTTTATCTGGGCTAGGCTTGGGCGCAGATTATCCATTGTATGATACCCAACGTTGTGGCACTGGAAAAGAATCTAAGAAACTTTTGTAGCATCTGCGGCGCAGATGAAGTCGTGTTATTTGAACGCACTACCTTCTTGGTAATAGCCAATGCAGCCACCGTCCATCATCCAGATATCCGTCGTTTTGAAAAACTAAGCACTATAATCAAGCAGTTTAATCTGAGCGCGAGGTAATATAAGCTTACATTACACGTATACGATCCCAACAAAAACAAGAGTCATGTTATTAACCGCATATAAACATATCAGGCAACAATCGCATTCGAAAAGTATGATGATAAGAGGAAGTTCGTTTACAGCATTCATCGACATCCTGACGCGCAGTACATGTGTAATGATCATCATATCTGACCCGGATATAAGTAAGTTTATATATATATATATATATATATATATATATTGGTTAGTATTTACAGACTAGAAAGAACTAATAAAGCTAATCGTCTTGAGTATGCCCCTTCCGCACCACATATTCGACAACAGCACCTGCAGCAACGCAAATGAACATTGCAGCGGCGCGTGCACACTTTGAAAGCCTCGAAACAATGCACAAGATTGCTTGACACTTTTTCTTATTCTTCTACACTACATCCCTCTTCCTCCTCCGGCTTGGATGCCAGTTTATAACCTTCCATGCTCTCGATAATGCGCATTGTAATGATATCCGAAAACCCATAAAACTATATTATGTTTTGTAAATTGATTACTCTCCCACTCTTTTGTCCCTTTTAACCATACACTATCAACTGACGACCCCTTCCCTCCTTTACTAAGAAAATAAACTTACCAATGGTCCACTCACTCGCGTTCCCTGAGATTTGCTCTTTTTGCACGCGTCTGTCCATGGTGCTGTCGGCGTCCCTCCAGTAAATACTGTTTTGGATGAATTGACATATACTTTGAACACAGGTCCTTCGTTCGGCTTCCCTTCCTCGATTGTCATGGTGTAATCGTTTCCGAAATGAGATTTGGTTGCTTTAAATCCAATAGGGTAGGGATGCTTATACCGGCACTAGGTGCGTTTATCCGCAGAAAGAAAGATTAGTATCCCATAGTTTGTTCTTTTTTGGGGGAAAGGAAGAGTAAAGATACTTACACCACGCCCACTCCAGTATTGGGATCTGCCTTTGCCCGTCTTTAAACTTCCAAGTTCCCAGATGGTTGTGCCTATGGAAACTAATGTGCCCGTTTTTGAGTATAGCGAAAAAAAAAAGACCACAACAGCAGCAGAGTAGGCAACATAGCGATGATAACGTACGCAGTGTTACAGGTGCAGAGACACTGTCAGGAGCATATGATTCCTCTTCTTTCTTTCTCGCTGATATGATTGGATCGACGTTGACTTGACGCATCTTGTCATTTTGATCCAGAATTGCTTCGAGGTCTACCTGAGAAAAGTACTGACGTTAAGCAGAGGGGAAGAGAGCACATATCGCGCCTTTTTTTTCCCAACAGTACGTACTGTATCATCTGGCTGTTCTCCTTTCAGTCTTTTCGATAAACGCGTAGGTTGTTGTATTGCAGGTTTTGGTGCTCTATAAGCATTTCTCGGTTTTTTACGTGGTGTAGGGGTATCGGACTAGACAACGAAAATAACTGTGAGATTATAACGAAAAAAAAAAAAATAGTGTCGTTCCTTTGCCAATGTGTTGGACTCGAACCTTGAATTGTTTCATTTCAGCCGAAGCCAGGTTGGCATTGTCAGGTCCTGTCAGGCCCAGTTCCTGAAGTAACTTTTGATTCTCTTCAATGAGTTGTTTTCTCTTGAGTTCATAATGACTAGTTTTTTTTTTGTCAAACGAACGTTATTCAGTCTGAGAAATTACTGTTTTGTATAATAAACGGGTGTGGCAATACGCACCTCACGGTATCGGATGTCATGTTAAATGAGGTGCAGAACGCGAACTTCTTGTCAAGCCAAAAAAAAAAAAAAAGGCTGAGGGTAGAAAAGGCGGAATGTTTTTGTTTTGTTTCTTCGTTTGTTTTCGATTGGCGCAGGTCGCGCGGCGCGTTGTGAAGAAGGTCACTTATTATTTGCATGGAAAACTTCATGCTGTGGTAGTGCTACACAGAGAGGATATGCGTCTTTGTCACGCAATGTCTGGTAGTGTCGATGTGCATATGTGCAGATTGTTATGATTACTACATACGTTGTTATGTAGGACTATACATGTATGTATCTTAGGAAGGGCGTGTGGCAGATCGTTTCCGTTTGCAAGGAAAGATTAGCGATACATGCATATTTTTGTCTTTTTAACGCGTTACTATGAGGACCACCACTGCAAAGACCTAGTCAGATCATTTGCTCTCTAGTATTAATTGACAGTATAAGTTTATAGTCACAGCGGAGCTGTCAAAATGCTTGCCTAGAAAGATCCACACGGCACATGCATTCAAACAACTGCGTCCCGTTTGTGTGGTGGAGGACAGCACTGATGAAAAACCACGGCTATCGAGTAGAGACATCTCGTCATTATGCAAGGTCTGCAGTCGATACTTTGAATTTGTTGTCAAATTCCAAGTGAGTACTACAGACTTGATCAAAAATGGCATAGCTAGTTATCTATCAGTAACTCGTTGGTGGACTACTCCGTCATCATCAGGCGTGCACCCACAATACTGTAGAGTGAACACGACCTAGTAACGACTTGCTCCTTCTAAATAAGATGCAGGTTAGAATCAATATAAAGTGTGGGCTACTCATCTATCACAAATCGATGAAAGCGGCAGAAGGAGAGCGGGTGTGCTATATGTATTATCAAGTATATATATTTATACATAAGCCGAAAGAGCATGAGTATATGTACCACAGTACCCACCAGCGGAGTGAGGAAGGAGGACGAAAAAAAAAAGAAAAAGAAATTCTGTGTGGGTTGGTTTCGCTTACTTATGTCCCGTGCTGTCTAATCGTTTGGAGCTCTTTCTCTCTCTCTCTCTCTCTCTTCTTTATTTACAACTTCATTCTTTTTTACATTTCTTTGTTCGAAAATTTCTCCTGTTCTCTCTTTTGTTTACATAACTTTTCTCCTTTTATCCCTTTTGCTGCATTTATTGAAGTGGGCTCCGGTTAGATAGCTGTATTTGTGAGACTACTTCTTTACATGCACAGCGCCAGCGTCAGGTAATAATAACAGTGCAAGAGGATGATTTACTACGAAAATCTGTCATGGCTGGGCGATGGGGATGCTAAATCAATTGCCATTCGGATTTTATTTAACTGTGTACGAGGGGATTTGAAAGAAAAAGTAGCTGAATATATTATTTTTTACTTAATATAGGATTTCAGCGGTGACCATTAAAGAAGAAGATGCATTTTGTGGCGACACAAAAAGCGGTAAAAAAAATAATATTTTTAGATCTCTTTTTTCTCTTATTTTAAACAAAAAGGTGGAAGGGGTGGTGATAAAAGTGATTTGAAGCAATTGGAAAGGGCCGCACATTGGGTATGTGAAAGACGTGTATAATATGTGCGAGCCAGGAAGAAAGAAAGAAAGAGAAAAACTGATCGAATCTATACCAAACATTCCAGTATTCGACGTCAAAAAATGCTTCGAGAAAACTTCTTCACCAGAAACACCTGGCGACAGTATTGAAAGCGATCAGAACGAAAAGTCCCGCTTGACGGAAGAATTCCACCACATGGCGATTGAAGAAGATTATGTTGATGTCGATGGGGAGAATAGTTCAAAAGTAGATAATAATAATGATACCGAACGTGGTAAGTTCTCGTTCTGTCTGCTCGGAAGGAACGAGAAAAAAAAAAGGAGAATTACATCGTCGTGGTGATATTTACTGAAGAAAAATTTATTTATTGCAGCCATCATCAAGAAAGAAAGAGGTGGTGATGACGACGACGACGACGACGATGAAGACGACGACGAAAAAAAGAAAGAGAAATGGCTGCCATCAGCAACGGCAGAAGCCATGGAAACTTATGAAAACACATTGACCAACATATACCTCGGCCAAGCAACCGGCAAATCCATTACGGGTGAAGAATCAATGCCCTGCGACTGTCGCTACAACCCCCGAACGGACGATCCAGACGCAGCGTGCGGCGACGATAATTTCTGTATCAACCGAATGATGTTCATGGAGTGCACTGAAAATGATTGCTCATGCGAACGTTTCTGTCGTAATCGGAGGTTCCAGCTGAGGCAGTATGCACGCGTGGATGTGATCAAGACCGAGAAGAAGGGTTATGGTCTCCGTGCGCTAACTGCTCTTCCAGCGTAAGTCGGCATAGAGCTGGTTGCGGTTGTTGGTGTTAACAAACTAAATGTGTTTTTTATTGTAGAAATGCCTTTGTGATGGAGTACATTGGTGAAGTCATTACTAATAGCGAGTTTATCCGACGCACCAAAACGTACGAGGCGGAAGGATTGTCGCACTATTATTTCATGACACTCAAGACTGATGAGGTAATGTCCTGTTTGCAAGCGTGTCTATGAGTAATGAGCATATCCGGGGGTTATATACGAAGGATGCTAAACCATCACTACAGATCATTGATGCGACGAAAAAAGGATGTTTGGCGCGCTTCATTAATCATTCCTGTAACCCAAACAGCGTTACGCAAAAATGGGTAGTAGGCAAGGTCATGCGCATTGGTATTTTCACCCGTACTCCGATACAGGCTGGCCAAGAATTGACCTTTGATTACAAATTTGAGCGTTATGGGTAAGTGCTCTCTCTTTCTCTATGCCTTCCTTTGAAACTAAACAAACTATCATGCTTTTCGTGCGTAGTGCGGTTGCTCAAAAGTGCTATTGCGGAGAGAAGAACTGCAAAGGCTTTATTGGAGGCGTTTCTGACGAACAGATGGAAGAGGAAGCTGGTGAAGTGCAAGTGTTACCGACAGACGACGACGATGAAGGAACGGCGGTAACAGCCGCAGCATCAACACCTAACGGCACTCTCGTCGAACCAGTAAAGAAGTTCAAACGGAAACCTGGACGACCACGCAATCCGCGCCCGCTCAAGGACGAAGACGAAGTCAACGATCTTGTCAAGAACATGTTGGATTCAGTCGGCAAAATGCATCTCGTCGACAAACTATTGCACTCGCTCGTATTGACAAGCAAAGATGTATTGAAAAAGTTTGTTCGATTACACGGCCTGCGATTGTTGAAACTTTGGCTGGGTGAATGGAAAAGTTACGACGACATTATCGAGAAAGTGCTTCATGTTTTACAGCAATTACCATTAGCGAATCGAAACGGATTGGACGACTCTGGCATGTTTGACGTTGTACAACCGTTCACGGAGCACAGTAACGAAGAGATAAGATGCGTGTCACTTGCTCTGCTTGAAGATTGGGCTCATCTGAATCGAGTTTATCGAATTCCAAAAAGAGTGGTACGTTTTCCTTGCCATCGACTAACACGCTTCGACATGAATGTATGAATTAATCCGCCTTCTTTCATCTTAAAATAATAGGCGGCTGAGCCAACTCTTTCAGAAGAAGAAGGAGCAATCGGTATTGTATCGTTGAGTAGACGCGTCTTTCACAATTGATATTTTCCCTAATTCTTCTACTTTTAAATAACAGATGCTCAAATTGGAGTAAAGCGTACGAATGAAGATGCACCCGAAGGACCAACAACAAAGCGTGCACGATTCCAGTCGACTCGAGAATTCTTTGATCCAGATGACGACTATTACGAGTACTTGTCGATGGATGCGAACTCTATGGAAATTTACTGGCGAATGCAATACCCACCTGTGCCCATTATTCCAACCGGTCCACGAGCTCAACAACAGCAATTACACGCGCCACCCACGTATCCGTACTACTACGGTCCGAGACGCAGTCCAGAAAAACGAACCTATTACAACAAACACAACATGGATATGACCGCAGCAGCTGCAGCATACAATTCGTCTGTTGATATGAAGAAAGCAATGACACATTCAGATCCAAACGCTGTTTATGAACCACGGCTCCCCACATCCACAGCAGCACAACAAGCCGCCGCTGCTGCCGCTTCAAGTGTTAGTACATCGGCAACTCCATACGATACCACAATGAGCACGCCATTTGATCCATCACGCTTGCCGACAGGTCCAGCAGCTGATACAATCGAATCAACTATGCCGAAATTGCCACCCAATTGGCGATGGGCGACTGACACCAACGGCAATGTGTATTACTACAATCGTCTTACTGGGAAAACGCAATGGGAAATGCCCGAGGATAAGGCGAGCTCGATCGAAGGTGTGAGTCAAGCAGAGATTGATGGATTGGTGGAAAAGGCGATCCTGGATGCTCAAAAGAAGAAGGGCAGTACTCCGGTCGAATCAAAGCAACAGCTCACAACTTCTTCGACATCTACACCTATTACTGCTTCTGCCACACCTACAACTTCAGCTACTGCTTCTACTCCAGATCCTCGTCGACCATTGTCGTCTTCTTCGAATGGTGACACTGCTTTATCATATTCGTCAGCAGCAGCAGCAAAACGCAAAGTACTGAAAGATGCGGAACTCAAACAAGAGATAAGTAAAGTTGTGACCCGGCATCTGAGTGCGAAAAAAACGTTGTGGAAGAATGACAAGACTGTGTTTAAAGAACTTGCTCGCAAGGTAAAGCTTCCTCTCTCTTTTGCTTAGTCTGTTTTTTCTTTCGATCGCTGAACTCGTCAAATGTTACATTTAGCTTACGCATCATATTGTGGATCGAGAAAACAACTCTTCGCGCAGAATACACAGCATGAACGACGCGTTACGTAGCAAAATCGAACGATTTATCAATGACCATGGTGCGGATTTTGCATCCAAGTTGGATCGAAAGTCGACATCCTCAACAACAACAACAACAACAACAACAACTGCTCTTTATATATCATCGACTACAAAGGATAACGGTACGATCCGATCTCGGACCCAATCCACGCCAGCATCGTCTCCGGACGCTTATTATCGGAGCCATGGCAGCGCATCCCCGTCACATTATCGACCCACACATTCACCTTATCATTCGTCCGCATCCCCCCCACGGCACTCATCTTCTCCTGTATATTACGCACGAAAGCAGCATCATCCCTCTTCTTCTTCCTACTCCTCTTCTTCCTCTTCTTTCCAGTATCATCCAGAAGGTCACCGTGCACCTCTCACTCATCAGCCCCCATCGTCCAGAAGCTCCTCGCGTCGATCAACACCCGATGCTCTGTCCAACAGGTACGACGGATGATGGTGATATGACTTTGTGATTGTACTTCATGATTCCCCCTTCGCCCTATAGCAAAAACACCACCGATTTCTTTTCTTTTTCCCACGTAATGACTCGAGCTCTTTTTCCACACACACACACACACACACAATTACACACAATTACACATTAACCCACTCAACAAAATTACACACCATCTGTACATAAGAAAAACAACGAATCTGCAATTCTTATACACTGGATCCGAGGATCTGGCACCAACAACCACCGTATTTCGAATATAACAGAAATGATAGTTGACGGTTGTGTTATCTTTCTCTGTGTCACATTCGCGATAATATATGCGTATCATAATAAGGTTTGAAGTCCAGATGCGTACCAAAAGCATAAAAGGGAAGCTGCTGCACTCCTTTGTCTCTCTTCCTCTTTCTTTTTCTTCTCTTAACCACTCCATTTGCCTGTCTCTCTCTCTCTCTCTCTCTCTCTCTCTCTCTCTCTCTGTTTTCCAGTCATGGATGTTGTTTACTCGGACGATTGCTTGCTTCACGATCCCCCATTCGAAGTAACCCGAGGCTCTGTCAAGCCGTACGTCGGTAAGTCTTGTAGAACGCCTTACGTAATCAACCGCTGCACAGACCCCTCTGTTCCTTTTCTATCTTTTTTTACTCACGCCGACTTTATGTACATTTGTAATCATTGCCAAATATAGAGTCGCCTGCACGACTGCAATCGATCAAAAAGTTTCTCGACACACGCCCCGATCAATTCAACGTTGTGAGCCCGCGGGACTACTCCTTGACACCCATTCTTAACGTGCACAAGCAAGATTACATCAAGTTCCTGCACACCATCTACGATGATTGGGTAGCAGAAGGCTTGCCTGCCGAAGCAGTGACAGGCGAATGTTTCGTACACCGCAACGCTCTCGGCAAGATCGACCCAGAAATTGTCAAGGAAACGGCTTTAAAGACCCCATCTGCGCGTGTTGGCCTGTATTCCTATGACATGTCGGTTGCATACACTTCAAAGACGTGGCAGGCGACTTATACAGCTGCACAGATTGCCATGTCAGGTGCACACAGATTGCTTCAAGTTGCTACTGCCGCTTCAACGACCACTTCCTCTTCTTCTGCTACCTATGCTGTCTGTCGTCCTCCAGGACATCATGCCAATTCATGTGTTAGCGGTGGTAAGGTTCATCATTCTAGAACCATATACATGCTGGGGGGTGGGAAATGATTGCTCACAAAAGCACATTTCATATCCATACATACATCCAGGCTACTGCTTTGTCAACAACGCATCTGTGGCTGCAAAGTTCCTCCAGGATTATACGCTAGAAGAAATGGATGCCATGAGCAAGCCGCTTGAATTCAACCCAAAGTCGTCTGCTGAACCTAGCGGACCCAAGCCCAAATCTGACAAACCTCAAAAGAAGATCATGATCGTGGACATTGACTATCATCAGTATGTATCTCATTGAAAAAAACCCAACGTAGTGTGGACATCATCTTGATTAGTAACTGATTGTACCGTTTTTTCTTTTTGGCGACCTATTTAGTGGCAACGGTACTCAAGATATCTTTTACAATGATCCATCGGTGTTGTATATTTCACTGCACGGTTATCCGGATTATCCTTTCTTTACTGGCAGCACCAAAGAAGTCGGTCTCGGTGAAGGCGAAGGCTACAATATCAATATCCCTTTGAATCCCAACACGACAACCGACGAAATTTATCTAAACCATTTGACCCAAGTACTCGAGGGTGAGACGGCCCAGAAATTCAACGCTGACATTGTCATCATTTCAATGGGACTCGATACTTGGCATGAAGATCCCATTGCTGGCATGAAGGGGCTTAAAGATATCAACACATATCATAAGATGGGAAACTTGTTCAAGACGTCCAAGAGCTGCGCTGGTCGCCCGGTGTTGTTCATCCAGGAAGGTGGTTATACTTACGAAATGTTGGGCCAGTTGGCAGGTCGTGTCTTGCAGGGTTATTTGGATTAACTTTGCATATTTAAATAAGTTGGATGAATGTGTGCAGATACTTGTTTTATAAAGTTTATGTATATGCTAGCTTTGTTACTGATTAATGGAATATTGAAGGGGCTGTCGTCGTCGTCGAGGGGTAGGACGACAGGAAAATATATACCCACAGAGAGGGTGCAGGAGTCTCTCGTCAGTATTTAGCTAATAATGATATATTGGTTTGAAAGAATAGAGAGAGAAAACGTCGTGTACAGTATGCTATTCTTCGCTTTTGTCGGGCTTAACAGATTGAAATTGAACAGCACCGTCGGGTCTCATGGGAGAGGTTTTCTGCGTTTTGAAGTTATTGCCGTTTACATCGCTGGCAGATGGTATGCTGTGGTTGCTGACTACTTCGACATGTATTTTTGAGCCTTGACTGCCGGCTAAGTCTTCTAACAATATAGCCGACGGCTTGTTGGACAAAAATGATGCAGGTGGTAAAGGCCCACCATGTTGCTGCTGCTGCTGCCTATGTTCCGTCACTATCAAAATTTTATGCAAGCGTGCATGGTGCATATGATATCAGCATATATGTCGGCACGAAAAATTCTAAAGTGTACGGCTGTTACATGGAAATAATTTACTGTTCATATTACCCTCGAAAGCGTCATTTGAGCTGTCAAATTGATCGTCTTTTAATTTTTCATCAGCTCCGTCGCTACTAAAAGCTGTTCCGACACTTGTTGACTTTTGTTTCTGACGTCGTCGGCGGATGTAGATGTACAAAATAACTCCTACTATACAGATCTTTTGTATATGCAATAATACATATTCAATTTGATGATTGTGCTCCTGCATAATCATTTCGCGTGGGATGATGAAAAAAAGTTAAAACAGAGATATACTTACCACTGCTACAATTCCAACAGCAATTCCGGCTATCGCACCGCTAGCCAAACCATCATTATTACTTTCCGGATCATCGTCAGCTGATACTCCGTCTGGCTCAGCACCTACAATGTGGTCGATCCATGAATAGGTATTTAGGTCGAGTACGTGGATGTTGTTGCTGACTAGTCCTTCCCTATCATGACCAAACAACAATATAAGAGCATCCGCGTCGATGATGGCTATGGAAAAGAGTTAAAGTAAAACATAGAGCCAATTAATATATGCACATATGAAATCGAAGAAGTTAGTAAGTGTTTATTATCGTAATAAAACCTTGGTGACCATAAATTGGGCCAGCACCACTTGCATTGGCAGACCTGTTAAGCGTCTCGGTTTTCCATGACATTGTTTCGATATCGAGTACATAAAAATAATCATCGTGTCCAAACATGCTACCGTCTGTAAAGTTTAAAGACATGTATATCAGTAAAGCTCGAGAATGTTTTATGATTTTATATTGAGCTATATATCATGTATCCCATCTTACTAAATCCACCGTAAACGATAATTTCGCCTGTTTTTGGATCTATACACACATAAAGAAGCGGTGGACAATAATGCCGAACATTAACATCTAGAGCACATGCTCTACGAAGAAAATATGATGCACGAATTTGTACTTACTTAATGTAGAAGTGTGTTGATAGCGAGGACTTGGTGTCAATTGTGACAAATTCGTTTGCTTTTCAATCCACAAACTGGTGCTTGTATCGTAGGTGAGAATATCCGTCATATTTGCGAGTATACTCGTTACCGGACCTGCATCAGAAGTTCGTGATATGGTGACGAAGCCCCCAATGTAGTAAATAATTCCATCGTTCCCGAGCACACCAGTGGCTGCGCTGCGAGGTAGAAAATCATCAGGTAAGCTGGCAGTGTTGGTTGTCCACGCTCCTGTCTACGTATTTATGAAATCAATATTGTTTAAAACTTAATAAATTTGCTCTTTGTTTTGGAAGATACAAACAGGAAAGTCCAATACGCTCATTTGTCTTGGGAATACTGTTACGTTGCTACCAGTGTCTACATCACTATATAAAATTATAACAATAGAACGGAGGACTTCAATTCGTATGATAACACTTTAACTATGATGCATATGTCTTGTATGTAAGTCATGCAAGCATGAGCATTTGACGCTACATGTATCTGCACTTCCTTCATATACCTGTAACCAGTTGCAACATAAACTCTATTTTGAGAATCGGCTACGATGCTGTGCCCTGTACTTTGGTATCGAGATTAAAGTCATGTTAGTGTAAAGCTTGGAAACTTAATGAACGTACCCTATTACTTACACCTTCATTTTATTGCCGTTTCTATCACTACCAACGAGTCGCCATGTCATAGAGTCTACGTCAAAGGCAACAGTATCATGCACCGTAGGGTTTGCTCCGTCAAGACCAGAACCGCCATCGATAACGATAGTATTTTCTTGTGGAAGAGCTGTCATTCCAAACAAGAGATTGGGTCCCGGATCCAGTTGTCCAGACGACGTTTTGATAGGTACCCATGACAATATCATCTCATCGATAGTCAAGCCGGCTGATATATCCAAATAGTAAAAATAATCCTTCCGAATAGCTCGAAAAATTCTGGAAGTCCCGAATTGTGCACCTCCGTAGCAAAAGATTCGGCGAGAAAGAAGCACACATCCTATTGTTGTCGAGAGAGAAAAAAAAAGAACGGATCTGATTATACTTTGGAACTATTGCTATCACCACCCATCGAGAAAAGAACATGTACGTTTGTTGCTTCATTATACCAACACAATGATTGTAGTATTATGTATACAGCTTACCAAGATTTGCACGAGGACCTGGGGTATCGGCATAAACTGAGGAACAGAAACACAGTAAGCCTGATAAAACACCAATGATGCTGATTGAAGACAAAATGCTATGTTGAGCTGTTACAGGCTTCTTTGATAGTAGCCGCCACATCTTTCTCGTTGAAAAAAGCAAACTGTAATGGGAGAAAATCTCATCAAATCGTACCTTTTACAAACAACAGTGTTTAAATATCCTAACTAGCACACAGTTTAAGTTCTACTCTTCTTGTAATGTTGTGTCACATTCTGCTACAGATAAGTAACCCAAAGATTTGAATCGCTTGCTGTATGATCAAATACTGTAAGTTTGTTAAAAATAGACAGCGTTCTGACGGTATGTAGTGATACTGTATAGTGGCAGCGTATTACTAGTGGTGAAGATACAGTAGAATATTCTTCGGGTGACGCTATGCACCACGTTGTGCATATAACGTAATGTTATTCCTCATCCCACCTCGGTTTCAACTTTACCGATTTTAAATTTTGTAGTCTGTAATACCAGAGACATTATCATTCTCAGACCTTTCTCATACACAATGGAATACTTTAAACGCGGCGCTGTGGCACTTGAAGCTACTGAGAATGTTTTTCTTGCGATATCATATGCACGTGACATTTTCTTTACTGTCCGGCAAATCCAAAGGAAAACTTCTACCTTTTTGCCATCTCGTAAGGTGTCACTAAGTTGTATCCAGCTTGGATTTTACTATGAAGACATTGTGAGTTCATATACATGTACGGCATTTTCTATTTAACATATTTACCTACTCAACTAAATTTCCATATTCTGGGATAAGGCATTATGGCATCTTACGTGTTACTCATTGCTGTCGCTGGTGTACCCATTGAAATACTACTGACCTTTATTGTACTACAGCAGAAGGACATCTTTCTCAATTTTGTCAAGAGATCTAGTTCCATTTGAGAATTTATTTCAGATTTCAACAATAGGCTTGAGCAATAACAACATACGCCGAGCTTGAAAGTCGTAACGAGTATCATAGATTTGAAACTGCTGTTTCTTATTGTATGCACATAGCAAGCTATTCGAGAGCATTCTCTATTCTGTTTTCTACCAGTTTTGTAGAAAAGCTTTACAATTGGTGTGAAAGTTCGGTAGTTTATGTATCTTGTTGTTTCTTATTGGGGTGCTTATATGTTTCAGTGAGATGTGGTAAAAAAACGTATGGTGAGAATAAAGGTTATTGGTACTACGTACTTTAAGTGATGGGTGGTGGTGCTTTGCTTACGATGCCGAGCAAGGGGCAACAATACTGTATACTACGAAAAGATCGGTAAAAGCAACCTCAAAAATAGGAATATACTATATAAGCCGATTCTTCGAAAAGCGGAATAGGAAGAGCACTGTTGAGCCCTCCAATAGCATGTTAGAGACTGCACCCTACTTTTGCCTTGTTTTCCTTTCTTTACTCCTTTTATTTATCGATGCTAGTTTGAAAAGTGGTACACTAAGCTTAATGCTTTTTCGATTCTCAATTCAAGTCCATGCGTGTAATGTCCTTTAAGGTATCCAGTACTGACTTTTTTCTATACAAAGATTCACTACTTTACGCGTATCATACGTAGCAACTACATACTGTTTTTAAATAAGTATTCCAACTCAAAGTTTTGTCGTGTATACTGATATTGGGAGATTTAAGACAATCTGTTTTTTTCAAAGCTGCTCGAGCGACCAAATTTTCCCAAATTTTTACATATGCGAGTTTAAACATCCGTTACACATGTCCTCACTACTACACTTTTTTCAGATATTACTGGCGCATGCGTGGGATGGCAAGTGGCGTTATGCAATTGGAGTGAGTGGCACAGAGTAAAAAATGATACTGGCGCAACTATCTTAAATAAGTCACATATTATCTTGTCTTCAGATCTATGACAAATAGGTTTATTCGCGAAGAATGTTTATACGATGAATGGATATATAAACGTGTCCGCTCATGCTGTAACGTTACAAAGGCTTACGTTGTAAACAGTCATCAAGCGTGGATGTAGAATAACTACAAAATCTTAACAATAGCGATCCCATCATCCATTTCCACGCTTCCAGCTTGATTATACAAAATATGGTGGGGCATCTTCTTCGCTATCACACTAGATGTTCATATCCTCTTTCCATTGATCTCATCAGCATGACAGTGGGTATGTTTATTAATCATCATTATTTCCTTCAAACTTTGCAAACTGATTTTTCAATGTATTGGCATTTTTATAGTTCAACAGCAGACCTTCCTTCCGTCCTGCAGCCATGCATTCTTGCCAGTCCATGCGCTTCTTGCCTTTAGCCATTCGTGCCTTCTTATACTTCGCGACAAACTCCATCCCTTTCTTGTACAGTGCTTTTCTATCCTCCAAAGTAGTTGAGGAAGAGGGGGTAGCAACGTGTACACCATCGTCATTGTTGTCGTTGTTATCATTCACAGCGTTGTCATTGTTATCATTCACCGCGTTGTCATTGTCATCATTCACCGCGTTGTCATTGTTAACATCATTGTCATCATCCTCCAATTCGTCCAGCTTCCGCTTTAGAGCTCGTTGTTCGACTTGAGCATCTTGGATAGCTTCACGTAACCTTGGTTTATCATCATCATCAGCGAGAGCGAGTATCTTATTGTAGAATATCTCTTGCTTGTCGAGTACTCCTTTTATAAAGTCGATGAGGTGGGCTTCATTTCCAATTAAAGACATGTAGTGGTCAACGGCTAGTGACTGCAGCATTTTTGTTGTCTCATCGTCGCTGGAAAGCTCACTGAACGGCATTGACTGTGTGAGAAAAAGTCCAAAGCTGGCAAATGGCTCACGTTTCTCCGAAGCTGTGAGTGACGAGAGACTTTCCTTAGCCATGATAAGGCACTTGCACCCCAGCCTTCACATGGATAGCGCCTACAACCAAGAACATCACTCGATTTAAGAAGATTCGCTACATCATCGTACAAAGTACCGCTACAAATAATGAGCATGATTGGATCCTTTTCGTAACGTCGATACGCTTGTAAAGAGTACATGATCAATCTTTTCATGAATTTCTTGTCCACCCGACATTGAAACTCTATGATGATAGGCGCGAGCTGAAAAGATGACGAACGAGGTGACAAAACAAGATCAGACCGACTTCCATTGCCCCACTCGCTTTCCGCAACAAAGTAGTCATCTGCCGTTTTGACTAGAGCTGTTGTTATGATCTTGATAACCGATGAATTGCGTGTTATGGATTTCGCCATTAGATCCGACCCTGGTCGTAAAGAGAAGACGCCAGGAAGGCCAGCCATGGTTGACAATTAAGTAGACAATTCGGTTGACAATTCGGTTGACAACTGAAAGTTTTGTCAACCCATTTGTCAACTCAGCAGCCCATTTGTCAACCCATTTGTCAACTCAGCAGCCCATTTGTCAACCCATTTGTCAACTCAGCAGCCCATTTGTCAACCCATTTGTCAACTTAGCAATGAGCTGGATAAACCGTTCTTCGTGAATAACCTATTTTGTCATAGATCTGAACGACAACATAATATGTGCCTTATTTAAGATAGTTGCGCCAGTATCATTTTTTACTCTGTGCCACTCACTCCAATTGCATAAAGCCACTTGCCATCCCACGCATGCGCCAGTAATATCTGAAAAAAGTGTATCTGGTACCATAATAAGCGCTGGCAATACGAAAAAGCTGGCGTTAATCGGAATTTATCAGCCCAACCTCGAGAAAACGACATGCTCTCTGTATTTGACGGGATCGAGTACTGAGAAACTATATGTCGTTGAAGCAGAATCCATCACTGATTTTGTTGGACTTTTGTCAGAAACTAGAGCGAGAAACCAGGTCAGGCAGCACATTATCTGGCCTGGCATGGTAAATGGAAAGCACCAACAGGAGATTTTAGGAGACAGAAACCATCTTTAATTACAAAGTAATTTTTACCCCCCTGAATAAACATAATTCGATATGAAAGATTCTTCTTTTAATACTTGTTGATACTATGAGCAAACAAGGAACAACACTAGGATTCTTCTGATTTTCCATGTTTATATGCAAAAGTAGAATTCCATTATAAACTCTGGAATTCATTAAAGAAGGATACTTGAATTATTCAATGTTTCAGACAATAAATTCTTAATCTTAAATTAAAGCTTCTATCCAACTTTTCCCCTTGAATACCTGTGTAATTTTTATATTGATGCTTTATTAAGTATAGTGAAACTGCTTTTTTGCAGTATCCTGTAATCTTAGGCTAATATTTTCCGCTGTGGAGGGACACAAATAAAGTCCCTTCTGTTGCCAAGAAAAGTCCAAATGGTTGGTATCATATGATTTGAGATAAAAAATATATTTATACCGTATTGTTCACTTGGGTAAGTCTATTGCGAGGATATCCATGTTTTGATTGCAGGCTAATGTTTGGAAAATACTATCTTAAAGCAAAGAAAAGTCAAGTGTAGTAAATGCCGAAGCAACCAATAAGGAAGAAAGACTCAACTGTTGATCGTCCGGTGTATAGTTTGAAGGATGGTCGACGAACTGACACTGTGTACGTTGGAAGCGGAGATGTAGGAATAGGGTGCTTGGAAATCGGAAAAGCGAACAATCAAAAAAGTGAGCTGACAGTATGATCAAACACCAGTTGTGATGTACGACGTGCTTCCGAAGTTGTCAACCGATCATCAAATTTAATTTACTAGCTGCACATTCTAGGATACAATATCAAGGGTACGTATAATGTGTTGAAAAAGTAACTTGATGTTGGCAAGGATACTTACTATGTGTCGCACAATTCTAGCGATGTTATTCTTCATGATAAGGATATTTATCCCGCAAGGGAATATCACAAGAATTCGCTGCTCAAAGCCTGCAGCATATCCGAGAAAGAATTATTGCATCGTCCGGTTGTGCTCTCTCCTCGAACTCGCAGCTAATGAAAAGGAAATAGCTGAGGAAACCTACAAAGTCTACAGTAGTTGTGAGCTACAACTGACAACATTACCTATCCATCCCTCCCACTATGTTTCTCGTTGGCTCATTGTCGTATGCATCGTTTACACTATCAGCATAATTGCCAGCCCTATCTTCTTCAGCATCAGCAACATCCTCATCACCGACGTCAACAAGCATAAGACAAAAAAGCACTTGACTCCACATATAGTGATTCCCAGTTAAAATCTCCCTTGGATACATTCCACCTTCAATTGTGGCAACTTTTATGATGGGACATTCAAAAATAAGAAAGCATACAGATTCTATATGAAACTCACCCTCACTTTTTTTCAACCTCATTCGCTTCAACCCTTCAAGACCCCCTTTGGGGTTGATCTAAACGGGAAACCACTGCACCAAGTGCACCAGCTCAGCAGAACAATATTTCTTGTATGATTGAGCATTTATCCATTGTCATATCGCATTTGTCATCATTCTCCAGTTATTAATCACGCAGTGCCAAATATACTAGAGCAGAGCGAAAGGTTATGCGCTTAAAAACAGATTGCAAACTAGTTTGCAATATGGTGTTTCTGGTCAGAATGTATCTTTGATGGACCACAGTGCAAGCATTCATTCGTGCATAGATGATTCATAACGTGCCCACGACGGGGTGATGCAATACATATTTTATCATTTTAAGAATTCAATAACCTGCCTGACTTCAAGTTATATATAATTCTTCTTACTAAATAGCTAGACATTTCGTTGATATTATTTATGCCTATATTGCAATCACATTCTGGCGTCCACACTGTGTATTAAAGTACTGTATACATCCATGATGGTCCTGTTATATTTGTATTAATAAATACTACAAGAAGTATCATTGAATCAACCTATCTAATATGATTCATATGGTAAGAAGTGATACTGCATAAGATTATGCATTCCATGATAAAGAACTACTTCTGCCTTCTAAATTATTTCGCCTTGTATATGTTCTTGTGATATTGGCGGTGAGGAAATTTGCTCGTGCAAGACTATTGAGCTAGTATGCACATATTGTCTTTTCATTCAGGCAGCAGTTGTTATTTCTATCTGCTCTGATAACTCAGTATTGTCCTTGTGTGTACGTGTGGCAGCTTAGCGCAGCATGCCAATAACGTGCTCAATATTTTTGCGTTTGTACTTTTTAACTTTGCTTTTACTCTACTTTTTTAATAAAATGATTCCCACAAGTTTATTTTACACCTTACATATATGTATATTGGTTTAAAAGAGACAGAGAGAGTGACTGAAAGAAAGAATCAAAAGAGGATGTTGAGGGTATCAATTTATATATGGTCATTCCATTTTGTTTTTTACTTTCGTTTCAATGCTTCCAACCGTCTGGCCAAAGAATCAAAGTCATTTGGATCATCTTGAGGTTTAGGAGCAGCAGGGGCGGGCGAGCGCTTTGTTCTGGGTGGCATGTTGGATGGAATTTTAGGCAGGTCAATGGAAGGTTCGCTAGGCGGCTGTGGTGGCGAAATTACACTTTCATCGTTCTGTTGCTCTGGTGGTGATTGTTCCTACATCATAGTGGATTAATAAAGTAGCTAATTAAAAATCAGATATGCATGACGTGCTTACCGAAGCACTAGGTTTTGCCAGAAGAGGAGGCTCCATTTCTGCCGGATATGCTTCAGCTAGTCCACCACCGCCACCACTCGAGCTGTCATCATCCAAATCATCCTCAGCCTCGGCAGCCAAGATGCTTGAAGTCCACGGTACGTCATAGGACTTTGCAATTTCTTCGAGATACCGCTCAACTAGGTACGGGTCGGGGGCACTGACCTGAAGCTTTGAAACTACCTATTGTTTTTTCATGCATGTACATTATGCGATGAGCATATAGTTTTTCAATCATAAACCATTATTTTGAGGATCCTTTGTAAACATACCCTATCATTCACCACCTGGTCAACGTTGTCAAGTGCATTTAGCACAAATTCTTTTCCATATCTTGCAGCAAATTGATCTCTGACCTACATTATCATACAGCAACAGAAGCACATGAGCATCGTAATTCAATCTCTTTCTCTTTTGATGATATCACTAACCGCAGCCAATTCTTTAACTTCATCAGTACGAGGTGTAGCCCAGATCAGCGTGTTCACTGCTTCAGCAATACCAGGATCGCATTCTCTAGTTTTCAACAATATGATCCATGACCATTATTATTTAATAGGGTTCTAAGATACGCGACATTAAAGCCAAGAAACAGCAACGACTTACTTGTATTGTTCAATCAATCCAAAACGTGCGAGTAGTAAATCACAATACAGTTCGAGCATTTCCATGGTCTCCACCAGCAGATCTTCACGAATGATATGTTCGACTCGAATACGTGCACTTTCCTCTTTGCCTTTATCGAGAAGAGTTGCAATCTCTCGGCGTTGATGCTGACCGAGCGAATTCTTTTTTGCCTGCAGCATTTTTAGGCGATTGATGGATAATTTCAGGTGTACTTTGAGTTTACTTGGTTGAAACATTGGTAATCGCTTAGAAGTGGGCGGCAAAATGGAAATGAAAGCGAGTAGAAACGTTCTTGTCGGGTCCGGGATGGCGCGTCACCGCTGCTGTTGCTGCTGGGAAACAATCTTATAATCCACACACCTTTGCATGGATAGTTTTAGTTGCTATATTAGGACACACTAAAATCAGAAAGAAACTGTCAGACATGACATACACACAAGATAACCTTGTAACAAATGGTTTTTATGTGTAGCTTATTTAAATTGTTTAGAAATCGGAATTGATATATTTCTTTGCATTTTTATGCTTGGGTATGGCCGTCGGCACTAGCATAAAGCCGTCGTTGTGCCTCTGTAGGAAATCTTTCTCGTCCTCCTGCTCCAGCAGAACTAGCAGCATCACCGCCTGTAGCGGCAGTAGCTGTGGAACTCTTATGTCTACCGCCGTTGCCACCATTATTGTTGACATCCAATATGGCTTGAGCAGCTGCAGCCGTAGCATTCAAAACATTGTTTTGTAGCGTGGCCATTAAATGTCTTTGGTGTTGGCTTCCATGATACTGAGGATATTTCCCGGTATTCAAATATGCAGCATATCCTTCGTAGCGTCTTCGCGCGTTTCCGCTCCAGTCGCGCGTCATCTGCACGGTAGCCACGCGTCGTGGTATATCCACATACGTACGATACACTTGTTCGTCGATCGAATGTGTCTGTAACTTGGCATGATTGTCATCCAATGCTATGCGGTTAAAGTAGTTGTAGTATTGTTGGTATTCTGGAAACGATTCGAGTCCGCCTGGTGAAGTCGACTGATCGCTCTGTACAGCCACAAGTTTATCCACAGTACGAAATTGCTTGGTATATCTATATTCGTTACAAGAAAAAAATAAGAATATCATAAAAAACAACTCATAACTTGAGTTTACAAGGATTTATGTCATGCTGATTGTGAACATATGTTCAATCGTCTATGTGGAGTAAACATACGATCGCTTGTACACAACCTACATTTCGTATTCATGTCGTTCGTTACTTGATACTTGCGGGTCTAGACATCGCTTAGCTATATTTTCAATCACCCATTTTTGTTTCGTGGGCTGGATCGCCTCTTCTTCGGGCGTTTGTTTTTTATCTGTCGTGACTTTGGCAACAGCTGGCGGACGTGTGCCTGGAATAGGCCGGACAGTAAATGGACTAATTCCTAGTGCTGCTTCTCGTGTCAGCCTATGTGTTATCAATGTCAATGAAGTCTTGAATTTCACCGGTGTAATTAGTGAAGGGAGAATAATGATACATACTCCGTATCCTTGTCATGGCCATTCATGGCAACTTGGGGAAAACGATATTTGAGAGTTCCATTCATGTTGTAAGCAAACAATGTATCCAAAGACGTCAAGTGACGAGGGTCATAATACTCTGACCAGTATCCATGATATGGATCGCTCTCGTCGGGATTTTCGGCTGGTTTGCGAAGGGTGCTGGGAATATGAAACGCTGATGGATCCACGTCTTCGTGCTTTGGTACAAGCACTTCAGTTGAGCACCATTTTCGGTAACTAAGAAAAGAGGGAGAGAAAAGCAATTAAATGGAAACATTAAAATGCGTGAGCATATGCATGTTCTTGTATCGTTTAAAAAGTTAGAGAACTATGATAGTATATTTACTCTCGCCGTGTTGCTTGAATTCGAGGGTCTTGATTGTGCAAGTGATAATCAGAATTCAGCTCCCATAACATCGGCTGACCGTCCTCGGTGACAAAGTTGCCTAGAAACAAGTTGATGGCATCCTGCTTGTCGGCATCTATGATGGCCATCGCGAGGAAAAGGGGAAACAATAGTCAGGGGAAGGACATGCAAATGTTAGAAAAACGTATTTTTTTGATACAGAATAAGATTTGGTTCTTACTGTCTGTCGCTATAAGCAACTATAACCCCATTCAATAATATACCTGAGAATGCATTTGCATAGAATCTACGGATAGTCTCAATCATATCGCGAGGATGGCTTGTCCATTGGTTGATCTTGCGATACGTTTCCATGGTGTTGACCAGATGTGAACCACCATACTGGAGCGCGATTGTGTCGCCATGATCATGATACATTTCCGTAAAGATATTTACAGCGTCTGAATCAAAATCAATTTTCGGCGAAGAAACTACACCTAACGCATACAGCTGATGGCCAAGAGCGCATTTTCCCATCAGAAACTGGGCGGCGTTGGTTCGGTCCAAGCAATCAATACAGTTAGTACGCAGAACACCATGTTGCCTGGATCCTTCTGAGCGTTTTGGATTGCCACTAGTAGGATTCTCCTTCAATCAGTACAAATGTTATGTACAAACACACATGCACACGCAGAGAAAAAAAGCACTCTTCTTCTCTCAGTTGATTTTTCTTACGCAGAAGTTCGACGCATAGCATTAATATAGGGCTCGGGACCGCTATGAAAGAACCCTGTCGAGTCGATGGTTTGCTGAGCAACGGTTTCCAAATAGCCAATAACATCTTGGTTGCTACGAGGATTTTATTGAAAGGTACCCGTGTCAGAGTTCGATTTTTGTGCCAACAGCCCCTACTCTTAGATTAAGGAGGTACCTTACCTTTTGGATGCCCTTGACATATCCCAAGCAATGTACTTTATCCTTTTATCCTCTGGCAAGAATTGATTTAAGTATGTGATGGCTTGTTCGAACTCGCTTCCCAGAATAGATTCACGCTTATGTGCTTCTTTTTGCTAGATAAACATATGAAATGCTGATTGAATAACTACCCATCACTCTTGAAAACTTTAAGAGGTCAGAATAGAGGCGATCCGTTTACCTTGATCAAGTTTAGTACAATGCACGGTGTCCCGTACCTTGCGAACAGGTTTTCAAAATGCAATGCAGCAGCTGTATAAAATGGATCAACCACGTTCACTAAGTAAAAGAAACAAGCGCAGCATAAGACATTAATAGTGAATGTCGACAGTACTATTATCCTAATCCTTTTAAAAAAGGCATCTTACGTTCAATAGGAGGCTTTGGTGACATGTTTGTTGGATCTTGTGTCCATATCAAAGGGATAGATCCTCGGTGTTGCACGTAAGATGAATAGCGTGGGTTGCCAAACAGTCGATCAGTAGAATGAAACGACGTTGTCGTCATTTCTGCAACGATCTGTTCCGTTTCAACGTCGTTCGCCACAAAACCCTAATGACATCAAGTATACATTATAAGTGATTCTTCATATGAAAAATATGTAAGGAAAGAGAGAATGGGAATGAAAACAAACCATATCATTGACACCTCGTTTGAGAAAGCGCGCGCCAGCAAAGTGTCTGGACCGTCGAGCAATTAAAGTAATAACAACATTTCGACCGAGCACCGATATCTCTGGATGACAGTATAGAATGGAACGTCTCGATTAGTAAAAAAAAATGAACAGAAATACTTCTTTCACTTTTGTAAACTAGATATCTATCCAGCTTACTGGCTTGATCAACGAATCCGTAGATCAGAGGAAGAATCCATCCAGAGCGACTGTTGAGGTCCTTGAAGCCCGATTTCAGCAAGTAATGATTCCATACAAACATATCGTTGTGGCTGACAGGCATTTTTGATTTCTTTTTACCACCTGCACCGTCCTCGTCGTTGCCATCATATTTTCCATCATCCTCATCTCCACTGACGCTGTTTTGAGTATCCATTGTCGGTGGCGGGCCAGTCATATTGACCTGAAGGGTATTGGTGATATCATATGTATAGGAGAAGTAGAAGTTTTTGGTCAAATCGATATTTTGAAACGTAGCAATGTAGCTATAGATACAAGTAAACAATTTAGTATATAACTGGTTGATAGTAGCAAAAATAATGATTATGTATTTACCGAGCTTCATCTGAATTCTTGTCGACTTTGACTTGAGGCCCAATAGGTACAAGACGTGTTTCATCAATATGATAGACATAATGACCGCCTATCAACGCCACCTGTTTGACGTTGGTGATAAAAATAATGTACCACCCTTGCGTAAACCGGATAAAGCCGACAATGCCATAAATGCGCATAGGAACAAGTTGAAGGCCGCCTACGGACATATTGCCATACTCGATCATATTCAGTAGCCTTGTCTTTTCCGCTTCAGAGTACACCACATCGTCTTCGATCACTACTAGCTCCTTGGGGTTGTTGCGATGGATTTGCAGGACACGATATTTTTGCCTTGATTGATTGGTGCCTATCAAATAATACCGCTGTTTCGATGGATTTATGTAGGATCCAACTTTAAAAAAGATATAAAAAAGTCTCAAAAGAAGGGATCCTTACAGTTTTGGTCTCGTATAGTTCAAAGCTGCTCATGACAAAGCGATAATTAGCAAATCCAGGGACATCTTCCTTGGCATCGTTGTCGCCGGTGGCGTTGTTCTTGTTGTTGTTGTAGACAGCATCAGCAGCAGCCGATGAGTTATTTTGCTGCTGCTGTTTTTTTGGTGCTTCGGGTACGGCAGTTGCCAAGTACGCTTCATTTAACGAGTGTTGCGTCTCATTAAAGATTTGTGCATCGGGATTCATTTGTGTATATGTAGAGCGTAATATGTATTGATTAGTTCACGGAAAAGAGAGCAACAAAGGTACGCAATAGGGCCCACAAATTTGAGATATGGAGAGAATCAATATATTGAAACAAAAAAACCGTATTCTTTTTTTAAGGTTGAAACGCATCAAACATGCGTTATCATCATCATCATCATCGTAGTTGTCATCATCGTCATCCGTAGAAAAGAGGGGGAAACAGTGAAAAGAGAGAGAAAAACACAGTATATATAATATAGAGATGAAAGAAAGAAAAAATTAACGCCTAATCTCTTATCTACTTGGATTCTTCAGCCTCTTCACCCTTGGCGTCCTCATTCTTATCGGCTTCTATTCAATACAAACAAGCAGATGTGGTGAGTAGAAAAGAACACTCGAAGAAGATCCCGATTCCATGTAATTCTGTCTTCTTCCCAAACAAATGATAAAGCTCACTTACCACCCTCCTGCAAGTCAGAGGTCCACAAGGTCAAATTGTCTCTCAGCAACTGCATGATGAGAGTAGAGTCCTTGTAAGATTCTTCCGAGAGGGTATCGAGTTCTGCAATAGCATCATCAAAGGCCTGCTTGGCCAAGTGACAAGCACGGTCGGGAGAGTTGAGGATTTCGTAGTAGAACACGGAGAAGTTCAAAGCAAGACCCAAGCGGATGGGATGAGTGGGTGCCAACTCGGTCTGGGCAACGTCGGTGGCGGTCTTGTAAGCCTCATGAGCCTGGGTAGCAGATTCCTTGCGGGACTCACCAGTAAGGAACTCGGCGAGGTAACGGTGGTAGTCACCCATCCTGTATTAATCGTGTCAGCCCGTATTGTTGTGAATAACAGCACACGTTTAATATAAAAGAGCCAGAAACGCGTCTCTTTTCTTTCTGAAAACTCACATCTTGTAGTAGAAGACCTTGGATTCACCGCCCTGAGCGTTGGGGATCAGGTTGTCCTTCAAAACGTTCAGAATATCAGAGCAGACGTCCTGGAGTTCGGCCTCGATCTTTTGGCGGTAAGCCTTGATCTTCTCGACCTGGGCAGCGTTGCCCTTGCCTTCCTCCTTTTGCTCGATGGAGGACACGATTCGCCACGAAGCGCGGCGGGCACCAATGACGTTTTTGTAGGCAACGGAGAGAAGGTTACGCTCTTCAACGGTCAGTTCAACACCCATCTATTCAGGAAAAGAACGCGTTGCCATTGTTTATAACTCATATCTTTTTATCCTCTGTGATGTGATGTGATTCGTTTCTTACCTTGGAAACTTCCTTGGTGTACTGGACCATTTCTATTGTGAGGCAAAGAAAAGAAGTTAAAATCATTAAATGAGTCTATCCATCATAACATATGTGAACGAGCTCTTTCTTGGGGAGATGGAATGAGACGGATGGCCAATGCAACTAGGATAGTTGATATGAGGGAGGGAAGGAGAAAGGGAGAGTTTTGGAGCGGGGAGGTGACTCATGACGCACACGAAACGCTTCTCACGCGTTTCATGTCGTCTTGTTCCTCTTTTCGTCCAGAAAACACAGTATAAAGAGATGTGGAGAGAGAGGTGCGAGAAAGAAAGCAGGATTATAGCATACCATCGTAACGCTCGGCTTGTTCGGCCAACTTGGCCATGTAGACGTTGTTTTCGCGTTCCTAAGTACAAACATTTGGGTTAGCACCAAGGAGGGTCTGGGTCGTTGGAGAACACGGGACAAAAAGCTCTCGAGTCAAGAAGAGGTGCAAGAAGAAAGAGAGAAAAAAAGAGCGCGCGAGAGGCTAGGAAAGCATATCGATGAACGACATGTTTCACGAAAAGAACCAGATGGAGGGCTCGGATGAGTTTTTGGTCGCCAATTCGACCAACGGATGTCACCAGGCTCGACAAAAAAAGGTCGTTTGCTTTACACGCGCAGTGGCGTAAAGAATGTGCGATGAACGTCGTTTCATTTTTTCTTGACAGAAGAGAAATGTAACGAGAATAGCATATCGTATGATATGTTAAGTTTCTCTGCCTCATTTTTGCCGGCAAACAAGAAGAGAAGATAACAGCCATCGTGGAATTGCTCGCTCGCTCCCTTTCTCTCTTTCTAAAGTGATTACGCCCCTCCCACCCGCCATAAAAGCAAGTATGGAAAAGAAACAGGTTCACCGTGGAATGGGAAGAGATTTGACAATTAAATGAACTTACGGTAGACATTATTATTTTTTTACTTTGGGAGATGAAGCTGGAAGAACTCTTGGGTTGTCAAAAGGGAAAACGCGATGCGGGCAGCGAAAATCGAAGGTGCATCCTTTGGTTACGTCAACACTCTATGCGGGTTTTAAAGTGTTGCTGTTTCACAAAGCACAGAACAACCAATAGAAAGCAGAGGGGCCCGATGGGGAAGCGGGTTGAGTGAGGGTTTCTCCCTGGTGGCTCGTTATTCTTTGTTGGTGTACGGGCCTGTAATAACTGGATTGCAATCGGCTTCTATTAATAACCTTTGACGCTTGGTGGATCTGCTTCTTGTTTAGACTTTTGGGCTGCGTATTTAGCAGGTCTGAAAGCATCCACGATAGCAGATACATGATTTTGCTCTTCCTTCAACTTCTGACAAAGTAGTTACACTCTTCCTCTCTCTGTCTCTCCCTCTCTCTCGCTCATCCCTCCCTACGTGACACAAAGGGCACTTGACGTTCTCATCAGTATAACATTACATACAGCTCTACTCGTATCTCAGCCAAAACTTGCGTGCATGCGGTTCCAGCAGGATAAATTTTCATTCTTTAAACAATGAAAATATGTTCTTACTGATGTTCCAATCTCGTGCTATTGACAACACGCACCCGGTAATATCATGGTGCTTGTCAATACTAAGCGATGCGGTCCAAATCAGACTTCTCTGCGCGCGAATATATTACCAGATCAAGCTGGGTTTACAAACACCTTTAAAAAAAACGTGCCACAACAACAACATCGGGTAAAATAAAAGCGACCGAGCTATTCAAAATGAGGTATTCTATCTCGAATGTAAGCACCTGTTCTTTGTCCGTATTGCCAGTTTCAAGCCAGACAACTTATTCACCAATAGTAGGTTTCAGTGATATACATGCATACCAGAAATATAGTTGCATTGATAACGACCCTTGAAAAAAGTTAATAGCCTTTTGTCCTTTTTCTTCGCTTTCGGATACGCCGCAGTATAATCTACACTGTACTTGATGTTTATGATCTGCAACGATGTTATCGGGGCAAAGATATATATGCAGACTCGAAATCATCACCCTATTCAACTTTCTACCAAAACGACACATGCTAATAGTAATAGAACATAGCCGAGTAGCGTATCAGCACTACATTCGCTGCTACTGCTGCTACTACTATTACTACTGCTAAATGATTCAAACATGACAATAGCAACAATGTAGAACAAAAATATAGCTTTCTCTTGGTTTGTGCTGCAACACAAAAGACACGATGCCCCATACTTCTTTCTTCATTTATATATAGAATGATTGAAAATATAAACATTGTTCCGCATAAAAAAGATACATGATGCAAGAAAAGAAGAGAACACAACGTAGAAAAGTATTTTAACGGTATGACTTTTGGAAGCGGGCACGGGCACCTGGACCGCCGAACTATTATATAACAATAAAACATCATGATAATTAGTATCCACATGATCGCAACATAAGATTCCCCCTCTAACCTCTCTCTGTACGCGTGTGTGTATTGTGTATAGAAAAACATACCTTCTTGGGCTCGCAACGACGGGGATCGGCGACAAGGAGAGTACGGTCGTACTGAACAAGGATTTCCTTGATCTCCTTCTTGGAAGCTTCATCGACGTACTTTTGGTAGAAAGCGACGATAGCCTTGGCAAGAGCCTGACGGATAGCGTAGACTTGAGAGACAACACCTATTATAACATTCCCAATTAATTTCTAATTCCACATATCTATACAACCCTTCAAGGTCCTCCACATAAATATTCTTTTTTGAAGATAAAAATAACGTACCACCACCCTGGACACGGAGACGGATGTCGACGTTGGCGAAGCGCTCCTCACCCAAGAGCAAGACGACTTCGTAAACCTTGAACTTCAAGATTTGGGGCTCCAAGAGCTCAAGGGGAGCACCATTGACGCGGATAAGACCACGTCCACGCTTGCAGTGGGCAACGGCAGTAGCGGTTTTCTAACAAATATAAAATTCAACGAGAATTTAATTTTCTGAGGTAACATTGCTGAATCGTGGAAAATGAATCGAATCGCGTCCGTAGTATTTGATGTATTATATCGATGTTTGTCGTTTCTTCGGTTTTCCGTAATCGATCCAATCGCATCCATGTTGCATCCATCGTTATCCATCCTTCTACAGGGACTGTTCGATTCATTTCTTAGTGGATGGATATACACACCTTGCGGCCGAAAGTTTGGACAGCTTCCATGTTCAAAGAGGGAGGTTGCCAGTACTACAGGCCGCCAATGTCCATGTGTAGCTCGGCTATATTGAAATTCCGATAGCTCTTTTTCTTATTTAAAGCCAAGATGCACCGCATAATAGTTTGCTTGCTATATTACTTGCTGTTCCATGATTACAACCTTTGCTAATAACACTGCAGTAACCTAAAAGCTCGCTTGCTTTATTGATTGTTTTTTAATGATTACAGCATTTGCTTATAACACTTGAATGTAAAAGAACTGTATATAGCACTAGACTGTAGTTGATACATGATTCATTGGTTTGCTTTTAATCTTAACGCAGGGCCTACGTATACAATAGGTATCATCCACTACTTCTCGGAAAGTTCAAGTCAGTGTACTGTGGGATAAATTGTTTGCTGCTTAAATGTTTAAAGAGAGGTATACCTCTACGCGTAGTGGCAAGATACCAGTAGAAATTAAGGAGGGGTGTTGCATGAAGCTCTCGTTGTTATACAGGAACACTACAGCTACTAAAAATGTATACCATTCAAGTTTCGGCTCTCCCACGATCATTTGTGTTATCATGACAACACCCACGCACTCGCTATCAATTTATACACTATGCATACAAGGCCAAAAATGCAACTAAAGCACACGATTGCTCACGTACAAACACACATTAATACTCGCGTCAAGTATTTCTGATGATGTATTTATAAATAAAGAACGCTGCTCTAGATACTCATGAGCTTTTTTTCTCTCGTAAAACTCGGTAAAGCCAATGTGTATCAAAGCATCACCACAAACGCATATTTATTGCAAAATACAGCATGCATACTACACACAAAAAAAGAGTACACCAACAGGGATTTATTCAAAAGCACACACTACATAATTGGGATGCTTAGTAATGTTTATATAGCTTTCTTTCTCATGACATTAAAAGAAAATGATAGTATGTGCGTGTTGGACTTACACACTCCAAATGCATATAACACGACGTTGGGAGCTACTAAACCTAACACACAATACCCACGGCTGGGCCATATTTTGTCATCGCAACTGAATAAATTCCCCAAGCATTGAAAAACAGTAAAAAGCATAAGCTTTTTCCACCCTTTTCCTTTCTTCTCTCTTCGCTTCTTCTTTAATTCAAACCAATCAATCAATCATGGCCACTAGCACTCTACTCGACCCTAGTCTATTGTCTCCCAAGTTTCACGAACTATACGCGAAAGCCAAAGACTTTATTGAGGTAAAATAAACTGTATACATAAAAGCTTAGTCTAGGGACGCCTTTCTTAAATCAAAAAGATATGTAAAAGATATTGATTATTTTTGAATGACTGGTATTTAGAATGACTGTATTCCTGCAGAGGCACTCTACGAACAGCAAATGGGCAAAAACGAAGACCGCTGGAACGTGCTTCCCCCTGTGATGGAAGAACTTAAGGTCAAGGCACGTTCGCTTGGCTTGTGGAACCTGTTTTTGGGTCACGAATATGGCCAATACGGCGGTGGTTTGAGCAACTTGGAGTATTCGTTGATTGCAGAAATGCTAGGCCGTTGTGGCATTGCTTCTGAAGCAATGAACTGCTCTGCTCCTGATACGGGAAATATGGAAGTGTTTGCAAAGTATGGTACGCCGGCACAAAAGGAGAAATGGTTGAAGCCTCTATTGAACGGAACAATTCGATCGGTATTTGCCATGACAGAGCCCGCTGTGGCATCATCCGATGCTACCAATATTGAGACCAGTATCCGTCGTGAAGGCAATGAATATGTCCTTAATGGCCGCAAGTGGTTCGCATCCGGAACTGGCTCGCCTAACTGCAAGGTGTTTTTGGTCATGGGGAAATCGGACAAGGATAACGCCAATCGTCACAGACAGCAGAGTTTGGTGATCGTTCCACGCGAGACCCCCGGTGTTCAGATCGTCCGTCCTTTGACCGTTGTGGGCTATGATCATGCTCCCCATGGTCATTTTGAGATCATCTTCTCTGATTGCCGTGTGCCTGTAGAAAATATCATCCTCGGTGAAGGCGGTGGATTTGAAGTAATCCAAGGGCGCTTGGGTCCTGGTCGTATCCATCACTGGTAAGAATTTACGGGAATAGCATGGATAAAGAAAGAGGATGAAGAGATGACAATGACAGTGAGCTAATTATAGAAATATATTCAGCATGCGATGCATTGGGATGGCTGAACAGGCCCTTGACTTGATGATTGCTCGTGTCACTGATCCATCTCGAAGAACGTTCGGAAAAACCTTATCCGAGCATGGCACTATCGTTGCAGAAATCGCCAAATGCCGTATTGAAATTGAACAGTCGCGTTACCTTGTCCTCAGTGCAGCAAAGAGAATCGATGAAGTTCAAGCAAAGAATGCCAAGCGAGAAATTGCCATGGCAAAGGTATTTGTTTTAGACTGCTATCATACTGTTACATCAAGTAGCATCATAGTCTTTGTACATACTGACAGAAAGTAATGTGATCAATGGCAGATTGCTGTACCCAATATGCTCCAACGCGTTGCTGATCGCGCCATACAGGCATTTGGCGCTGCTGGTCTTTCTCAGGACACCAAGTTGCCTCATATTTTCGTCAATGCAAGATACTTGCGCATCGCCGACGGACCCGACGAGGTCAGTAATAATAGGAACAAATCGGTCGTAACGCAAACAGATGAGACTGATCTAGACGTTTCTTCTTTCCAATCAATATTATAGGTCCACTTGCAGCAACTTGGCAAAGCAGAATTGCGTCGTGCATCTGAAATTGTTGAACAGCAGCAGCGTCAAAAGGCGAAAAAAGAACAGCTACTTGCTAAAGGATCCTCTAGGCTCTAGGCCAGAAGGAAACTATGCGCTTCCTCTATTTTATGCAAAAATAAAAAAAACTTTTATTGTTCCGAACAAAATGAAACACTTGCCACGATCAGTATACTGAAACCCAACACCCCTCCCAAAGAACCTTCCTTGCCCAATTTTCCATAATCGTTGTCTACGCTTTTCTTCTCTACTTTGCAATACCGACAACAACAATAACAACAACGGTCGAATCGCCGGTTTCCCAAGCAACAAACTTGGACGCGATGATGCTATGGACGGCTTCAATAACCGTTTCAATCAAACCGAGTTAGATCACGGTATCGTCCCCGAAGAACTCCATGACCTCGGAAACACCGTAGCCACGATTCTTTACTTCATTTCTATCGGTTGTTGCGTGCTCGTGATACTCGGCTATGCATTTATTCGCTATTTTGACCGGTCACACGATCGCTTGACGCTTCGGTTGCTGGTGTACGCCAGCATTACCCATATTGTACTTGGCATTGCCGGTGTGTTCCGCATTGATTCGGACTTGTGGATAAACAATGATGCCTGCCAAACAATCATGTTCTTTTACGTGTTTTCCAACGTATTCACCGTCATTATCATCACATGCATTGCTGTCAATTTGCAAATTGTGTTTGTCCATGGCATCAGGCGCAATTTGCATTTGGGGCGCTGGTATTTGGTGGTATCCTTTGTGTTCTCTTTTATCACCGCGATTATACCTATATTTCCATGCGTCCAAGCTTACAAGTACAATGAAAATTTGCATGATTGCTGGTTTCAACAGTCCAATGATCATGTCACGAACATATGGGCTTTCATTGGCCTGTATCTTTGGCTCCTTATCTCCATATTCTATTGCTTTATTGCACTCATTATGGTGTTGTGGAAAATGGGTGTGGAGGAGTTGAAGATCAACGAGCATTTGCGCAGTCAGACGGCAAATCGCCAAACCAGCGGTCGTCAAAAATGGGTTTATCGTTGGCCATGGTCGCTCTTCTTCCGTCCGCCACAATCCGATCCAGTTCAAACAGCCATACGCCCTCATCAGCCAAGCGAAGATTCCAGTGTCAATGTCGACAATACTGGTGATAATGATGGCAGTGGCGGTAATAACGAGCAGCAACAGCAGCAGCAACATCATTTGTCAATACGGCCAAGATATATCCGCGCTGCCGTTTTCTCACGAGTACACCGCACTGTCCATACTCTCCGTGTATTAAAGGAGCAGCGACTGAAGATGTCCTATGTTGCCAAAGTCGCAGGCCGAGTGATATGGTTTCCAATTAGTGAGTATATAATATCATTGTTCCGCTGTCGTGCTGCTGTCGCATATTAATGGTTTACCCTGGCTTCAATTCCTCTTCCTTCGTGTCGCAGCTCTTGTTCTAACCCGCATATGGGGGGCGATTGGCTTTGTCGTCGCTTACACAAAAGGAAGGCCAAACCCGTTTCTGTTGCTCATGTCATACGCAAGCGTGCCGATGCAAGGTGAGCAAAACTCTAAACTTTCTTTTTCTGATTTGATTGTCATTGTTGTTGTTATTGTCACTCTCAAAGAACATAATTCGGACGCAACCACGAATTCCAATTTCACCCCCCAACTTATATACACGCTCACGCTCCTCGTTAAACCTTCAGTGTTTGCTAATCCCCCCTCTAACCCCTCCTTCCCTTTCCCCCTGCTCCTCCATATTGCGCTCTCAGACCAGTAAAAAGAAGAGAAAGAATGACAGACAAAGTACCTGGTTTGACATGTCTGTTAACCTCCTTTACATACAGGGATATTCCTGCTGTTGATCTTTATTTTTGATCCATCGCTTCATCATGCAGTCCGAACAGCGCTTGGCTGTGAAGAAAAATCTCAGTACGGAGACGATTCGCTCATTGACGCCGGAAAGTCGTTAGTAGTGGCGCATCAAGCACATCATCCACAACAATCGCCCGGATCAACATTATCGGCGCAGCGGTCGCGATTAGAGGTGATTCAATCGCAAAGCGGGCTTTCTTTGTCTTCTGGTGATCTATCAATTCACACACGCGGATCGTCTACTATGAGTATAAGTAGCGATGTCGATTCAACACGAAGTAACAATATACCTTCATTGTTGACGCCGCCGCCGTCATCATCATGGCAGCAGCAGCAGAATCAACAAGGTTTCAATGATATGCAGCAGCAGAAGCATCCCTTGCCTAACAGACACAACAACAGCAACAACAGCACTAATATCCGCAACGCTACCAGCAGAAGTAATGACAACGACAGTAACAACAACAAGCGCTCAAGTACTGCTAGTACTTCTGTTACAAAGTCGAATCGTTTCAAGAACAATAACAGCGACAATAACCACATCCGTTCACCACATTCAGCCAATGCTGTATTGCTGTCTTCTTTCCGACCTTCTGCGCATCCCAATCGACGAGACCAAGAAAACCGCTTCGGCACACATTATAGCGATCCACCGATGAGTAGAAGATCAACGACAGCCGGAGCGTTTCGGCTGGGAAGCAACGACAACAGAAACGACAACAACAACAGCGTCAGTATTAGTTGTCCCACTAGTAATAATCCCAGTGCTAGCAATTTTGATTATAGTTATGACGAGAAATGTGTACTGCGTCAACTGTAAATTTCCACTTTAACACCCAGTATCCAACCCACTTGCCCCCTCTGCTCTCCCTCGAACACCTCCTACTCCTTTATTTATTCGATCCTGCTTTTTTTGTATGTACTTCCTCTTAACAGAGTTTGCGGGAAAAAACAGAGTCCTGCTATGTAACAACAAATATTTGCTTGTTGCTGTTATGTAATATTCGAAGAGCGATTTGATATATCGTAGTATACAACAAAGTAAAAAAAAGCGAGCTCGTGGCATATCGTCTTTATTCTTCCTTGTGCACCTACACACACTCTCTCTCTCCTTGTTTTTCGAATAATCTCTTCTCACTTTCTCTCGCTGTCTCTCTATCAATTTATCAGCTCCCGATCAAATAACGATCATATAGAGTGGCAAGAAAATTATATATAGGAGTTGAAGGGGGGAAAGTCAAGAGAGTGCTAGACAAGAACGAGGAAAAAAAGAAAGAAGGAAAAACAGATCAAGATTGATGATATAATTAGCAAAAATAAGGGTACCCCTTTTTGGATTGACTGGGCTTGGTGGTTATAGTAGGACGGGTGGCAGTGTGGGTGTGTAGTAGATACTAATAGTTATTGGCCCCCTCCCCCACCCCGGGCTTGCTTTACCAAGGTTTTAAATTTTTGATCCCGCATATAATTTTCAGTTCTCTTCCCGCTCTTGCTATTTCATGCCTTCTTTTTCCTCTTCTTTTTTTCATTCATTCATTGATAATCAGAAACAAGGGTTCGGTATATCATGGAATATGACGCACAGGCTCGACGATCGTCTTGTACAGAGACGACGTCCCAGAAGCAGCGGCGCATGAACCACTTGACAGATCGTATAAAGAACATGAACTTTGACGAGCCAGCAAAAATCTTCAGAAACAAGCATAGCATCCATAATTTTGAAACTGTTACTCCAGATGCATCAGTCCCCGGTACACCAGTTCAACATCAACGAGATCAGACTGTTTCTACGAACAACAAGAGGAATAGTAGTGGCAGCAACAATAATAACGACCAATTTTTGACCACGACGTTTGTTGCACCCGATACACCGCGATCATCCTTGTCAATTAAGAGTAATGCAAGCAGCAACGAGAGCGGCACTAACAAATTCTTGCGGCCCACTGCGGGTGAACGAAGCAAGAGCGCAGCATCGTCCGTCTCCTCAGCAGATTCTTCAGCAACACCTTCTCAGTTTGTTTTTAAAAAGCCACGGTACAACAACCGATACCTTCAGACGCATTTCCATCATATCAAGAAGAAAGATACCATCTTTCACGAGCTCAAGCGGTTTCTCAAAAAAGGCGCCGGCGGTGGCGGTAGCAATGGTGGCGGTAGCGCTGCTAGTACCAGTGGCGATGAAAAATCGAGCACCAAGCGATTTAGTGCGCGTGAGCCGATTAAATCTTACCCAAGCATGGATTTTGATACGGCCAGCGTATCCAGTCGGAGAAGTGATCTGTCATTCGCCAATGAATTCAACAAGGACATTGAAGCGCGTTATGGCAAATGGGGTATGTTGACGTCCCCCAGTCTGCATGAATATTTAAGCGCTTATTATTTACCTATTACTTGTTGTTGTCACCATTACTAACAAACATGTTGTTTTTTTAAACTGCTAGGACGTTTTGTTGGTAAAGGCGCTGGAGGATCCGTGCGACTGATCCGTCGCCATACCGACGGAAAAACATTTGCAGTGAAACAGTTTCGAAAACGGATGCCCAACGAAAATGAGAAAGAATACGTCAAGAAAGTTACCGCCGAATTCTGCATTGGCTCCACGTTACACCATACCAATGTCATTGAAACGCTAGATATGATTCGAGAAGGCGCTGTCTTTTATCAGATTATGGAATACGCGCCTAATGACCTGTTCAATATTGTCATGAGTGGCAAAATGAACAATGATGAGGTGGCATGCTGTTGGCGACAAATGCTCGATGGTGTCAGCTACCTTCATTCCATCGGCATTGCTCATCGTGATTTAAAGTTGGATAATATTGTGCTGGACGAGCGAGGGATAGTCAAGTTGATTGATTTCGGCTGTGCGACTGTATTCAAGTACCCGTATGACAAGAATGTCCATGTTAGCAAAGGTATTTATGAGTAGGCCATTTTCCTTCCCCACACATGCACAAAGATAAATAGATAGCAACATATTAACTTTTCTCTCTCTCTCTCTCTCTATTAATATTGCAGGTGTCTCTGGATCAGACCCTTATATTGCTCCAGAACAGTTTACACAACGCGAATACGATGCACGCAGAGCGGACGTATGGTCGTGTGCGGTGATTTATATCTGCATGATTATCCGGAGGTTCCCCTGGCGAATAGCACAGCCGGATAAAGATAGCGCATTTAAGAATTACATCAATCCATCGTCTAATGGTGCTGCAAGGTTACTAGGACTGCTACCCCGTGAATCGCGCTCTCTTATAAACCAGATGCTTGATCCGGAGCCCCGTCTGCGTTGTCTCGTGTCGCACGTCGCCAATGACGAGTGGATTAAAAGCATTCCTTTATGTCATGCCGACGCGCCAAGTATGGAACATGTGCATCATTTGGTCGTTGAGCCGACCAGTCGTGATGTGCTTTCACGGGGGAACCTTGTTGTTCTGAATACCTCATCGGCGGCAACACAGGCTTCGAAACGAAGTAGCCGGCAAAAGGTGACAGCTGCTGTCACACAAGGTAGCAAGAGGACTTCGCAGCAGCAACGATAAGATTTTATTCCTTGTTCTTGTTATATGTTATTGCTTCTTCTATTGTTTTTGTTGTAAAGCGTAATTGTTCTGAAATGTACATATTTTATCCTTACATTAATTTTTTCATGTTACTCATTTACTTCCTAAACCACTTATTTGCACATGCGTTTGAATCTGTTTAAGATTTTTTGCACTTATGTGTGCTGTGTACGCTGTAGACATATGTACCAAAGAACACGATAGAGATATGATATGTATATATTGTCTGAACACAAGAGCCTCTTCAGTAAGAGAAAATTGAAGGATGAGTTGATAAAGAAAGAACATGGTGGTATGTATGTTACATCTGATAAATAAGAAATAATAACGGGATAACAAATGGATGATGTGTCTTAGGCGGAGGATGTATAAAATTAAGAAATTGTATATCAAGAGGCACGTCGAGTAAAATAGAACGCGTGATTTCATCCTCGTTTCAAAGGAGTGTCCCTACAAAGAAGAAAAAATGATACGTCAGCAAGCACTGTCTGGATTCATAAATTGTTATTGATATTCTTCTTATTACCTGGCTAGTTCCGAAGCTTCGAGCCTCCTTGCCAATGCAAAATCAACACAGGCGTCTCTGAAATGTGAAAGTGTGTCCACATACTGCGAATAAAATTTGATACCTTCCACCATATTTGACCGGATTTCCTTAAACTTGACAAACGCCTGCTCCAAGTTCTGGATCGCCTTTTCTCTTTTTGCAGCCAACGTGCTCGCACGGACAACAAGCTGGAACTGCTCATGAAGCTCTTTCAACCGGGATATCTGGCGTATTTGGTTATTGTATAGCTCTTGCACAACAGATTGCAAGCCATCGTACTTCTTCAATTCGACTGCAAACACTTCATTAAACTGTGCAGGTTCAATTTTGACGGTCGGAAATCCACCTGTCAGTTCAGTAGCCTTGGCCAGTAATGCGTCGGCAATGTCATCAGCAGCTGACAAAGAGCAGGCCTCATCCATGGCCCGCTTCCGCCGTGTGGCAGCATCGTCGCATTCTTGCAATATTGCACGTAATCGACGCATCAATTCTGTCAGTTGCGAGAACTCGAGACTATCGTCGTTGCGCAATGATGGCAAGTGCCCAATAATGTCTGATGTAGGATGGGATAACATGTCTATCGCTTTGCCCCAGTTGCTGACTTTGGCCCGTACTATACGATCCGCTTTTTGAGCTGCTTGTAATGTGTCGTGATATTTTGAGCCTTGCGAGAGTAGCGCCGCTGTCAATTGCTGAGAAGATGGTCGGGACCATACTGCAAAGTGCGTAAATCAATGGAAAAACTATACCATGCATGGCTATCTACTCTATAAAACAATTCCACACTTACAATTGCCATACTGCCGTCGAAAGATCTCATCTTGTTCATTTTCTTCTTCGAGCACATTAAATCCTTCGTCTACTAGATCCATGTTTTTGATCGACATTTCCTGGACCTTGTTCAACATATCCCGCAGCGCTTGTCCGCCTCCTTCGTGCTGAACTTCTTCTGCACACGCTATTAGCGTGCCGGGGATGGTGTCTGGATCCACCGTATCGATGCACCGAGGGAGTTGTAATTTTTCAAACAGCCTAAAAAAGCAAAATGTCATGTTGTTTCATTACAATCGACTTTTGTCACCATTGATACAAAAGAAAATACAACTTACAGCTTCATTTCCTCTTCCAACTCATTGCAACGTCCGACAATATCGTTCTTGACAACATACTCCTTCTTGTCAGAATAAACACTAGCAGCCTGATGCACCGCAAACGGAACTAAGCTTTCAAACAAAGGTCGCTGGATATCTTCACTCGGTTTTCTCTTCCAGTGAGTCGGGTCCACAATCTCTGGCGGCACAAGCGGTCGGACCATGTCGGATCGCAGGAGTGGCGCTAACTGGCTCGCCTCAGGGACCGGTTCCATGTACACCAGATCATTGTCCCGTTCAGCCCGGATCAGATCGCGTTCGATAGACTCTTCAAGTTTCCTGACCTCGCCAGCAAACGACTCTTGCATGATCGAGCTACTACTACTAGCAGCAGCACGCATAGCAAAGAGCCCACTACCTGAAGCTGCTGCAATGGCATCAAGCGCCTTGCGATTATGCTTTTCTGCCAGCCGGAGTCGTCCAATTTCCTCGCCATAGCGTCCTTGCGAAATGCATTCATTTGCCTTGTGGTACTGTGCCACAGCATTAAAGTACGCCGCTTTGATCTGGACATGTCGTTTCCATCCGCTAGGAAAAAATGAAATGTCATGTGTTTGAACGGCTTGGTAGAAATCAGCCACTTTGATCGCTAGCCGTGCAATGGTGCCGTGCTTCATGTGTTCCATGACTGCTTTTTGCCAAACGCATTCCTGGGCTTGGGCAAGTGTTAATGCGATCAGGGCTTGCATAGCGTCCGCGCACAAATCGATGGGAGGTATAGCTCGAAAGTCGCTAAGAACTTCCTTTTCAATGTACTTTAAACATCCGGCAGCGTTCTAGTTTTTTTTGTTCAATTTATGTATTTTGGGTTTTATAACACTCGTTGATCAAGTTTGGACCGGGGGAACCCTTCTGTACCCTCTCTCTTTACCTGAAAAAAGTTGCATGATTTTCGAATGCCTTCTGTGGAAATTCTGCTCTCATTGCATCCCAATTGGGTATAAAGCGCTCCAATATTGAAGAGAACACAGGCCTTTTCATAATTGAGGTTCGAGAGTGCCACTAGATAGTAACCATTTGTGTTGCCAGGTTTGGTTTAATGATGATCTGGTCATAGTAAAACCATACACTCTCTATCATTGTTACCTGGCTTGCTGTTGCTCTGAAACACCGGATGCCACGCGAAATCCAATCCGATCTATACATTGTTAACCGAACAAATCAGTTTCTTTCTTGCTTTATAAAAAACAATTGCTATCTGCTATGAAGTTTATATGTTGCCTGCCTAAAACAATTGAACATACGTCGTACGGGAACCGAGAGCATACGAACACGACCTGTGAGTAGTATCTATATTTTTTTCGATACGTATGTGTATATATAGAATGCGTGTGTCTGTCAGGGCCTTCTTCTCTGTATAGTACTCCTATATATCGTATTATGCAATATAAGAGAGAAAAAAGTTGAGGAAGCACCTACGCAAAGAATCGTTCAAGCGTAACTAATTCAGGTGTTTGGTCTTCAAGACATGCTCGACGCATTTTATCCAAGGTCTGACCGTCTGTTTGGTATTTTGTTGCATCTTCAGCATACGATGTCTCAATGTAACGTAACAATGCTGGAGCACATTCGGTCGGATTGGTTTGTCTTGGTGGAATGGCTAGAAGGGTAGGCATTTCACACGGAGCATCACTGCCATTTGCCATAGTCATGGTTGGCTAGCGACAAAATGTATATTTTCTTTTAAGTTTTGGGAGAGCAGTTGAACAAGAAAAAGAGGGTTTTTCGCTGCACTTGAAAAGCGACAATATGGTGATGGTAAAGAGAGCTTTTTTCTCAAATAAGCATAAAATTCATATGAAACAAAAGGATAAACAGTGCGTGTCTCATGCCCTTTTCAATTACGTGTCATATGAAAAGCAAACAGGGTGTTGTGTGTATGCTAAAAACGTTCCTGGAGAGGAGAAAGAGGAGGAAGCGAGGGATGATAACCTAAAAGAAAAGAGGAGAGTCGTATGTACTGTTTTTATTATTTTTTACAAGAAAAAAAGAGGAGAGGGAGGAGCTGGTAAGTAAAAGAGAAGACGAGCCAGGTAAAAAGTGGGAAGGTGGAAGAAGTTAGAGAGCCGAATTGTATTCATCAGGGCCTGAGATGACTGCGTAAAGGCTCTTACTACTATCGCTCAAGTCTCCTGGTGGTAGTATTGGTGGATGGTGATGCTGCGGAGGAGGAAGAAGGTGGATGTGAGGATGAGGATGATGACGATAGCTAGTGGAGGTAGTTGTGGTAGTGATATGCTTGGGGGGTAATGATACGGATGAAGATAGTGGTACAGGGTCATACATGGCATGCTGTTGTTGTTGTTGCTGATGGTGATGATGGTGATATGATGTGTTACTGCTACTGCTACTATTACTATTACTATTATTGCATATACTGCTATTGTTGTTGCTGCTGCCATTCACCGTGTGTACAGCAGTGGCAACACAAGAGGAAGGATCATTGAGCGTCGTCTCTTCAAAAGCAGACAAAGATCTAACATCCTCCTCAGCAGTCTTGTCCAGACTGGCCGTGTACGCTCGCATTTCGCGCGCATAGCGGGCCTTGTCTTCTGCGGCCATCTGCAACCAGGGTAACCTTGCGTCGTCGGTCATGTCCCGCCACTTTGAAGCAATGACCTTACTGATGGGCCCAACTGTAGATCCCGGGTATTGTCGCGCCACCTCGGGACGTACATGAGCTAGGAAAAACAGGAATCCCGACATGGGGTGTTTGGGCGCTGTTGGGTGCCGATGCCGCTTCTTCTTGCGGCCTCGAGGGTCACGCGGACCATCGCGCATACCCGACTTGCGTCGCCGTTTGTGTGGGACAAGGGCTTGATTCGTACGGACTGCTGCTGCTCCTGCTGTCGCTTTTGTTGGTGTTGACGCGGTTGTTATTGCTGCGGGCCAGCCCGCAGGTATTGCTGTTAACGTTGTTGTGGTTGGCGTGGTAACAACAGCTATGCTAGTAGAAGTAGTAGTAGTAGGAGCTGTTTCTATGTTAACCACGGTTGCTGTGGTGGTTGCCATAGAAACAGCTCTGTTGTTGCTATGTGAACCCTTTCGTGACCTAGAGAATTTCCGTGCTTCGGCCAGCTGAGCTTTCGATCGTCGAGTATAGATAAAATCAGGATGAGTTTTCAGATGGTCTTGTTTGATCAGTGCTGCTTGTTGCATATAATTTTGTCGTCGTTCCTTTAATAATATCACAAGGTTTTTTTGTTAGTCTTCAATTCATTGCATTAAAAAGAAATAGAAGCTGAAGGGCTTCAACTTACAGCATCGAGTCTCTTCCACCGTTCGCCGATCTCTTTGCTGATTTCTGCAACTGTCATTTTCGGGGACTCCTCGAGTAGTCTGCGTCTCATATCTCGATTGAATAACAAATATGCATTCGGCGGACGCTTTAATCGTTCTTTTATTGGCGGCTGTTGGTGCCTTTTGTCTTTGGCAGTATCAATCTTATCACTGATGCCACAACCAGGACCGTAGTGGCCGTGGCTGTGTCCGCTGATACTGGTTTCTTCTAGAGAGCCCACAAGGGCATCCTCTTTATCACCCATGGATGATGACGAAATGGTGGCAGATGACGAGGGTGAGGGCGAATCATCAGAGTATTGTTCGGGGCTTAATGTGGGAGGTAGAGGTGGAGACGCACTGTTGCTACCGCTGTGTCGTCGTTCATGTTTCTTCATGGATAAGATGGATGGGTATGCAGAAAACGGATGGTGCTCAGCATTAATGCCCATTCCTTCTTCTTTTTCTTCTCGTTCAGCTTCACGAATGGCGTCCGGCGATACAAGATGCTCAAGCCTGCTGCTGCCGCCAAGGTTGCTTCGATTTGATTGGTCGGTCATGCTCCTGCTTTGGTGTTGTTGACAGTGTCCGCTTTTCAATAGTACAGCGTCGTGGTCGGCGTCTATGTTGTTGTCAAATTGGCCTTCGTTGTCGTCGTCTTCTTCTTCCAATTTGGTGTTGATGATAATCGCCCGATGGTGGTACTCCTTTTTCTGAGTCTACACAGAGCAAAGGTTTTGAAAAAGACGAGCAAAAGAAAGAAAAAGAAGCGAATAAAAGACGGGTGAGATTAAATAATTAAAGAATAATGCGAGAAAGAAAATTGCTAGAAGCAGAAGGAAAGGAGGCAAAATGGAACGAGAGAGAGATGGTGCTTGATGACTTAAATTGGGAAATTATTATAATACTTACTTGAGAGAGCTTATTCCATTGTTGATCTAGCGAAACCGCATTGTCAGTCTTACGCTGATCTGCGCAAAACAGGAGGTACCCATCGGTCTGCTCTCTTCCGATACTCGGTGCTGGTGTTGCAGCTGGTACGGTTGCAGTCGGCGTAATTGTTGTGACAGAAGATGAGGCGCTAACGTCTTGTTGAGGAGGGTTGTAATGTTGCTGTAGTTGTTGATGAGCAGGAGGAGGGTACCGCTTTGAAGAGTGATCTTCAATATAGCCCGGGTAAGCCATTGTATGCAGTGATTGGGTGGCCGAGGAGGTGGTGTCTGTGCTCGATACTAGAATAGGCGACAGATGGCATGGGGCCGCACGTGAAGCAGGCCTTATTTCGGAACCCTGATGGAGCTCCGTAGTTTTCCCGGAGAGTGCAGTGGCTTTCATCCTTGGTAGATGTCGCGTGAAAGTGTGTGGTGTCGTCGTCGTGACCGCCGTCGACGTCGAATATATGTCGTACGCATCTCGAGGAAGGAACTATGTAGAGTTACAATCATGGCGCGTGTGTGTGCAATAGCAGTTGCAACAAGGCAAGTATTAGCGGTCGATGTAAGCATACTGCTCAATAATACATGGCGAGAAAACGAACAGCAAATTAAAAAGGAAAGGGCGTTTCAATAAGAGCTAACCGATGTGTAATTATCTGTAGTGGGTGGTGTTGTCGTCGCAGTGGTAACGGGTGCCATAGGGTAGTGCTGTGTTGTTGCGAAGGAAGAAGAACCGCGTAACACTGACGACGGGTATTGTTTACAGTTGTGCGTCATGAGAAAGAGAAAGAGGAAATACTGGCCGTGCGAGTTTGGAAAGAAGAAAAACAATTATTGTTGCTTTGGGGGGATGGGGGTGCAGTCGTCGCTAACCGCTGTCGTCGTCGATGCCTTCGTGTTTAAGTCCGAAATTTGCTATTGTCTTTTATCCTATTTTGCATACAATAAATAGGATTTGTTTCAGGAGGAATATACTACGAGAAGCCGGTGCCGTAGTCAATAAAGGCTCGTCATGGGTACCTGAAATTCCCTCAATGATCCTTGCCAATGTGCAATGTCAAAGCGATTGTATAAATTGCAGAAAATAGGGGAAGGGGATTGGTTGCTGGATCTTGGACGAGCAAAAAAAAAAAAAATGGGTGAGAAACGAAAAGAGAAAGAGAAAGAAAGAGCGAGAGCAGCAAAAGAGTAAAATAAATAATTGAAAATGCGGGGCAATAGTGTAGGTAGGCAGCAAGCAATGTGATGCTCTTAGTTATTATGTGTTGTGGGAATCACAGCAGCGGGCGCATGCAAGGACGACCTAAAAAGAGCAGAGAGCAATACGCAAGAAAAGATTGTTTGTTTGTTCTGCATGTACTTGACGTTGGATAGAAAACAAAGCTTAGTCTTTCTCTATCTCTATCGCTGCCTGCCTGGAAGGAGGGGAGAGAAGACAAGGAGTATCAAGGCAAGATGGGATGGGGTGATGTATGTTTGGTGGGGCGGGGCAAACGAAGCAAAGAGAGAGTGGGAGGTTTTCAGAAAGAGGAGTCGATGATGATCATGTGGAGGAGGAAGAGGTGGCATTTACTGGCAGAGCAAAAGATGCCTGGTGATCGTTACGATATTGAAGCAGCATAACAAGGCGTCGGCCAGACCACAACAGCCAGTCAGTAATAGCATTCTATTCACGGTGCCCGCCAATGTGGGTTTCTTGGTATGGTAGTGTGATATATAATCTTGCATGAAGTAACCACATACTCACTAACTAGCGAGGAGATGGATAAAGATTGTACAATGGCAACGTGTTATTTTATTGGTGAATGATCATCATCAGATGAATTAAGCAAGTTAAAACCGGTGACTTTGAGCAATGTGATTCTGTGTTCTTGTGTGTAGCGGTTGTGTTACATGACACAACGAGCCCACTGCTACGTATTATTGTATTTACTTGTACTCCTAAATATCTTGCGGGCGCACAGGCCCTGGTACACACTACTACTCATCAACATCATTTATTACATTGCGCCTTCGTCTTTGTTGTTGTCTCGATCGTCCCGTTCCCAACAGTTTAGAAACTCTCTATCACTAATAACCGTAAACATGCAAGTTATTGCACGCATAGGATCTAATTGCGGCCGTTGTTGGCGTTTTTCTCTAAGGGGGGGATGTAGAAAAGGCATAGATATCATGGTAATACGATGCACCCATAAAAACTAATAAATGCACATTATACGCGTACTGTATACATGAAGATGTATTAATGGCTCCAAGCAGCACCATTATATGCATGCTACCAATAGCAGTCGAATTGCTACTATCACATACTACTGCTACTACTACTAAGTAGTATAATATCAACTCGTGTTTGTATGTAGTCTGGGGTACCATATACGTTTTTGGCAATTTTCGAAGAAGATCAATAATAACACACGCTTGGTAAGTAAGGAGATCGGCGTCATGTTTCGTTTTTATGTAATCCGAAAAAGTCTTATCGTTTTGTCCACAATCATGATCTGCATCGGCTCATTTGTTTGAGAGAGGAAAGAGATCATGGTATTCCACTAAAATAAATAAAAGTCCCTTTCAAAATAGAACTTGTACCTACAGCACTAAATACATAAACGACTGAATTTAATGAGTATGTGCGCATTCTTTAGTTTGATCTTAAAAAACTAGAGAATTGCTACAGAGCTTCTTTAATCTAACGTTTCTTGTCTCTCTACTATTTTACAGTTATACTCATATTAAATTATTGAAAAGTCTGGTGTTATTTATTACTACAATTATAAACTGGGTAGATATGCACAGACTTTGCTTTTTGCATGTTCGCATGTAGAATACACTCTTTGATTCGCGGCGCATCGCACAGACCTGTGCAACAGTTACCGACGAAAACTAGCAGCTGCTGCGATGACGGATGTAGTACCGAGCTCGGCTTTCTCCGTAGTCCCCGTTCCTCTTTTTGCAAAACAATCTCACGCAACATCTTTTTATGCATCATTAAGCATTTTTCGTCGTATGTTGTGATTGTCCACAGAAATTTAAGCGATTTTATCAACAATGGTACCACCACCACCTAGTGGATAAGCGTAACGATAATTATAGCTTCTTGGTTTTACGCACTATAAATTTCCCCACTTTTCTTTTTGTTCCTGTAACAAATTGAACCCCTCTTGCTTGGCTGGACATGGCAATAAATGCTTTTAATATAAGCTAACGGCCAGTTTTGTTTTGTTTTTCACTAAACATTTTGATAATCATATCGTCAACACGGCATTGTACATTTTATGCGTTCTTCCTTTCTTTTTGCTGGTCCCATGACCTGTTGCCGTCTTGTAGTGATGTATGTATATTCTGGCAATCGCTGCCGGTCAGCGAGTCAGCACCATCAGCATCCATTGTACAACATTGTATGATGCGTTTATACATCCTAAAAGAAATTTGCACATCATGTGGTTTGCCCTTTTGACACTCTGGAACCTTTACACTCAGAAAACAAATCTGAAGCGGGCATTAAGGAATAACGCGACCACACCAGCGATTTGTCTGTTATTGCTAATTGCTGTTATTCTTCTAGGTAACAAAATGTGTATTGGAAGCCATACAAGAGACTTACACAGACAATAAGAACGGATACAGTATTCACTTCTTCTTGTGCTGCGCCACGAAGATAGGTAAGAGGTGATTTCAAATTTGTTGTTAAGCTTTTTGCTTCGCGTTTCTGCTTTCCTAATGTACCTTGTGAGTCGAGTCCATATGAGAATGTATTACATACGAAAAGAGAGGTGAAAGTATTGCAGTGAATGCATTCTAGCATTGTGTCATTGGAGAACACAACAAGTGTTCTCGAATTGGAAGGCGGCCCGTGACCAGATAAAACATTGTAATTTTCAAACTCGGTTTGTACTTTTCTGGACAAATGTATAATATTTGGGCGGGAATTGATAATGATGTGACCTTTACTCACTCATCGATAACATGATGGAAGAAAACAAGGTCTTACATCGCTACAGCTGTTGATTGGCTTTTTTATCTGACCCCTCTAAATCCATAGCACGATAACGTACATATCTACTTAATTACGAGCTGTATGGCGTCATCCCACTCTGTAATGATCTAGAATAAGCTATGTATGTATGATAGTATAACAGTGTAATAGCATTTTATAGGGTATCGATGTATATATGTACCTCGATCTTTTTCTTATACCATTATTGCTCCAACGCTGTAATTTCCCTCTTTCTAATAGTATAGAGCATTATTGGTCGTTTTTATTTTACCAAGTATTACATAGTATGTATGCTTACTGATACGATTCTGTCCCCATAATGCGTGGCATCCGAGACTCAATGGAACAGGGACAATGCTATGACGAATCGAGACCAAAGAGTAAGGTCCGGAGTATATCCTGTTTTAGGATAAGCTCATATTGCCATACAAGGCATAGCTAGAACTCGGCTTCGGGTCGAAACGTTTTATAGACCGGGCATCGATTGTTGAACATTATACAGTGCCCGCTCGATAATTCGATCACTTTGGTCACAGCCGTAAGTGATCGAATTATCGAAATATCGAGTTATGAAATTGGGACTCCGTTAAGAAAAGGAAGGTTAAAGAAGTATATACATGTAACTCTGGACTCTGATGTATGATCCGACACTGATCGCTGGTTCAATTCCGCGTCACTAAGCATTTCTATTGGTTTATACTTGTCGATATGTCACAGCCAAGTGATTGATGATCGAATTATCGATTTGTTGATATTTTACTGCTTACCAGCCTGGTCATTTGAGAAAGTGATCGAATTATCGAGCGGGCATTGTACACACACAAAAACATTATTTTGTCTTCCTGTCGATTCTATACAATTCCTCCTAGTGCATCACAATGTATAAGTTTGTTTATTCTTGCGAGTCTTAATGACTATCATGCCGACTCTCATTTTGTTTGCCATTAACATTAGGGGATGAGTTGATTGACGTACCTAATATAATTTATAGTTCTTATGTTTTATCAATAAGGGTACATACAAAGAAACCTCCTAAGACTATTATGATTACGTAAAATAGAGCCAACTAGATATTATAAAACTTGACGGTCGAAGATAACAAGTACGTATGAGGGAGAGGACAGGCTGCTTAAAGATAAGAGTATGATTCTTAGCCTATGCTCTCTTTACCTATTCTTTTACAATCATATGATTATAACAAATTATGCTCACACTCTATACGATGATAACGCTGCGTGCTGTATTATACATAAATATCGTGAATCAAACAATCAAGCACACCATGTTGAAATTCATAGCAAATTTTCATTTATGTATGCTCTTCCCATTTAAGATATACAACGGCGAGCCTTGCATAATAAATCTATCACATATATACATCTAATAGCTGATGTGTACGAGAAGGAAATGCTAATATCATAGCATACGACATAAACAGGAGAGGAGAAAGAGGCGTGCATGCATATAAACACAACGTACGTACGTGCTATGCATGCTGTTGCTGGCGAGTGATTTTTTGCGCATTATTTCATCATTTACCACCTTGAACAATATACAAGAAACTCCCAATGATGTCAATGGTCATCTTTGGCAAACAAAATGGATGCTTATCTAAAAGAGCAGGCGTTGTTCAATGTGCTACTCCTTTCTTTCTTGATCGGCGTGCCGACAGCTGTCACGGGGCCAGAAGCAACAGGAGGGTTACAACTTCAACCTTGTTATTTAGCAGAAGAAGCATCAGTATCGGCCATTTTCCTCATTAGAGGACAGCGCCAGCCAATGGTGTGCTTATTGAGTACTGTAGAACGCATCGACCTTGCAGCATCTCATGCAAGCGCGAAAGAACTAGGTGAGGAGTGCAGCTAGCTAGCAGATCATGCGATACTGAGCACAACAACAAACATTTCAATCAAGAGGTTATTTTCTGTTTCGCAGTACGTGCGCCTACAACAACAATGTAAATGAAAGTGCATACGGTACTTGTTTATATATGTTCAATGTACAATGTTTGCTTTTTTAATAGTTATATATGTGTAAAGCATTGGTTTTTTTACGTGAGTGGTGGTGTGAGTCTAAGTCTAATACTGTAAATCTATTTTTTGCCCTTTTTACGCTTGCTTGCTTCCAAGTTCGGTGCAGAGACTTTGACTTTGCTCATCATTGCATTGATAGCTTCCATATCAGGAACAGACTTGATCAACTCCTTTTCGCGCGCTGTGGAATCAGTCAAGTTCAAAAACACTGAATGTGCCTGCTTGAGCCCTGTCGAGTCGTAAGACAAGAGAGTCAGTGAAAAGGCTCCTTTCCATTCGTGCTGCTCACGATCCTTCTGCTTACCTTTGCCACGTTTCAAAGAACCGGGAGTCAATTTGACCTTGTATTTGTATTTCTGAAGTGCGGTGTATGGGGCGCACACAGGAACTGCAAAGTGGATGATGTCTTCGGGTAATGGATTGGGAGTTACTGAATCCAAAATGGACAGATTTGCTGCTTCATCTGCTTCCAACATTGTGATATTCTCCTCCTTCAGCATCTGTCGAATGGTTTCTTTATCTTCGCCTTCGTCAGCTGCAATCTGAAATGCAGTACTATGAGTATATTACGTGTTCTGCATTCCCCCGCCCGTTTCCACATTTTTGAGTTGATAATTAGAATCCACATTTGTACCTCGTCTACATTGTCAATGCCAGCCTCATCAACTTGTGCGTTAGCTGCTTCAGCCGCTCGTGCGGCTTCTGCGGCAGCCCATTGTTCTTCGCGCTCCTTTTCTCTTGCCAGCTTTTCGGCTTTGGCTTGGGCTTCCTTCTTCGCCTTTTTACCCTTTGGTTGCGGTCCTTTGTTGGACTGACGATAAATGGGCAAACATTAGACTTCAGTCTACGTATTTTTTCCCAGTATGGGACGAAACAGAATAGGGAGACAGCGACTTACACCCAGCAGTTCCATCCGTAGCTTGCGTTCCTCTTCATCTTGATCACCATATTTTTGTTTGATTTTCTTGGCCTTGCCACGTTTTCCACGTGCCTGAGTTTGAGGCGCGGGAACAGGCTATTATAGGATGTATGTGTTTGCATGTGTCAACAAGCGTGCTTTGTTGTTATTATTTGTGTGTGCATATAACAAACAAAGCGGGTGGTGCTTTACCTCTTTGGATGTAGATGCCTTATTTGATTTCGTTTGTGTAGCGGATTCGTTACCAGCCTTGCCCTTTTTCAATTGACGCCGTTCCTTTGCACTAATAGCTTGCTTGCCCTTATTGAAACATAGTTTAAAATACCCCTTTTAGTTTCGTAGTTATCATGTTTCGCAATGTAGCACCACATGACACTGTTTTGCGCCTTACCGCTTTGTTGTTGCCAACTTGTTTGGATGGCTGTGCAAATGATGGCAGCGCGTCTGCATCTTCGTTTGCGCCATATTCATCCAAGTCGTACTTATTCCATTCAGGACCTTTTTGTGTAGCCGAAGTGGATGTTCCAGCTGCGGCAGTAGCGTCAGTTGTTGTGGTTGTGGTCGGAGCAAGCTGGGTATCTGGGAAGGCTTCATCTTCGTCTTCACTGCTGCTACTATCCGAGGAAGCGTCATCATCCCCACTCTGTCTGTCCGCTGTTGTCTCTTCTGTGAAAAAGATTATAGTCATAATGCAAATGAGACCCATTTCCTTCACATGACCTTCACTTTGATAAGAGTGGCAATAAGAGGGCGATGAGAACTTATTTACCTTTTACGCTGTCTGAGGTTTCCTCGGTCAAACTTTCGTTGATGGATCTTGCTGGAGTAACAGCTTCATCACCTACTGCCTGCAAGCCGTCCCCATTTGACACGTCCTCATTCTCATCTTGCTCCTCTTGTCGTTTCTCACTGACATGGTTACCAATGGAGGATTCATCCAGCTTGAAAAGATAGCCAAAGCCATATACCAACTGAACAGGTGGCAAAAAGTTCTTTTTGCCTCTGATCATAAAGCTACCGGTTGTCAAGTATTCGCCCGTGGGAGCTGATTTCGAGACCTATCATACGCCAACAGAACGGGGAGAGAAGAAATGGTTATACATCCGAGGCAGCTTTACATGTGAGCCAAAGCGAAGTAAGAAAGAAGATGATGATAATGGGGGGTTACCTGATCCGCATGAACCCAGTATGCACTCGTGACAATCTTTGCATCCCACGCCTTACTTTGGCATACAGACATGATGCCAGCCTGGAACAATGTGCTGGGTGGGATGGGGTTGCCAGCATTCTCGGGCTTGTTCTTGACAACAACCGATGCAGCACCATGGAGATCAGCGTGAACATACACATCATCTATTTCATTGCGTGACACAAAGTCAGTACAGTCTCGGGTTTAAGGAAATAAGAAACTCCCATAATGGTCTTTCCTTTCTCACTTCTACTTGTCCATTCCCCCGCCTCACTAACCTTTGTGCAGGTATCGCTTAACGAGTATCTCGTTCTGTTGCATATCTCGACCAGCAATAACCAAATGGCCTTCGGTCGAGATAAACCACAAAAACTTTTCAAACCAGAAAGGCTTGCGTATTTTGTTGATTGTCGTTGTGATCTTGGTTTCCTTGAGATCTTTGCGGATCTTACGTTCAGCAGACTTCATTGCTTTGGAAGAAGCCTTGATCGTCTTTTCGTGCTTGGTTGCTGTGCTTCGCTTCTGATCATAGTACTTGCGAGCATTGGCAAATGCTGTCAGCCCGATTTCTACGTCCACCTTGACAGGTCCCTTTGGCCATTCTTCGTCCTCCTCCTCACTGTCGGTATCTTCGTCTGAACTGTCCTCTTCTGATTCGTAACCGTCAGGTTCCCTGTATAAGTTGGTGAATATACAAAGATCGCGTCATTAATATATATTATACAGATACGTACGATAATAGAAGCGTAATTTGGTTTGTTTGTAGCTTCAGTGAGCCAATGATATCAGCAATTGGATTGCCTCGCTTTTTCTCTTCTTTGACCAACTCGTTAAGATCCTGCCAATCCATTTGGCTTGCAACAGCGTTACGGATAATTGTAATGGCTGCTTCCACCATGTCCAAATTGAGTTCAATCAGTTGAGCCTTGCGTACGTTCGTTGTTTGTTGGTCAACCAGCATTCGAACTCGATTTTCCTGTTCCTTTCGTACAGCTTCTAATTTCTTTATAGCAGCTTCTTCCTGCAAAAAACACATGTTAAACACAATATCAAAGGTTAGTAAATTGGCGTTCCTTCACGAAACACAACCATTCTTGCTTTTATATTGACTTTTTATCCGTCTTTTACCTGATTTCTTGCTTTCAGCTCGATTTTTTGAGCCTCAATAGCCGAGAAAAATTCATCAACGGCCGAATCGAACGTGTTGAATTCCTTGTATGGCCGAGATTCATGCTGTTTGTATAGATAGGGATGGAATTCATCATAGCTTTTTTGAAGAAGAAAAGAAAACCACCATTAACGACTTATCGCTGCATGATTTAACTATATATGTATACTTACATCTCTATCCGATTGTCGTCCTCCTCTCCTTCCTTTGCTGGCGCCTTTTTATCTTCTAATAGGATAATATAGCCCTATGTTTACTATATTATTAAAAGACGTGCTCCTGCCATACAAAGTCAACCTACATAAACTTACCCTTGGGACATTGTTCTTGGTCGATTCGACCATTTCGTCACCTTCAGCGAATGCCTTGATCAAATCCTGCATCATAGGCGAGTCTATATGGTATCGCATCAATATCTATATGTTCTTGTCCTTTTTAAACCCATCCAAAAATGAATTTTAAATACCTATCGAGCTGTCAAATTCGGTTGCTGGTTTCATATTCGGACTGAGGCCGGCTTTCAGAATGATATGCTCAATCATGGCCGGACCGTATTCTAGAAAGACCGTACGGCAATGCGTTACATATCAGTAACTATGTAACATTATCATCACCATCATCGCCAGGAGCAATATATTGACCCCTCTTGTAGCATTCAATTACCATAAGCGATATTTAACACTTTTTTCAACGTATCCTTTGGTCCTGCGTTACGAAGTACTTGTTGTAGTTTATCCGTTTCTAGCTTTGTGAAATCTGTCACGGCCAGCTGAACATCATACGTTTCGCCCACTGCCATTTTGGTATCTTCAGTATTAACTACACGCAGCAATGCTATAATCTTGTACTTGTCATCGGTAAAAATGATATTGCCCTAGATACACAATCGGTTGTATGTGTGCATGTGAGTTCATCAGATCTCCCATCCTCATATATTTCACCTTGACCACTAAAACCGAGCCTTCTCGATTAACTTACCGAAGCATAGAATTCGGCAATGATATGATAACCAAAACTCTTTTCGCCACCAGCAAACTCAAAATCCACAATACGATCCACACCCAACTGTCGAATATTCGTTACTCTGCGTGTTCGTAGGTATTTACGTAGCTAACAGCGAGAAAACATTTTAGTTCTTTTTCTCTCTCTCTCTCTGTGTGTGTGTGTGTGTGTAAATCATATACAAACCTACCTTGGCGCAGAAAGCTGATGGTGTCACCTGTTTCTCTCGGCTATACTGAGTGCTATGAATACGTGTACCAGACTCGATCAAGACTAGTTCTTTGTCATCAGGCTAATGTAGAAACAAGAATATTAAGCTCACTAGTCCTCTCTCTCACTCTCACTCTCACTTTCTAGCTTCATTGTTTGTGACCTTTATCACTTGACAAGCCATACCTTGGCGAATTTAAGCAAGAATGTTTTGGCATTCACGTCGTAAATGTTCTGCAATCGCAGATTCGTCAAGCTATATAGTATTATCACAATATCAATTAGTCGTTGTTGTTACAAAGAAGAGAAAGAAGTGTTTTTTGGACTCACCGTTCTTTCAAATTAGTGACGGTTGCCCGAATGTCTAGTGCATTAAAACGTTGCTTCATGGTTCAATCGTGATTCAAGCACACAAAAAAAAGTGTAGAAAAAGAGACGATCGCGCGGTTGTTGCACCAGTGGTTACGGGCCTTCAAAATAGCTTACTGCGGTGATGGAGTTAGTACTGCGGCAGCTTTACTTTTGCTTCTCTATAAAAGCTCTGTTTTCTTTTTTTGTGAATTGCTGAAACCGCAGCAAGCTCGCAGAAGCTTTTGTAATTCTTTTTGACGATTCTTTGGCGACATTAGACATGGCAACATCAACTGGCTTTGAGTTTAGCAGCATGGTGCATCAACTCGTCAAGAGTGCACATGCTGACAAGAACAAGAAAGGCAAAAAGAAAGCCGGATCGCCGTCGGATCTACTCACGATGCCCTATGATGGACATAAAGTCGTTCAACAATCGGTTGATGCCTTTAAACAACTTGTCGAAAAATACCAGAGTGAACACGCAGAAAAGTCAACAACATCCTGTAAGAGAGATATTACGAAATGATTAGGAGCCTTTTCGTCTTTATTTACGCGTCCTTTTTGTTATATGTGTTAGCGCTCACATTTGGTTCCGATATCGAATTCCATCCGCCAGAGCCAGCGGTTTCGTATGACGACGAAGTTGATGAGGAACCTTCGCAAGAGTTATTGGCCACTGAGTCTGTCAAGGCAGAAAAGCCAAATTTGGGTGGAGCTATATTTGATCGAAACTGGCTTCTTCAGTATGTTTATATTGCTGCATGACAGCAGAAGAGGGGCGGGAGTGGAAAACCAAGAAATTAAACTTGTGAAATAGACAATGCCACAATTACTTTGGCGCAAGCAACACTGGTGGCAATCCCCAGCAGCTATGTGTGAATATTTTCACCATCTTGCGTTCGAATGACAACGGTAAGCTCGGCAGAATCCAGTAGATATAATTGCTTGTGAAATAAGATCGTGAGGCTGATACCGTATCGATTGAAAAATCCGCTGGATACTTTGTACAGACGACGGTATTCAGGCTGCCTTGGTCGATCTCCTCGGTTTTGATGCTCTTGAGTTGATTTCCAATCTGATTATGAATCGCTCAAAAATTGTGGATACTATCATGATGACTGTAAGTGGTTACTCTTTGGCTCTAATATCATCATCATCATCCATGGTCATGGTCTCATTTGAAGCTTTTTGCGACTTTTTTCTTTCTTTATTAGTCGAGTTATGTCGCTTCATCCGATTATTCAAAGCAGCAGGGCAATAAGCGCGGGATGGCACCTGGTCCTCAATTCACCGTCCAATCTGAAGCTGAGCGTCGAGAAGCAAAACTTTTACGAAAGGAGCATAAAAAGGCAATGAAATCACACAAGACGCAAGAAGAAGGTAAAGGTGCTTTTGAAGAAACGTGAGGACCGAGATTTATAATAGTTTCTCTAAATTTTAGATGAAACCGAAACATCGATGAGCATCTTGGGCTTTGATACAGTCGATTTGCGACAGGCAAGAGAAAATGCACTAATGACTGCAGGTGCAAGACCTCTAGCTAGCACAGGTTTGAAGGTGACGTTTGCTCTTTAGAATATCATGATGGATGCGTCAATACTATGAAACTGATCTTTAATGTGCTACATATTCATTAGGCCAGAAAAGAAGAAGTGTATCCTCATGTCTACCAGTCAGGAAAATCTGCTGGTACTTTATCCATGTTTGGAACACGATTCGCTTTACCAGCCGGTTCCGTCCGTGAAGAGTTCGACGACTATGAGGAAACAACCATTCCTGTACCAAAAGTTGCTCCTGTTCGTGCTGGTGAACGGCGCATCTTGATCAGTGAAATGGACAATCTTGCTCGAGGTGCCTTTAAAGTATGTAGTCCCTGCCCCAACCCCTTTAAGGTGATTAGCGACTTTCAAAAAGCCCATACTGATTAATACACTTTCAAATCAGGCCTATGAAAGTTTGAATCGCATTCAATCCATTGTTTATCCTGTCGCTTATGAGACGAACGAAAACATGCTCGTTTGTGCTCCCACTGGTGCTGTACGTATATCTTCAGCCAGTATTTCTGTTTCAGAAAACAAAACTTTCTAACGACATGTCCCATAGGGTAAAACTGACGTTGCTATGCTTACGGTACTTCGGTGTCTATCTCAATATTGCTATCCACCACCTAGCAAAGAAGTATCGGATATCAACTTTAGTATTGCCAAGGAAGATTTCAAGATCGTTTATGTTGCACCCATGAAAGCACTTGCTGCAGAAGTGGTCGAAAAGATGGGCAAAAGACTCAAGTTTCTTGGCGTCAGTGTTCGAGAACTCACTGGTAAACTACATGTTTGTCTCTTGCTTTGTCACCAAATTATTATGGCAACTCACAAATCGCAATCGAATGATTTTGATAGGTGACATGCAGCTTACTAAAGCTGAAATTCAAGCTACTCAATTTATTGTTACAACTCCTGAAAAATGGGACGTGATTACGCGAAAGGGAACCGGTGATACTGAGCTTGCTCAGGTATATAATCACACCTATGGGACTTGTAGCCAAAACGTACTTGATGCTTATATTAGTTTTCATGATTCTACAGAAAGTCAAGCTTTTGATTATCGATGAAGTGCATCTGTTGCATGAGGATCGTGGTGCCGTTATTGAAAGTATCATTGCTCGAACATTACGTCAGGTAATAAGTCTGCCAGCTAATGTTAATTGGGATGGATATACTGAAGTTACTATTCGCAGGTCGAGTCAAGCCAATCATTAATCCGTATCGTTGGTTTGTCTGCCACATTGCCCAACTACTTGGATGTTGCATCATTTTTAAGGTAAGTAATCATTAGCGGCCGTTTTTCTTTAGGGAAACATGGGCTTTTGTCTAACATTTCGAGTTATCTTAAATAGAGTGAATCCCTATCAAGGTCTCTTCTTCTTTGATGGTGGTTTCCGTCCAGTTCCACTTGAGCAGCACTTTTTGGGCATTAAAGGCAAAGCCAACTCGGTCGCATCTAAGGAACGGATGAACAGAGCTTGTTTTGACAAAGTGTCTGAGCTGGTACAACAGGGTCACCAGGTCATGGTATTTGTTCATGCTCGTAAAGAGACTGTTAAAACTGCCCAAATGTTGCGTGAAGAAGTGGCAGCTGAGGGACTATCAGGTACTTGTATATACATTTGCAAAAGGTACTGTATATATCTTTTACAGTCGTTAACATGTCGTATGTTTTCATTTAGAATTTTTCGATTGCTCTCTTGAAAGCAAGTTTTCAAATTACAACAGGGAGGTTGCCAAGTCAAAGAACAAGGAATTGAAGGAATTGTTTAAGTTTGGCTTTGGTATGCATCATGCGGGTATGCTCCGCTCTGATCGTACCTTAACTGAGCGTATGTTTGCTGATGGTGTGCTGAAGGTAAAATAAATGGTTGGATGCTTATCAAAGAATGTAGAGTTTTGTTTCTAAGTGAATTGCGCAATTAGGTGCTTTGCTGTACTGCCACGTTGGCATGGGGTGTAAACTTACCCGCCTACGCTGTTGTCATCAAAGGAACACAAGTCTACGACTCGCAGAAGGGTAGTTATGTGGATTTGTCAATTCTCGACGTGCTCCAGATTTTCGGCCGTGCAGGTCGTCCACAGGTATTTAGAGTTGTAGCTTAACAAGTTATTTTCAGCAACGCTAATTCTTTTTATATAGTACGAATCCCAAGGTGTTGGTTACATTCTTACCACCCAAGACCGTCTTTCCCACTATGTCTCAGCTATTACCCAGCAGCACCCGATCGAATCAAAGTGAGATACTCTCTTCTTGCTTTCCACGAAGCACAACAAAACTCATCAGTATCGTTTTCTGTGTAGGTTTATTGAACATATCGCAGACAACTTGAACGCAGAAATCTCTCTAGGCACGGTTACAAATGTCCATGAAGCTGTAACCTGGTTAAGTTACACCTACCTCTATGTGCGTATGAAGAAGAATCCAATGGTCTATGGTATGGACCACGGCGAACCAATCGAGGACCCCTTACTTGGTCGCAAGCGTCATGAAATTATTGTTTTGGCAGCACGTCGACTCGCCAAATGCCAAATGATTATCTTTGACGAAAACACGGGTTATCTTACTGCCAAAGATCTTGGTCGTATCGCGTCCAACTTTTACATCCGTCACACTAGTATTGAAATCTTCAATGGCTTTATGAAGCCGCGCATGACTGAGGCCGACGTACTGTCTATGATGAGTTTGAGCTCGGAATTCGACAATATCAAGTCGCGTGACAATGAGCACAAGGAATTGAAGGGCCTTTTGGATGATTCATGCGCTTGTGATATCAGGGTAACCAGTTTAATAATACAAACAAAACGCGTAACGAAGCCAGTATGTATGCTGATATTAACCGGTTAAAATCGATTGGCAGGGTGGTACGGATTCGACACATGGCAAAGTCAACATTCTTTTGCAGTCATTCATTTCGAACGCACGTATTGACGACTTTGCCTTGATTTCTGATTGTGCTTATGTGGCGCAAAACGCTGGTCGTATTGCTCGCGCACTCTTTGAAATTGCACTTAATCGAAATTGGGGTCCCACTGCCTATATTCTGCTATCCATCAACAAAGCCATCGAAAAGCGTATGTGGACGTTCCAGCACCCGCTACATCAGATGGGTTTGCCTATGGATATCCTCAACAAGCTCGAGTCACGCACACACGAAGTATCGATCGAGGAAATGCGCGATATGGAACCTTTAGAGCTTGGTGAGCTTGTCCACCACAAACGCATGGGAGCTACCTTGGCACGCTGCGTGGATCAATTTCCCATGTTATTGCTGGATGCACGTATCGCTCCCGTTACACGCAATGTGCTGAACGTGGAGCTGACGATCACGCCCGACTTTACCTGGAACGACCGTGTCCATGGATCTGTCGAACCTTGGTGGATCTGGGCCGAAGATTCGGAAAATGTTGAAATTTACTATTCGGAATACTTTTTGTTGCAACGCAAACAGTTCGGTGAGCCGGTCAAGATATTGTTCACCGTACCTATTGTCGAACCACTGCCCTCTCAAATATATATCCGCGCTGTATCTGATCGTTGGCTCGGCGCAGAGACGGTGCTGCCGGTATCCTTCCAACATTTGATCCTGCCTCAATTGAACCCGCCCCATACAGACTTGCTTGACCTTCAACCTCTTCCCGTCACTGCCCTGCATGACGATGTACTTGAAGGAGTCTGTGCACAGCGGTTTTCTCACTTTAATCCTGTCCAGACTCAGATCTTTCATACGCTGTATAATACTGAGCATAATGCGCTTGTTGGTGCTCCTACTGGTTCTGGTAAGACCGTTGCTGCTGAACTGGTGATGTGGTAAGTTGTCAATAGAAGAAGTAGGCCGTAAAAAGATGGTGTTGATGATTAAATTGGGTGTTATATTTGCTCAGGTGGGCTTTCCGTCAACATCCCGGTACCAAGGTTGTTTATATTGCTCCTATGAAAGCACTTGTCAAAGAGCGAGTATTTGATTGGAACAAGCGCTTGACTGGTCCCATGAACAAGAAGCTGGTTGAATTGACGGGCGATGTGACCCCGGACCTCAAAACGATTGAATCGGCAGACATTATTATCACAACTCCAGAAAAGTGGGACGGTATTAGTCGTAGCTGGCAGACCCGTAGCTACGTGCGAAAAGTATCGTGCGTCATCATTGATGAAATCCATTTGCTCGGCGGCGATCGTGGTCCTATTTTAGAGGTCATTGTGTCGCGTATGAACTATATCGGCTCACAGCTGGAGCGTAAAGTGCGTATCGTGGGTCTTTCGACGGCGTTGGCCAACGCGAACGATTTGGCGGATTGGCTTGGCATTGAAAAGGTTGGCTTGTTCAACTTTAGACACTCTGTCCGTCCTGTTCCACTTGAGATCTACATTGATGGCTTCCCTGGCAAGCACTACTGTCCGCGCATGATGAGCATGAACAAGCCAACGTATGCAGCGATCAAGACGCATTCACCAGCACAGCCAGTCATTGTATTTGTTTCTTCACGTCGACAGACGCGTCTCACTGCACAAGATCTGATTGCTTATTGCGGTATGGAAGATAATCCGCGTCAATGGTTGCATATGGATGACGAAGAGCTCGAGCTGTTGCTGGATCGGGTCCACGATGAATCCCTCAAAAATTCCCTGGCTTTTGGTATTGGTCTCCATCACGCTGGTTTGACCGAGGATGATCGTCGTATTGTCGAAGAACTGTATCTTAAGCTCAAGATCCAGATCCTGATCGCGACAAGTACGCTTGCATGGGGTGTCAACTTGCCTGCCCATTTGGTTGTCATCAAAGGCACCGAGTACTACAACTATAAGGTCGGTCGCTATGTCGACTACCCGATCACCGACGTGTTACAGATGATGGGCCGTGCGGGTCGTCCCCAATTCGACAACACCGGTATTGCGCGCGTCTTTGTGCAGGACAGCAAAAAGAACTTTTTCAAGAAATTCTTGCATGAGCCTTTCCCTGTCGAGTCGAGTCTACACAAGTTCATGGACGACCACATTAATGCCGAGATCGTAGCAGGAACGATAAAAACCAAGCAGGACGCGATAGATTACTTGACGTGGACATACTTTTACCGTCGACTGCAGCAAAACCCAACCTACTACGGTTTGGACGATATGACACAAAAGGGTGTGGAGACATTCTTGTCAGACACGATCAATGACGTGACGAACCGTTTGGCCGAGTCGAATTGTGTAGAGGTCGAGGATGACTTTGAACTAATCCCGCTGATAGCAGGTCGCATTGCCTCATACTACTATCTTCGCCACCAAACAGTCCGCCACTTTAGGCAACGCTTGCACAAGGATTCAGAAATCGATGAGCTTATGGATATCATGGGCTATGTACCCGAGTATGAGGAACTCCCGGCACGGTGCAACGAAGATTTGCTGAACCAGGAGATTGAAAAACACATCCCATACCCAGTGACAGGCACCCGCGATTTCAAGAGCCCACATATCAAGGCATATGTGCTGACGCAGGCTCATATCAGCCGCTTAGAGCTGCCTATTTCAGACTACATTACGGATCAGATTACCGTTTTAGATTCTGCAATTCGTTTCTGCCAGGTAAAACCAAGCATAGTGCGCTTGATTTTGTCCTCGAATATTTATCTTTATTGCCATGCTCTTTTCGATAGGCTATGATCGATGTTGCTGGCGATGCTGGCTATCTCACCACATGCTTGAAGATAATGCAGCTGTTGCAATGTATCAAACAAGCTCACTGGCCAGAAGAATCGACGTTGTTGACGCTGCCCAAGATTAAGCCCAGAATGCTTCGAGAAATTCGATACAAGGTATCTTTCATTTGAAACTCCCTGCTTTCTCTCTTGCTCTTACACGCCCCCCTTTGTTTGTTTGAAAAAAGAAAAATGGAAAAGAACTAACTATCTCCACGTTACTTGAAGAACAAAACACTTGGTTGCTTGGCTGAACTCACAGAGTTTTCGGACAACCAAATAAAAAACATTTTTGAGAAAGTGTCGGGCCTTTCAACCCAAGATGTCAATGAGGTAAACATGAATAATCTGCTAAGGAAAGTTGCGAATGTTAAAGATTGCTAAATGCAAACTCTTTCTCTTGGAAGATCCGACGCGTCGTTTCACGCTTACCAGTTATGGACATGAAAGGCACGATCGAATCGAAAAAGCCATACCTGATACCTGAAACGACATACAAGATTCAAGTCCAGATTCAACGGCTCGGCGGGAAAAAGAAAGGAGGAGGACCTGTGCATGATGGCCGAGTGTATGCCCCCAAGTTCCCCAAACCACAGTACGAGTCGTGGTGGCTCGTAATGGGTGATTCCGAAACAGACGAGCTGCTGGCACTTAAGCGTATCAGCATGCGGAACGGACCCAACGAAACGCTGACCAACAGGGCAACGTCGCACATCTCATTCGACACACCTGTGCGACTCGGCAAGCATCGCTACACGCTATTCCTTATCAGTGATGGCTATCTGGGACTCGATCAGCAGATGGACATAGAATTTGAGACAAGAGTTGATTTGGATTCATGAAGTTAATAGCTTTTTAGTATGTTTATAAACATAGTGTATAAAAGTTACACGCTGGGGTTGACTAGATAACTGAGAGGGAAAAAATGCATATACAAAAAAATGTTGCTCATAGAACAAAAAATATGTAAAGATGATAATGGGGAGAGTGGGTGAATAAGAAAGAAATAGACAGGGCATGGAATATGCGTGATAATAATCTACAACATAAAATTAACAAGTATCCTTTTTTTTTAAGAGAGAAAGGATGTGCAGATGATGGACATATATGAAATAGTTGCAAGAGAATTCGAGAGAGAGGAAGAGTGTTCAAAGAGGGAGAAAAAGAGATGGACTAGGAGGTGATAGAGTCGAGGGAGAGAGGATGAGAGAGGATGAGAGAGGGAGAAGTAATAGGTTTTGGAGTGGAAGTTTAATGAGAGAAGTGATGTGATTAGAAGAAAAATGAAAAATATTAAGAAAGTAGTAGAAGATTTACAAGCTGCCGTCCGCCTTGGCAACGTGCACCAAGAGGTCGACAACACGAGTGGAGTAGCCGTACTCATTGTCGTACCAAGAGATCAGCTTGACGAAATGAGGGTTGAGCGAGATACCGGCCTTGGCGTCGAATATACTGGAGTGTGGGTCACCGAGGAAATCGGTCGAGACCACCTCGTCCTCCGTGTAGCCGAGAATTCCTTTCAGTGGGCCCTCGGAAGCAGTCTTGATGGCTTGTTTGATGTCCTCATACGATGCAGCCTATTAGAAAATATTTGTGCAAAGATATTTAGTTATGTTGCTCTTTATAAAGCAAACATACAAACACACATAAACAAAGAAGTAGTAGGATTTACCTGTTCTATTCGTACGGTCAGATCCACGACGGACACATCCGGATTAGGAACCCGGAACGACATACCCGTAAGCTTGCCATTCAGATGAGGAATTACCTTGCCAACAGCCTTTGCTGCGCCCGTAGACGCCGGTATAATGTTCGCCCCGGCCCCTCTGCCTGCACGCCAGTCTTTGCCCGATGGTCCATCCACTGTCTTCTGTGTTGCTGTCGTAGCATGGACAGTCGTCATGAGGCCTTCGACGATCTTAAAGTTGTCGTCGACAACCTTGGCGAGTGGAGCAAGGCAGTTGGTAGTACAGGAGGCATTGGAGATGACTTGCATGTCCGGAGAGTAGCTGTCGAGGTTCACGCCGACGACAAACATGGGAGCATCCGAGGATGGCGCCGAAATGATAACCTTTTTGGCCCCGCCCTGGAGATGTGCGCCGGCTTTCTCTTTTGTCGTGAAGACGCCTGTGGACTCGACCACGTAATCGGCCCCGGTGTCCTTCCATGGGATGGCGCCTGGGTCGCGTTCAGAGTAAACAGCAATCTCGTGGCCGTCAACGACAAGCTTGCCGTCCTTCTTTTCAACCGTTCCTTTGAAACGGCCGTGCGTCGAATCATATTTAAACATATACACCTAGCATAGCAAATAGTAGCCATAACGATGAGTATTCAGTATTGAATATACTAGACTAGATGATACTAAGTAGTAACATGTGATTCTTCAGATTGCTTACCATATAGTCCAGATCGATAAAAGGGTCGTTTACCGCAACGACCTGGATCTCGGGGTTCAAGAGCGAAGCTCGCAATACAATACGGCCGATACGACCAAATCTGTGCATTATCGATTCATGTGAGTATATACACAACTCAACATTCTCATTGCCATCGCTGAACCACTTCCCAGCTTCGTATGACCATCACAACGAAGAACTTACCCGTTAATTCCGGCTTTAACTGGCATGTTGATTTTCTGATAGTTGTTCGATAAAATGTAAGAAAAGGGGTTTATAGAGTGTTTTTGGAAGAGAGTATAAGATATGTTTTTTTGTGTGTTTCGTAGGAGTGTTTTTTTCTGGGGTCGTTACAGAAAGGATTATATTTTTTTTCTTAAGTCGTAAAAAAGGTCGTTATAAAGTTATCGTTTGTTTGTGTTTGCGTTGCGTGGAATGGTATTTTTTCTGAACTTGAAAAATGAATCAAGATTCAAAAAAAGAAAGGAGGAAGGCGGTTATAAAGAAGTCGAGGGGTCAAGGAAATGTCGTCCTTATATACTCTTTTCTTTGGGAAAAGAATTTTTTTTGTGTAATCCTCCATGTAAATAGCACACTCTTCAAACTGTTTATCGATGGCTTTTTTTCTTTTTGGGGGAGAGGGAAACAAACAGCAAGGAGTAATGCAGTACAAGGAGAGGGCGTTTTTGTTTTTCCTGTCACCCCAAAACTTTATCGTTTTTGGCGCGCTGCGATGATCATGCGGTTTCGCTTTTCACCTTCTTGTCCTACATGGCACACCTTTTCGTACATTCAGCCATTTTGTTTTTGTCATACCATTTATCGTCTTCTTAACTAACTACTTTGCACCCTTTCGCCCGCTGGGGTGGTCTCCCTCCCCTCCCCTGCTTCGTTTCAAACACTACATGTTTCATATGCAGGATGCATAACGTCATTTTTTTACATGATGCTATAGTAACCATGGTTACAGTCTGTTAGTTGTTGCTATGGTACAGAAATAACCATAGAGACCATTGAAAAGTTTGGCTGACTTCGCTCTTGCTGCTGCGTTTTAGATGGGAATACCAGAAACGTGTAACACTGCTCCTGAACTTCCCGTCCAGAAAAAAGGCGCGCCTTGATGCATGTCTCCTGTTGTTTACTTGCTGACGATATCTTTTCAAATGCGCTTTGTTGCATACTTTGCCGACAGCAGCGGCTCTTCAAGACAAAATCGTATGAGTTATTCGGAGTAAGCGCCATTTCGATCTATGCAGGTTACGGCAGCATAAATGGTAATGATATTGATGGAAGAAAGGGTGACTGACCACTGTGGACCACTGTGGAAATAAAAAATTGTTTCGACTAGCTAGCGGTATATGTAGAGCGTATTTCTTGTTTTCTAAAGATAGAGCAAGTTGCCTTTCTGTACATGCAACACAAAAAAACCGCGTATTCTTTGCGTTAAAAGAAGTATAACTGCGAAACGCATATATTATTTTTAATGACTGTATTATACTCCTCGTCAGCTCATTATTTTGGTTTAAGGTTTCAGTCGTAAAAAAATCAGGTACGGAACAGTAACAACAACCTGATAAAAGAACCAAAAAAATCTTTGTCTCCGCGCTCGTAGTTTTTATGTAGCAACAGAACTTATAAGGAGCAATATCGTTGGTCACAAGAAGTATGTAATGCTATGAGTGGTCAGACATGTACCAAGATTTCCTGGAACGATTGGTGGAAACGGGTTACTGATGATCTTTTAAAAGTTATTAGTTTTGACTTGACTTGAACAGCGGTGATTGTAAAACAATAGTGTCATGAACTATTATAGCACGTCATGATATCATTGTTCTGTTGTGTACTCGCTCTTTTTCATATTGCACCCGCCGATGGGCGGGATGGTTCGAAAGAGGAAGCGTTCATAAGACAATAAAGGATTGTTTTACTCTCAGCAGCAGCTGAGATGATGATGGTGCAACGCAGTAGTAGCAGGATAGTGCGAACTTTATACTTGGCTGACGAAGCGATTGATCCGTCTTCTGTCATTATCGCCTTTTTTGATGTATTTGAACAACGATAACAACAATAGATATTCATATGATTTGCTGTGTCCCGATATCTCTACTATATAGATGATCGTTTGCATCTACATACATCCATAGCCAGTTTTGTCGTGCTCGACCGTGATATCTGAAACACACTGTAAAACAGTGATTTGGAAAGTGCCGCTAGTATATGCTCATCACCGGGTTATGCAACGGCACAGTTTAGTACATTGGCCGCTCGCTATAATGCTATAAGCAATGAGACCTGAATCCCATCACTATATTGAAGTATTACTATATCGATTTGTAGTTCTGTTAATGGGGTCCGGAAAACTGATTACTTATGGTAAAACAGTATATGGAAAGCTCATCAGGAGAAGCTATAGAATTGCGTGCTGCCACTATTGATTTATCGATAATGAACTCCCAAAATTATACTACTGTATCCTTCAATTTATCTTTCCATTGTCATCCCTCCTTATTACAACTGATAGGATTGCACTTGGCTCTGAGCGCATCATTGATGGAGTGCCACCCCTAATGATAACACTCAAAAACGACAATCTACACCCATGAATCACAGCAAAAACTATCATAGCAAATGTGTATGTAATCATAAGCAACATGGCAATCAATGGTTTATCAGGTATATTCCATTATGGAAACAAAGTGCGCTATGTCAAATAATGCGCGTTGCCTTTTCAGTATTTTATCCGCCATCATACATGTTGTGCTATTGTGTACAGCCGACAACCGAGCAAAAAAGCTGTTTATATGATATAAAAAAAGAGCACAGTTCTTGCGTTTTCTCATACTGGGATCTTTTAACATCAGTTATACATACTCAACAACGTATGAAAAGCAGTCATTATATGGTACAACAACTTAACTTATTCTTACTACTACTTTAGTTGTTACTAGTTCTAGCAGCTAATTCTGTGCGTTTTCTTAACGATCCATTTTTTTTTGCAGAAAAGAAAATCATCAATTCCAATCAACTGAACATGAAGGCGGCATTTATCCCGGGCACGCTTCTTGCATAGATAACTCAAATTTTGCACTGTAGTTTTCTCCTCTTGTCGCTGTTATAGACCCTCAACAAATTGTCGAGTCAAGTGGAAGACACTTTTGACAAGAGAAACCTGCCGCATGAAACGATTTGCTCGGAAAAACAAATTGTTGCAACGCGTAAAAACCGCTAGCAGTATTTGCTAGAACAGATAATAAAGTCCAAAATATTCAAGTTGGGGTTGTCTAGTTCAGATACTGTAAGTACGTCATAACTACTTAGCTGACTAATAACGTATCTTCTGGGATCAACATGGCTGCCAATTATGATACTTCCTTCCAATGTACAATGCATAGAAAAAGCTGCACCAAAAGGCTCAGCATATACATGTGATTGGGATAATACTTGTTGTAGTATGTAGTTGTTTGTTTGCGTGTGTTCAAAAGCTAAGAAGCTGGAGGTTCAAGTATCTGGTCGCGCCTTTGGCTGTGTACCAATCTGAGAATTTTATGCTAAATGCATAAATGTGCAGATGATACCCCTTTTATACACTAAAGTAAATCTTCTCAAGGGAGTGAGTCCAGCATGCATCTCCTATTCCTTGTGCTCGCTTCGCTTATAGTACAGCAACATATGAGATTTTAATCCAGCCTAAAATTTCCAAAGAGCCGGAACTTATCAGTGGCGTACACCTGTATTGACATACCAACCAAAGAAGCAACTCGTTTAAAATTTACTATCATCCGGCGGAAAGAGAAGCGTGTAAAAACATATACACAGCATGGATACTGGCGTGCAATAGCAGCTCTTGAAGGGGAAGAATGAATCCTATATGCGCCGTGTGTGCGCGGTGGCAAACAGGAGGCAAACAAAGTTTCCAGAGTTACGTACACGCTCCGTGCAGTAACTTATTTTCCTGTTCCCGAGCGAAAAAAAAAAATCGCTTCTTCTTTTCTTTTATACCATAGTTCCTATCTCATTTTAAATTCAAAGCCATAATAATGAAAACGTTGACCGCTCTTTCGTTACTCTGTGTCGCCGCACTCTGCGCCCAAGGCGATGGTCAGTCTGACCAAAGAGTCGTCAAGCAAGACGACCAAGCGGTACAAACGACATCGCGTCTCATTAAGCTCAGGTATGTTGTGTTTGACGACACAATTTGTTGCCACGGCCATTTGTCTAAAACCAAGGCAACTAAACTTTTCAATTTTGTAAAGTGACACTGAAGCAGCACAGTGGTTAAGCGAATTCCAAGTCATGGGTCTTGTTAAGCAAGGTACTCGATTCATGGACATTACTGATCACCAAGAAGAAGAAAATAACGACGTGGTCCGGCCTGCTCGTGACGACAGTAAGTGGTTCTCTTCTTTATTCTACCATGTGATACATACGACTCTTTTTTAAATTGATACGTTTTACGCAACAGAGGTTCCGACCAGCGTGTCTAATCAGGACGAGGTCAGCCTCTTCCTCAAAGACCTGACGACTGACTTTATGCAGCAGTGGTTGGCGAAATTCACATCGTTCCATACCCGGTATTACAAATCAACTTGGGGCGCACAATCGTGTGCTTGGCTTATCAGCAAAGTCCGTGAGATCGCTGAGCCAGCTGGCAATCGTATTACCGTTCGCGAATTCAAACACTCTGTAAGAACCAGATCAGAAAGAAAGCAAATCCCCTTTCTTTCTACTAAAACTTTTTGCTGCGTAATCCCTCCATTTTTCATGCACGGTCACCCTGGATGATGTGCATGCATACACAGTGGCAGCAATTTTCTATTATTGCTAGATTTGAAGGCACCAACAAAGACCTCGACAATGAAGCTGTGATCATCAGTGCCCATCAGGATTCTGTGAACATGTGGCTGCCTAGTTTAGGAAGATCGCCTGGTGCCGATGTAAGAAATTGAAAAGTAGCGGGATCATTGGTACTAGAACACAAAAAGCTAGTGTCCCCTATGTACTGATAGACTCTGTTCTATTAGGATGATGGTAGCGGTACTGTCACGATCTTGGAAGTCTTCCGCACGCTTGTCAAGAATGGTTTCCAGCCTGAGCGACCTGTTGAGTTCCACTGGTACAGTGCTGAAGAAGGAGGCCTTTTAGGCTCCCAAGAAGTGGCAAAGCAGTACAACAAAGAAGGAAGAGAAATCGTCGCCATGATCCAGAACGATATGACGGGTTACATTGGTGCACATGGCGAAGTTATTGGTCTTGTCACGGACTATGTCAATGACAAGGTACCGACAGGAAGTCTATATAGGCAAAGGAGGAAGAAGTCAATATGAGAATCTAACCAACGACTGTATACATTTCGTATAGCTGACCAATTTTATTCGGGATTTGATTAAATCCTATGCCGAGATACCTGTTGTAGATACTAAATGCGGTTATGCCTGCAGTGGTAAGTTTCTGACCTGATGACCATGGTCTCTCCGCCCCTCCTTTTTCCCTCCTGTTCACTTCATACACGTCCTTATTAGATCACGCATCCTGGCGCAAATTCGGTTATCCTTCCGCGTTTATGATTGAGAGCTCGTTTGAGGATTCGAACCAACGCATCCATACTTCGGACGATAGCATAAAATATCTTTCCTTCGACCACATGTTGCAATTCTCCCGTGTACTCGTTGGCTTCGCTGTCGAGCTTTCTCATGCTGACTAGAGGAAATTATCAATCGTATCCAATAAAATCTTGTGAGGGATACTTATTATTTTATTATTTGCTGTTTTTTATGTGCTAGGTTATAAGGAATTTACTGGCGTTTGTCTCAATTTGATCACGATATGTATGTATGTTATCCACTCTTGTCCGAAGTCAGGTAATTCGGATCATTACCAAGTTTTCGACTAAGATTTTCGTACCAGGTCTGGAATGCCTTGAGGGGTAAATAGCCTCGATCGCTGAGTGTCGAGAGCGGGATGGCATCCAGTGGCAAATCTTGTTGAACGAATGAGGTGACATAGTTGTACAGGTTATCCAGAATCTTTGAAGCAAGCTGACCCGCTTGGTTCAAATTAGGTGTTGTGGGTGGTGGTTTCACGATAGCCATTTGCGTGCCATCACCGGGCGTGTCCATCATGGATGCTGAACCTTGCGTTTCGACTTGTTGTTGTATAATGTCGATGGGTTCAATGGAAATACCGAGTGTTGCAGGTGTTGACACTTGCGGCGTTGTTGTTGCTGCGTTGTTATTTTGCCGTAACCGAAAGATCGCGCTAGGTTTTTCGTTTAATAATCTACACAAGAGTCAAACATATTTCGTATGATGAGGTTAGAGTTCCATTTTCCCTATCGATCCATTCTTTTCTAGGTATGAAAGGACTTACACTCCCAATAGCTGCCATTCTTTGTTTGGCCATAGTAAATGGACAGTTGCACCAAAGCCTTGTTGGAAAGGTATGGTACCGAGAAGAAATACGACTAAATGATTGATGGACTGTGCGTCGGAAAGCTCAAAGACGTACTTGTTCACATCCACCTGTTGCAAATTTGTTTGGACCTGTTGAACGTTTGTATTCACCAGAGCAATAAATATGAAATGTAATCCGTCATTTTCGTGTACAATGAATGATAGTGATATTATTTACCATACCAGTCTGCCCGCTACGATGCAGCCAAACATGTTTTGTGTGTTTGTGTGTTAGATGTGTAAGGTATGAAAAAAGTGAGGGTTGTTGTATGCGGGGGTTGAGCGCGAGACAAAGAAAAAGAAAAGAAAAGAGGATTATGGAAGGTAAAGGAAAAGCTACGAGCTATTTTTTAAAGTAGAGTTTCGGGGAATAAATTAGGCCCATCATGCAAACGAAAAAAAAAAAGTGACTGCCACAACCACGCTCTTTCTAAGCTTCATTATTATGATCCCCTTCATTGTCGTTGTCCTGCTGTTCTTCTTGCTTCGATACACCTGTCCGACGCAATACTGAAAAATACAGCGGTCCCCAGCCATCGGTCTTATCGGGCAAAATGATCCACCCATACTTCGTCCGTTCACCAATTGGGAATGTCTTCTTCACTACTTCGACAGGTACTTTGCCCTTGCGGATCATTTTCGAAACCACCTTATCGTTCTCGGTCGAGCTGATCGAGCATGTGCCATAAACAACCAACCCACCAACACACACCGAATGCACAGCCGCCTTGAGCAGCTTGAGTTGTCGCTCGGCATTATGGACTGTTCGTTTGGGCGACCATTGTTCGAACTCCTTATCGTCGTGCAACAAATGTCTTTCCGAAGAACATGGCGCGTCGAGCAACACTTTGTCGTATTGTTCCGGCTCAGAGTACCATTTTGTGCCATCCTTGCCTAATACAGTGATGCGTTCGTCCTTGGGCGACAGGTAATCATCAAGGACAATGCGTAACCGACGTCGTCGATCCGGCGACAATTCATTCACTGTCAAAGAGCCATACGCACCCAATCGTTGCAGAACAGATACAGACTTGCCGCCCGGTGCAGCACATAGATCCAACACACGATCATCCGGCTGGATATCCAATGCCTCTGTCGCCAGGACAGATCCGGCATCCAAAATGTAATAGTCCGTAATACCAGCACGGTCTTTTCGTGGATGGGGGAATCGGTCTGCTGTGGTAGCAAAGCAAGGTATACGAACAAAGGAGAGTGGAATAAGTTCTGGTAATGTCGATAAACGTTCTTTGAAATCGTCCGTGTTGCTGTACTTGTTGACCATGATGCAATGTCGTACGGGCTTTTTCAGTGCTTCTATCAGCGTTTGCCATCGCTCATGGCCATATTCTTCTTGGTAAAAGTTGCTAAATGCGTTAAAGACTGCTTCGCGTCGCTCTTGTTCTCGAGCTGCTGCTTTTTCTTTGTTTTTTGATTTGGCTGGTTTTTTGTTTTTGGAAGCCTCAATTTTACGTGCAAGTCGCTCGGCTCGTCGATCGCCACCACTTTCTGCCATGTCAAAATAAATAAAACAGTGTGTGCCGAAAGTAGGTTTCTCGAGTTCACACATGAAAAACTTTGCCCGTTGAAACTCCGTCACACGAAAGACACTTGTTGCATGGCAAAACCGCTTGATATATAGCAACGAGATGAAGTCTGCGGTTGCCAAGGAACATACTAGATCCAGCTTATGTTTCTGGTAGTCTTTAAATATGCAATTGAGGCGATATATATCTCCATTATGTTTAAGAATCGCCAGGCTGTAATGTTGCTGTTCTGATGACCTGTTTGTAACCGGTTCCAAGGTATCAATGTACATGTGCCGTCTTTTACGTTATTACTTTAAAAAAATATACACGTATACATTAAGCAGAGTATATACAGTTACACTCAAACAAGTATTATCTGATTTTGGAAAGTAGTCTACTAGCGTTATCTATCGTCTGTCGTCACACTTATCTTTACCTTCGCTCATGCAGCATGATTTGCCACCACCAAGCAATATGTATAGAACATGACAGAACTGTGTACAAAATCGATTTTTCACTTACTGTACTACTGGATTTGATGATGACGGCAGTATCAAAACAAAATTTTGTGTCTGCATGAGAAAGAAATCGTGTGTAGCGCTCGGAGTAGGACGGATATTTACCTGTCCTGGTGTGATTGCCCTTGTTCTATTCTATCCACCACGATCACCACCTGACCGTTCTGTTCTTCTTTTCCCGTCGGGAAAGGAGCTCGATTCTTGCAGACAAAAAGATGGACCGAGATGCAGTCGAGTTGATTCCTGCATTAGGAGATAAAGCATGTCGGCGGCCGTTGTTTTAGCATGAAAATAATTTGTTGGGTCGTTATTCTTGTCGAAACGAGGCGGAGAAGAACTGTAGTTGCAACCCCAAAGCTGGCTCGTGCACCCAACCGGAAGGACAGACATACATAAACGTCATAGATTTGAGCACTGATAAAGAGTCCACAGTTTATGGCCGAGATCACTAGGGTGACACAAGTTATTGTTTTACAACAAAAGTAAGCAGGAAGCAACAACAACAAAAAAGGGCCTACGATCTGGAACCCCTTTCATGATATTTGTTTCCTTTCTCCATCCTTTTTTTCCTCCAACTTTTCTTCCCTCTTTCTAACATATGACAGCACATTACTCAATAGCAACGCAACGCTCGCTTCAGCGACTGGATTACTTTTATCAGGCAATCAATGCAACGATTTTAAGTAAACAGAACGCTGTTAGTGGCCTTATGCCGGCATCGGTAGCAATCACGGTACGGGAGAAGACAAAGGAGGATGGACTGTGTTTAAAATGCTGGAGGGGCCGGAGAGTGGTGGCGATAATGCTGACGAGAGGAACGGACCTGTATTATTTTATAGACCCATGGTGATTATACCGACGCCTGGGTACGGTAAGCTAAAACAGGATTTAACGGGATGGAGGGGTGAATGGGCCGGATACAAAGATTGATGGAGAGTCCTTCAAAAAACACGGGTCAAATGCTTATCGATGATGCTTTCTGCTGGATCGGTTACAGGGACAATGTATACTCTATCTATGCTGTCTACGGCCTGGCCCTTGCATATCGACGAGTTGACAACGACAATGGACGAGCATGTACGCGCCTATAGTCTTTTGGCCTCCTTTTTATTATTTTTTCAGTGAATAGAGAACTGATACATCCATATTAGATGAGCTGGAACACGCGGTAATCAAACTGATGCGCGGATTACTGTTCGCCATGATGCGTCAAGCTGAGAAAGTCGAAAAGTTCAAAAAGACACAAACACTAGAGCATTCGCTACATGCCAAATACAACACCACCAATGGCGAGACTGTCGTGGGTGATTTTGATTGGGGTCATTTACAGGTAAAAGATCCATTTATTGTTTATTACGATGGATATCATATGAAATTGAGAAAGAAGCTGTATGTACTACCAATGGAATGAATGATGATAGATTGACGCAACCAGCTTTTTCCTTCTGGCGTTGGCTGACATGACTACGAGCGGATTTACAATCATATACACCCAAGATGAAGTAGACTTTGTACAGAACTTAGTGTTCTATATCGAGCGTAAAGTATCTTTATATTTTTATTCGAATTGTATCCATGTAATCACTAACTAACAAAATGATCGTACAATTCGTTTTTGTTTTTGGTCAACAGGTGCATACCGTACACCGGACTATGGCATCTGGGAGCGTGGGAACAAGTCGAACCATGGACAACCCGAGTTGAACTCTTCCTCCATTGGCATGGCTCTGGCTGCATTACGCGCTATCAACGGAGTTAATTTATTTGGTGCACGCGGCGGTCCCACCACGGTACGTATTTTCTTTCTATGCATATCCGACGATATATTTTTCAGTAACCCAGCAGATACATACAGGTCATTCATGTGCTTCCAGACGAGTTGACACGCAATGCCACCACACTACACAGCTTCTTACCACGCGAATCCAACTCCAAAGAAATCGATGGCTCGGTCTTATCCGTGATTGGATTCCCAGCCTTTGCAGTCACCGATCCCGACCTGATCCGACGCTCCAAACAAGAAGCCAAAGAAAAACTAGAAGGCAAATACGGCTGGAAACGATTTCTGCGCGACGGCCATCAAACTGTGCTAGAGGACACATCGCGCTTGCATTACAACTTAAACGAGCTCAAGATATTCGAAAACATTGAATCCGAATGGCCGCTGTTTTTCACGTACTTGGTGCTAGAAGGATTATTTACGGGCGACATGGAACAAGCACGAGAATACCGTAAAAAATTGGAGCCATTGATTATTGACTCCATGAATATGCACCAGTTGCCCATGTCTCCCGGTGGTGGTACTGTGTCGCCTGCTGGGTCGTCGTCTAAATATTCGTTCAATACCGATCCTGGCATTAGTATCCCTTTGGTGGCCGAATTGTACTATGTTCCTTCTGAAAACATTGAAGCCGAAAAGGCCAATCCGCATTCCCAGATACGCTGTCCCAACGATAACTTGCCATTGGTGTGGGCACTTTCGCTGTATTTCTTGGGTTGTCTCATTGAAGAAGATTTGCTGTCACCGTCCGAAGTCGATCCCCTGGGTCGTCGGTTCGCTGCCAAACAGGTACCACGACAACATATCGTACAAATTGTTTTGCTGTCAGAAGACTCGACTTTGCAAAGCACATTGTCCATGTATGGTCTCGAGACTCAGACTATGAGTGAGATCGCGTCAAACACAACTGTATTACATCCTCGCGCATTGACCGAAGTCTATGCTGGGTTGGGAAGAAACACAAAATTGGGATTGAGCGGCAGGCCCAAAAGGTAACATGTTTGTAAAAATTCAAGTAGGGGATTTATCATAAGCTTAAAGGAATTACACTAACTACATGTCTATTCTGTCAACGCTAGACCCGTGGGTGTTCTCGGGACATCACGACTATATCGCATCCAAGGCCAAATCTATGCCTTTACGCCTCATTTTATGGACAATGAAGAATTTTATCTCAACACTGACCCCGACTACCTAGTATCAGCATTCGAAAGCGAATTAAGCTTTACAAGCCAAAACTGGTTCTATCCAGGCCGACCCACCATGGTCGTCGTATTGACCAACGCATTGCTGGGCGCTATGCGAGGACAACTCTTCACCAAACGATCGGATCTAGCCACCGCGAGCGACCAATCTCAAAAGAATCTGCTCAATTGTTTCATGAATTTACGTTGTGGTGAGAGCAGTAACGGTGTTCGAGTCCGTCTTTGCCGACTGCAGGAATCGGTCAATACAAGCAACATTGAATCACTCGACTTTTTGATTAATCAGCCGGATATGGATTGGGAAAGCATCTTGTTGTTTGCTAACAAGACGGCGCGGAATCGACGTCGTTCCATCCATCGTAAACTGGGTTATGATGAAGGGAAAACACAGGCGAATACCCCTGGCGGTCGCATGACGCCTGGTAGCAAAACTCCACGACGACGCAATACGGCGTTCCATGGTAAATCTTTGGCGTCCCCATTGGATAAGTTGAATCAAGAAAGCTATTTTGAGCAGTTGTCGACGGCATTGGCGAATCTCAAGACGCCAGAAGATGATACTAATGATGATGAGCCAAAATTTAAGCTCAAGGAGCCAGAGCAGCATAGCCCAGCTACACGGAAAACAGTGGCTCATGCGGATGGATCGACCGAGAGCACTGGATCGCCATTCCCTGGAGATGCCTCGTCGGATCGTCCAATGAGCGAATCGCCCGCTGCTTCGGATATGCTCTCATTGATGCTGGGTGATACATCCCAATTTCAGCAGGCCTTGGAAAGTCTGGTCGCATCTGTCAATCTCTACGATCAGATTGGTAAGTTCAGAGCTTGCTTCGAGGATGATAAGGAAATTATGTATATCCTGTACTCTTAGTTTTCTGACCTTTTTTGCCCGCTTTTCATTTTTAACGGTAGACTTGCTACAATATCTTGCGTCCTGTCAACCGATTGATTTCTACATCGAGGAGCTGCAAGCCACAATAAAAGAACTGCTCGAAGAAGTTTATCTGAAGTCCATGCGGTTGCAATACTGGTCGATTGCTCGTCAAGCAGCTGGCTTATTGCACAAGATCGTACCTTCGCTCACAATCAATATCACTGACTTGGTTATTCGACAAAAGCAAGTCAGCATTGGTTCCGGACCGCAAGAATATCTCATGTCGATGCCTACTGCGCCCGATGCACTGAGTAAAATGATCGCTGAGCATTGGTAATTAAGCTGTAATTTTTTACTTTTTAGCTTCTGTGTATACACGGAGACAGTATGTTTGAAATTTAAACCGTATATATACATTTAGCAACGACGATGTACGCGAAGGGCCTGTCGTGCAAGAAATCATCATCTATCTCGGCAGCTTGATTCGAACCGTACCACATATCTTTGACGGTATTTTGCGACTCCGGACACACTACATCATTATCGCTTTACGTGAAGAGATTAGCCGTACGAACGGGTGTGATGAAGAAGAAGCTGTCGAGCATTTGATGCAGCTCTCGCCATTCGAACTCAAAACTCTGTTGGGAACGATCTTGTCTGGGCCTGGTTTATGTGACAGTGACATCGTCGTGCGCGACAAGCCTGGCGGTTTCTTAATGCTGTCTTTACCTTTGTCCAGAAAAGAACAACAGGAGCAACAACAACAAGAACAAGTAGTTACAAAATCGACACCACCAACAACAGCGGATACAAACAAGTTGGTTATCCGTGTCCAATCAGCAGGATATACCTGGGGCAACTTTGCACGCGTCGATATCAATGGCAACACGTTGCATGGCAACTCGCGCGGTATCCACGTTTGGGCTATTGACCGCAGTACTCAACTGTTGTTGGAGCGTGGATCGTTTGATACTCACATATCTACTGACGAAAGTTTGGAATTCAAACGATTCATTGATTGGCTCTCGCCTGGCACGGTCGTAGTCATTGCTGTCAAGGACGACTGTACCGAGCATCTTGGTAAAGAAGGTATCGAAGCTTTGGAGAGTTTGGGGAGTACCAAGATCCGTCAAGTACAGTATCGAGACTCGTATGTCTTCATTGGTGAAAAGCGAGGCAACAGTAGCAGCAGTCATAGTGCTCTATCACCGTCTTCTTCATTCCCTTTCATTGAACAGTACAACCACACGGGTCCAACCGAACTAGTCGAAAAGACTATTACAACTGTGGCGAACAGCAAGACAGCCAAGAACAATAACAACGATAGCCCCACGACCACCACGACGAGTAGCACCAGTGAAACGTATCCAAACTCAAACGGTCGCTGGCTGCGTCGACGCAAAAACGATGGTGCACTCAATCGCGTTCCACCCCAGTTCTTTCCCAACACATGGCAAATCCTGGATAGCTCACAAGGCCTACGAATCCATCGACACACTCTACCACGTGATCCAACCGTCCTCGAAAAAACTGCCGAAGAGTTCAACTTTGCGATTGCAGTTGAAGGCTTTTTAAGCTGGTTTATCGATCCAGCTGAGCGCCAGGTTGCCGTTGAGACATTGACGGTGATATACAAGCTCAAGGAACGTAATCCAGAAATGCGACTCAGCACCTACATTGATATCACACAGATCATTGACACTGCGGTTGAATTCTTTTGGACAAAATGGAATACCAAAAGCAATTATAAAGAAAACAAAGGATTGGCGCACAAGTTGTTTTATGATTTGCCACAGCAAGGATCGGATGATAGTACATTTGGTTATCTATCAAAGAGTGCACTTAAAGTGCTCCCATTTGAGTTTAATTATTAGTTTTTTAATAATAAAAGGCTACTTAGGCGTTCTTGAGCACAAGGACCTTGATTCCATTCATAATTATCTCTTTCGTATGTCGGTAAACCGACTTGTTCCACAATGTAGCTGGCAGAAATGGCACCATAGCGTGCAGCAATCACAGCATTGCCGTTGGATGCAACCCAGCCAATACACATGCCACCACAGAATGCATTTCCGGCACCTGTCACGTCCTGAATCTTATCACTGTCCTGTTCCTTCCAATAAGCAGGAACCCATTCAAGCACATTATCCGTGACAACCACTGCGCCTTGTTTACCTGCACGAATGACAATGTTGGTTTGGGTAGCATAGTATAGCCTTTGAGCACATGTCTCTGGATCCAAGGTCGAGTTGCCTAGCATGGCGGCTGCTTCTTCATGGTTGGGAGTCAACACATCCACTAGTTTTGCTGCCTTGCATACCATTTCATATCGCTATATAACATTTTCCATATGTTTTAGACTCGTTTTCTTGTTTTTGGTACCAAGTCCTCTCTCACCTCGGACAGACAGGACCATGGCACTGGTTCCCATATAAATGCAGTTGATGATCCACCTCGTTCCCGCCATTCTGTAACGATCTCTATCGCGCGTTCAGGTGAGCAAATGATATGCATCACGCGAAGCGAGTGGACCCAATCATCCGGTGGATCTTGTGCCGTAAGTCGAATGATAGGATGGATATATTCAAAGTCGCTGAAAAATGGAAAGGAAACAAGATTAAGATATAGAGAAAGTCAAGGGAGTGTGATAAATAGCGTACCGATGATCGTTGGGTCCAAACGTATTTAAACCGCGAGTGGTATGTAAGTCTGCATGCTGTTGCCTTCGTAACGTGATGTCAAGTTTTTCCAATTGGTCAGCAACAGCGGGAGGGTGATCGTACCCTTCTTGTGCTATGTAACCAATCTTTTCCGACTCGGGTGGATTCAACCAAACGCGCATGCCTAGCGTTAAAAAATGTCTATTTGTTGGTGGCATTGGTAATTACGTGATTTTCTTTTACTGTTTTCAGGATGACGACGAACCATAGATGGCATAAATGCCAGCACCACCGAGGACATTACGTTCTTCTGTACCATTCTGATAAACGATGTCGTCAATGATAAGGCTTCCTAGTGATGCGTACAAAGGAGGCGTCGATGTAGCTGATGCGTTGGCTTTGATATCAGTCATAGGACAACTGCAAATCATTTAATAACAGAGACTGTGAATCGAGCTAATAGTAAAAATAAATTTTATACACGCAAAGAAACACTAGGACTATTTATAAAAGAAAGGGTTGGTATATGGGATTACAGAGTGAAACTGTGATGATGATAATTTTAGCATCGTAGGGGAAAAAGCTATGTATAGAGAGAGCAAGGGAAGAAGTGTATATACTGAAAAACGAAAGAGAGATTATGATGGTGGTTGTCGTTCGTCATCATCATCTGGTTGACCTGCAAACATGTGTTGAATTGGATGGGGGGTTGGTGGCCGTGGATGCACTGTGGGTTGTTTATACAGCCATAGATGATGATGAAGAAGCGTCGCCTTTGAACGTACGTGATGAATCTTGCATAAAGTTTTCATCATTGGCGGCATCGATTGGGGTAGGACTTGACGTGTTGGTAGCAGGTGGAGGAGATGAAGACCCAGCAGTCGCTATAGTAATACACTTTAACATCACGCTCGACGAACCCCGCCATATGAGTTTTTACTATAACGACGATGGCACTTACGCATAGTGGGTGATGATGATGCTGATGGATGGTTGAGTGGAGAAGTAGGTGTTTCGCTGTTGGCGTCAGCTACCGTCGATGATGTTACTCGTTGGCGCTTTGCAACCCGAGCCTTTTCCTTGAATCTCTGATTTTCTTCTCTTTCCCGTTGTCGTCGCAGCAAATTCTCTTGTTTTTGAGCTTCTTTTTCGGCCTTTTCCTCTATCAGACAATCAATAAAGAGACGTATGAGTTTCTTTTTCCTTTCCCACCAGAAACAGAAAAAAAATCGAACCTACTTTCTTTAGCCTCCTTTGCGTTACGGTCGTTATCCTGAAGCATTCTTGTTGATTCGGAGAAGTCCACCATTTGAACACGTGATTGCTTTTGAAAACCTTTCGGTGTGGTGGGAGGTACCGGACTGCCAATGTTGTTACCAATGGACGCAGAGGGTGGAACAGTTCGTACAGGTGGAGGTCGAGTGGACCCGCCCAATGAGCCTTTCCGGGACGGAATAAACATACTGGAGGCACCTGGGGCACCCATCGGTCTTGTTTGTGGCCGAGTATTGAAGAGACTGTTTGCGCCTGGTGCGGGTCGTGGCGGTTGGGATCCTCCAACCATCGTTCGCCGTGGGCCGCCAGCAGCAGCAGCAGCAGCCTGACTTCGGTTGATGAACAAATTCTGGGATGGAGGCGCTAGAGCTTGACGTTTGGTAGCTGGACCGTTCAAAGAGCCGGGCACAGGACGCACCATGCCCGAATTCATCAAGGGTGTTGTAGGCGACACGGGTGTTGTTGCTGCTGTAGCTGCCAACTCGGCACGTTCCTTGTCGACCAGCGCCTTGAGGACTTGTTTGCGATGCTTAGTACGCGCGGTCTGTTCGGGAGGTGTCTTGAGAACAAAGTGTCGCTTGAGGGTTGGCTTGTTGGCTTTGAACGCGTCGGTGCCGTAGACAAAGTCTTCGCGAGCTTCGGGGATCATGGTAGCGTATTCGTTTGCATGGAAGCTGATCCCTTTTTCTTTGACTATGGGAAGATTCATGTATGTTTTAGCAACAGTTGAAAGAGTACTTTCTATATTCAAAATTATGCCTTTTTTTCTACTTACCGGTACTGCAAAGATCCGTCAACAAAGTACCGAACGAAGCAGACCATTCTTCAATGTTCATGTTCAGTTTGCGGTCGGTTGGGACATCTTGTAGAATGTGGGCTGTGGTTTGCACCCAGTTGTCCGTGTCTTGCACGGCCCGAGCAAAGAACTATTATAAATAAACGGTCGATAAGGATTAGCAACTGTTGCATTATGTCTATGTGAGATATATCAGAGAGAAGAGGCCGCGTCCCACCCAATCAACGCAATAAGATAACGGTCTGACAGTATACTTGTAGTGTTTGTAGGAGAGATACGGAAATAGGAAATAGCATAGCATAACAACGCACTTCATTGTCAAAAAGATCCCTTTACCGCAATTGTGGAAAAAAAAGACACATTGTTGACGCTGTCCTTATCAATCTCCACAGACAATTTGTTTCCTCGATAATGCAATCACTCACTCCCCACAAATGAACAAGAAAACTCAAGTAGTATACTGGGGCTTTCGAGACCAAAAAATGCATTGCGTTGGAAAGGGTGTTGGATCGCGCGAACCTCTTTATTATTATGGAGAGAAGTGTCAAAAGGATGATTATATGCGTGTGAAGCTTAATCCAAGGCAAGGCAAAGGGATGCTGGCGGGAGATTAAAAGGCAAGAGATCATGTGATGATATGCTATCATTTCATGCCGCAGTGTTCCTCCTTCCTTTTCCCTTTTCCCTTCCCCTCCCCATACACGCAAACGCACTGTCATCCCTCTTCGAACCCCGAATAAGCTTACCCAATCATCATCCTTTTGACCATTTTTGAGGAAGTAAAAAAAAAAAATCAAGGTTTGACAGAAGGGCTCTTACCTTTTGCATAGTAGGCTTCAAGCGCAGCAGGTCGTTCTTGCGAATGCACAGCAATGAGAAGAGGATTCCCACTTTGGCTGACTGGTGGTACTGGTCATAGCGCCGCAACACCATATCCAGAACCTCGCTACTAATTTCTTGTGCAACTCTTGCAGACTGCCAGCCAGGTCGGCTGAATTCTTCCGACAGCCAGGCGTGGATACCTTCTGGTGTATTTCGTTCCATCTTTTGAGGTTGTTGTTCTTGAGTAGGACGCGCGCGCGTTGGCTGTATATAAGTAGCGTGCGTGTGGACTGCACTGGGAAGAGAAAGGGAGCAGGAAAAAAGAAAGTGAAAAATATGAGAAAGAAATGCAATGCAAGACAATCCATTTTTTTGTCGCTCTTTTTATATCTTTTTCTTTCCCTTTTTTTCTTTTTTGCAAAGTGACGTGCTTTTTTACCCGATTTGAACAACGCAGTCCGTCCGAGCATTTTTGTGTCACATTTGCGCAGATTTCTTCCTTTTCCCTTGATACTAGGGCTTTTCTTTATTTACGGCTCACTATTATTATTATTGTTGCTGCTACTACAACTACTGCTGCTGCTGCTTTCGCACCAGTCTTCAAATCCTTTCACAAAACAGACATGGTCTTCCTGCTCAAAACACTGGAATCCCTTTTCTTGCGTTTCCTCGTATGTAAAAAAATACCGTTGCCACTCCTCCTGTTCTTCTCCTGCTGCTGCATGTGATTGTAGTCTCCACGCATCCATGGTGTTTTGGGCGCTGGCAAGCTCCCTGCGATAAGCATCCAAAATCTTATGGTCTGTCCACTCATCAAAAGACATGGGTTTGACATGGGTAACATGATGCAGCATCACTTGGGATAACCGGGACGCTTGATGAAACAACGTTGACAAAAAGTCGTGCGTGAGCAGCAGTTGGGATGCGGATACGTGGATGAGGCGCAGATGCGCCATGTGCTGTGCAAAATACGACCATGCCTGAGAGGGTGCGCGGCACGGCAGGCGCTCATAGTCGGTGGAAAGTGGATGGACGGATCGAAAAGCGAGTGAGAGGATGCGCAGCCGCCGCAGCTGGGCAATCAAGAGGATGCATCGGGCTGACAAGACTGGATCCGATTCTTTGACAATGATGGCGAGTTTCAACAGGTTGGGTGAACCAGTGACTATCCGACTGAGCATCGTGTAGCAGAGCGCATCGGACAAAGCGAGGTGTGTGAGCTGTTGATGGTGGAAGAGATGGTCGTACGCGGTATGTGGTATGGGTATTAGGGGCACGATGCTGGCTGTGGTCATGTTTTTGATCTGTTGTTGTTGCGATTGATTCTCCTTCTCGAGCAAAACGCGTTGTAACATAAGTCTGCGCAAGGTCTTTTTGTTGAGCTCAACCAGTTTCGTCAACGTATTTTCTTTGATGGTGCAGCATAACAGCGTCAGTGACTTTAGTGGCCGGTTGTATTGCAGTAACGATGAGAAATCATCATAAGTGTCGCGGCAGTTTTCGAGATAGAGTTCCTCTAGCGCAGGGCAGGACTGGACAAAGAAAGTCAGGCCGTATTGCTCGGCCCTGGCTTTTGGGTGGAAATCGATCCGCAGGGCCCTGAGGTTACACACGAGCTGGGCCATCAACCTCGAATTGCTCATGTCGTAATGCGGTCCGTTTGTCAAGTCCCGACACAATGAACGTACATATGACCCAAAGTGTCTTTTCGGTATCATCATTGCACTATTCGTGCTGCTGCTGTTGTTGATATGATAGTGCTGTGTAGTCTGTCGAGATAGAATGTCGGTCGCCAGCTGGACTTTTGAACCAGCAGTGATGGTCTCGTCGTCCTCTCTGGGTAGTATGAATTCCTTGTCCCGCCACAAGTAAGGCACACAGAGCGCATAGAAACGACGGCAGGCGAGTGCTATGCGTTTAACTTGCGTGTGCTGGTGCTCCGGGTATTGCCATCCAAGAAATTGGCGGTCGTCGTCTCGTTGGACTCGGGACGTGGTGAGGATGATGACCTCGAGGATTTCGTTCGGTAATCGAAAGATATGCGGCAGTGGACGAGTCGATTTCTTGAATGAGTGGGGTATCACAGGCAGTGATGGGCAGGTTTCGGCCATGATATATGAAAAGAAAGTTGTTGAGCGGAAAGAAAGCAGGAAAAGTAGAAGAAAAGGAAGAAAGGAGTTTGACCCGCCCGTGAGAAGTGTGCTAAACCTTAAAAATATATATGCAAAATATAAAATTTAAAATTATGGTCGGCTTTGAGATAACACACAAACAAGGACAGTTGCTGCCGCTGTTGTTGTTCTTCCTCCGAGTCCCTTTCACGCACCTCCCTCTTTCTCTACTTGCGTAATAGTCACCGGGCAAGCACCAAAAAGGTCCCATGACAGACAACAGAAGAGGGGAGAGACCCAACCCAAGGGATGGAAGGGGTAAAAACAGCGAGAGTAAGTCACTTGCTTATGAGGCGATGAAGCAAAATAACGACGTGGTGTGTGACACAGACTGATACGGCATGATTATCATGTTAAGCCATACACTATACCAGGGCTATTCTCCTCGATATAATCGCTGCCACCACCAGACATACTAAATCAGTTGCGCGTATTCAAAGGATAGGGGAAGGCTGGGATGAGCCAGGCTCTACTTTCTGCAAACATTCCTTACACCTACTTTATACAAGAAACTTCTCTTCTAAACTGGAGGTTGAAAGCGTACGTAAAAGTTTTCCTTGTATTAAGCAGAAGCAATTTAATTCAAACTGTGCATAACCATAAGCTGATGTATCAACTGTGACGTATGTGACTCCAATCAATCAAATTACTGGTATTGAATACGCAGGAGAAGCGGTGTTACTTCCGTTTAAATTCCCCGCGTGTTCCTCAACGTATTCATGTAGTCCAGCAACCATTTCACTTGGCAACAAAATTCATTTCTATGGAAACCTCGTTTGGAATATAATGCAATCTTAAACTGCCATGATCTTTGGAACGTGAACTGAGCGGGAGAAGCGCCTGTTCATATAATCGACAAACAAAATCAACCTGACTATCTGCTGCTAAAGCCAAGGTTTATGCTAGGAGGCGACACACGTACTTGCGCGATCCCGATATGCTCAATATACCGCGTGTTCGTGAAAATGTTCAAATCAGGGATATAGCTTCCTGTAATAGCTGGCATCTTTTGCTTTTATAATTGAAGGACATATTATCGGTATCGGTGACAAAATGAATAGATGTGCAAGATGATTTGGTTATATTCAGTGGATTATTCATACTCATTGGTATTGATCTATAACGAATAATAATAGTTCATATAGACAATTTACATATCCGTTGATAGTATAATAATATCATGTTAGCGCGCTTGGGGAAGATGGACAAAAAGTCGTGCGTAGGTGTCGTTTTTAAGCTACTAATCGAAGAAATCGTCGACTTTGTCATCGCTGCTATAATTCATTGTATCATCGTATATACGCAATTATTCGTTTTTCTTGAAGTATGATACCTGGCTCAATTCTTGGATATTTCGTCTTATTAAAATGCTATTGAAATAATTGTTTCGCTTCACTTGATTTCGTAAAATTGTTTAGCACTGAGTAGGCCATTCGCTGCCGACGACTTTGGTAGAAGGTGTGATGCAAGAAAGAGCAAATAGAAGAGGAAAAGATAAGTTGATTTAAAGCATAGCATCTGTTTAAAGAAACGGTCGATCCTTGCCAAGTAGATTCACTTGCGCCCTCGTAAACTCCTGGGTGTTTTCGTAATATGTAGAGCTCCTTTAGCATACCTTTGCGAATCGCTCTTTGCAATTAAATGCAGTGGGAATGAGCGCTCTTTTGTGCCTACCAAACGAGACGTTACTTTCATAGAAAATAGCACAAAAGACGATGTGGGGTAATGCAGTGGAGAAGAAATATTTTGTTGCGCTTTTTGCTATCACAGCGACTATGCGTTTGCGTGTGAGCCCGTTTAGATCCTTCGACATGCAGCCAACCCATTACTTGAAGCATAATTGGTCTATTTCACCACAAAGGAATCAGCATGGTCCTTTGTGACCAGGTTGGGGGGGTGGGAGAGCAAAACCAAGTGTTCCTCATGGATTGGAAGAAATGTAACTATAAAGTAAATAAAACCGTGGCACTATTGTTACATGTCAACGCCGATTATTACCTCTTAAATTCTCATGTTGTATGGCACTTACATTGTACAAAGTACCTGTAAATAGACGTACTAATTGATGTATGTGCCACGCTCAACCTCAAAAGCAAGAAACGTTCTTGGCAACATTTGTGCAACAAACGAATTCTTGGTATTTTTATGAAGTGTTGCATTCATTCACCATTTATGGAGAAATATACTATTGAAATATGCTGGATCACAAAATTCATTTCTCAATTATACATTTTCAAGATAATAATTGGATTGAGCGGTAGGGTCTTATTATTAGTGGATGGGAGACAGTAATAGATATAAAAGGGTGTAGGCAAGTAGTAGTTAAGATATTGATACATGTACAAAAAAATAGGCAGACGCTGATAAGTAATAATGCAACCAAAAAAAAAAAAAAAACAAGCAAGGTAAATACAAAAAATGAAAAGCAGCAACATAAATGAAGGAGACGGAGGGCGAATGCGGGATGGTGGATGGTCTTATACGATATGAGTATTACTATTGTTGATGATGTTGCTCGTTTTGGATGAATGTCGTACTGTTGAGTTCCATGGCGTCGCCCTTTTCTAAATCATCCCCTTCTTGTCTTTCATCTCGAAGTAATCTAGTATCATCAGCATAATCATTACTGCTGTCTTCGTCGACATCGTCGTCAATATCGTTGTCCTTTGCACCAATATATTGCTTCATCATGCGCTTCAACTTCTTGCCGAATAATACTGGAACGAGGGAGATAAATGATACACCGAGCAGTTTAAGGACCAAAGACACCGACACAATATCAGCCGTCGAACTCAGTTCGCCAAGGACGGCACCGGCCTGGGCACAAATGAAGTTATATGGCATGGAGCCCAGAAAACATGACCAGAAGAACGGAGACACTGGGATTCCCAAGAACGGTGATACCATGTTAATGAACCTAATAATAATATATATGTGTTAAATATAAATGTTGATATACTTGAAGCTAAGCCTAAAAAACCACATGAATGGCTACTTACCAATAAGGGGTAAAAGGAAACAAACGTGCAAACAAGAGCCACCAGAAAATGCCTACAGATTTGTCGCGTTTCATTTGGCGTGTCATGGATGCTGCTCGACGCGAGATCCAATTGAGTTGCAGGAACGGTTCAGCAACGAGCATGGCCAGACCATAGGCCAAAGTAGCACCAAAAGCCGTTAGAAAACTGGTCCACAGAGTCGCAGCAGTAATGCCATACAAGTGGCCGGCCAACAAATTGAACAAGACAGAGCCGGGGATCGAAAATGCTTGCTGCCACAGGTACAGTGCTGCAAAAACCCCGGCCACTGCAAAGTAGTCGGACCAGGTGGCAGCTGCCATGGCTTCCAAGTGAACTGCAATCGTCTGGATATCTTCGAGGGTATGTGGCAATTCGATGCCTAACACTTGTCGTGCCAGTGTCAGCGATAGTAGGAGCGACAACAGTCCGATAAGAATGAACAGTGCGAGTCGTGGCACCAGTCGCCGCCATGGGGAACCGAGTGCCCGTATTGCCTTTTTTTCGTCGGTTACAGGACAGATACCAGAGTCATCGATATCCATCATTTCCCTCATTTCTCTCTAGGCTGTCGTTTATGCGATACTGAAGGTATGTATATGTATGTATATAGGCACTTGTGAAAAGAAACAAGAGAAGGAAAAATATGTATGAAAAGCTCCGCCGGAAATGAGAGGCTTGATGTTTTAAAAGAAGGAAAAAAGAAAGAAGAACAACCCTTGAAAAGGGAACAGAAACCAAGGCAACAAATTTTTTATCCGTCATACACCATGTACGGTTTTATATGCTCTGGTCTGTCGGCCCGAATTTAACTGTCAGCGGGTCATCGGGAAAAAATTGCCATTTTTGGTTTAAGCTACAGTAGAGAAGAGTAAGCAAATGAGGCTGCTGACATGTCAATTGTTGGTACTTCTGTTATCCCATATTATTTTTGTAAGATTCAAGATGGAGTCGTCATAATCAAGAAGTGGTGGCTAGCTGGTGGAAGAATTAAAAGAATCCTGCTATGGCAACTTGGGCTTGTTTCTGGGTCTCGGCGCTCCCTAGCAAAGTAGTACAGAAAGCAGAATGCTTTATATAGCTATCGTGCAGTGAGCTATTTGCGAATTTTGTTATGCAGCAAACCCCACGACAGAATTTCTTTGTATTCTCTATACTTAATAAAGCTCAATTTTCTGCATGCGATCTATTATTCATTTGCTTTCAATATAGCGTCATGTTAAGAAGCAGCCCACTCTACAGAGCTCAGATACAGCCTCACAGATGTAGCCTTATAACATGGATACAGAACAAAGATGGACTATACGAGCAGATCAGGACGAGACATCGGTGCTTGAGTCGATGACCATGCAAACCATACAAGATAACTGCTACCAATATATCGCACTGTATAAAGTTCACAAGCGGCCATTATAACTTTGAAATAATGCTCTGGGTGATGAAAATGCAAATGCTTTTTTTACGGTGTAAAGAATGTGATGAATACGTCTACATTTGGTTTCAAAGGATGGATGGATGGGTGGATTGATGTGGAGAGAGAGAAGAAAGATAGAGTGTAGTGTGTGTGTGTAACAAACTTATGGGATAAGTGGCATCCATGTTGGCGTCTTTGCCTTGTAGTTTGTCCACTGATCACCAAAGAATCGAAGCAAGGTATATTCCTCATAAGCAATCCGCTCATCAAAAAATCGATGCAACCAGTAGACAAATAGTCCAAGACAAATCGGATTCAATAGCAAGAATTGGATACCAATGGCCCACCAAAAAAAGCCAAAATACGATGGATGGCGCATAATGCTAAGGGATATAGTGTGAAAAATGAGCTCCTTTCATTGTACGCGACAACCTATTCATCCCTATTCAAAGTGGGATTACGTACCTGTAGATACCGTGGGTTACAAGAACATGGTCTTCGTCCTTTGAGTCGGCAATATGGTGCGAAAAGTTATGTCGAGCCGAAAACATGGCAATAGTACGACACGATTGTCCAACAGTGACAAGAACAAGACCTATATAAGTGTATGCATTTCATGCAGGATCATTTAGCACCTCTCTAGAATCAGAATAGACATGGATGACCGCTTACCAAGATAATTAATCAGACTAAACGATTTCCAGGACGGCAAAAAATAGTACTCAATAACAAATTCCAAGAAAGCTGCTGCATGCGCTGCATGATAATGTGCACTGTGGTTGATCAGATACGCTATGGAAAAACTATTCAGTATTTCACTCCTAGTTACTTTCTCTTTGTGACGCCATCCTCCCTTGCATCATCAAAAGGCTTATCATACATAAAAACAGAGTGAGGACTTACAATCAAGTGTCAGAGTATCAGGATTAAATAAAGCTGTAGCCAAATATTCTAAAAAGTGGAACAAAGCGAGCGCCGCTAAAAACAATCCAAACTGTGGAATCTCCCACTTCGGTTCGCATAACATGGCAAACACCAAACCACCACCGCAAACAATGCCGAGCAAAAAGCCATAGGTAGAGATGTTTTGAGGCGAATTCGACCCATCGAATAATTTAGCATTGTTGTAACGCAGGATGGTGCGTTGCTGCCTTAAGCGTTGGAACTCGTCATTGTTGGCAAGGTTGCTCGAAGAGGACGATGGTCGTACTAGTTTGATGCTGCTGGCGCTGCCATTATATACTTGTCGATACCGAACCCGTTCTTCAATACGGCGCTCGAGCTCATTCTCATCTATGTCGCTACTGTTGTCGCTGTCCATGGAGTGATGTGCATCAGACATTCTTTGCGGGGACCCTTTTTTGTTGTGAGCCTGAGGAGCTGGTCACGAAAAAAAAACGAATTTAATTGTCATGGAAATCCCCAATTAAGGAACTTGCCATAAATGATTTTTTTTTCATGCAGGTTACGCACATATACAGTAGATTTAAAGGAGACAAACGAGAAGGTAACAATACATTCTGCTATGCCCATCATGTTATGCCGTGGATTTATAAATTAGCAGTAAAAGGAAAACGACCAGTAATTAGCTATTTGCTAGCACTTTAAAAAGACGCAGGGAACTTTTGCTGTTAATCTACATACATAAACATACGGAAACATACAGTAATTGGAAAATGGTCAAAAAGAAGCATAATGGTGATTATAGTAGATTTCAGACAGAGCTACTCTATGTATATGTTTATCGTCTAGCTTTCCGTCGCCGGTAGATAAGGGTAGCGAATACAATAACGTTAAAGATGCAATAGATACAGACGATACCGATGTTCTGCCACTTGTGCGACTCGTCCCAGCCATAGATCTTGTTATAGTACTCCTTTGCGGTAGAATACATGCTGTGTTCACTTAGCTCGGTATTGCTTGGATTAATAAGATAGCCTTGCTACCAGATGTTGCAAAGAATCTCTCCATATATTCGTCGGATGTTTGGTTTGTCGGCGGGGTGAATTGGAAGAAGTCGTTGTCGTTAGGAACAACTGGGAGTGTTTGCAACTCTTTGACAATGAATCCTTCCATCACATAGTGGATCGGTACTATACATATAAACGGAATTTGTCCTTAGAAGCAAGAAGCCAACAGGAAGTATATAGACCAAGCTTACCAAGCCAGTACATCCAGGCGCTCCAGAAACGAGGAGGCGAAAATTGCGTTTGAACGACACCAGCAAAAGTAATTACTGTCGTAAGTACCAACAGAGTAAGAATCGCAGCGATTCACAGACTCTCTGTGAGGCCACCGAGAATAAATCCGAGCAAAACACCCCAGAATATATATAGGACCACCATAAGATAGTAGTACCAGAATTGTTCGGCAGTCTAAACCAGTCCAGTAGTCCAGTAAATTCCACCCATGTACAGTAAACAGAGTAAGCATATGTAAGGAGTCTCAACAACAATGGCTGATATGGCATATGGTGCAACTCCGTAGTATCGACTGGCGTGCTCTCTTCTGAAATAAATTTTCTCACTCACGAGCTTAGGCTGACCCATGGTAACCTATGTGATAGAACAGGATAATGGAAGATCAGCAATTGATGGTTTTAAAGTATCTCGTAGATCTGTTCGTGTTATATTAAATACCATCATATATACCAATGTCATTGCGCCAAAGAAGAGGAAAACTCGGTTTTGAATATCCACAAACGACAGTGATTTAAAAAAGGTAAAACTAAGGAAAAGCGAAATGCCCGCAATGGTAATGTATCGGCCTACTTTGTAACTAGACGAACGCCAATATACCAAGCTCATGCGTTTTAATACCAGGTACACTTGAGTCCAAACGGATGCAGCATATGTAAGTGCCTTGCGGGACGGGTTTGTATCAGCATTGTTATGGATAGTCTCTAACTCGTCATTAAGTGCCTTGGCATTTGGCGAGTTCGACCAGAAATCAGCCCAATTTCTTGTGGAGCAGATGTCACCGAAGGAGGAAGAAGAAGCGACTACATCGAGAATGTACTCGGCCCGGTTTGTGTCGGGCACATAGGATGGCCCACCGCTCGACTCCAAGTAACCAATAACTGTCTCTGCACCCTTGCCAATCTCACCGTAATAAGCAGTGCGAGCTCCGTGGACCAGCAAATGGAGATGATCAAAACACTCGAACAATATAGCGGACGGCTGATGAATAGTACACGAAACAGGCCATCCAGCATTAGCGAGCTTGCGTAAAAATCGTACAATGTTGTACGAGCTCTGAGCAACCAAATTAGAAGTAGGCTCGTCCGAAAATACTAGCTTGGGTTTAGCAACCAGTTCCACGGCAATCGTTAGTCGCTTGCGTTCCTCCATAGAGATTCCAAAACCAGTGGCAACATCACCGACTTGGGCATCGGCGATGTCCTTCATCTCCAACAATTGAATGATTTGCTCGACATAGACATTCTTTTCCCTCTTTGGTATACTGGCATCCTGACGCATGTAAGCTGAGAACTGCATGGCTTCAGGAACAGTGTCAGCCGGCTGGTGCTGATCCATCTGCTCGACGTAGCCGGTGATTCGCTCAATATCGTTCAGAAGCACTTCATTGTTCAAGAGGTACGGCCTTCGACTATGCCGATTGTCTTGCGACGAGCAAGAACATCCAAGAGGGTTGTTTTTCCGGCACCCGAGGAGCCCATCAAGGCAGTCAAATGGACCGGTTTGACGATACCAAAAACGTCGTTCAGGATTTGGAACGACCCGCCTATAATGGGTACCGGGTAGTTGACATGTTGCCAGGAGAACGTTGTACCTGTCGAAACGTTTTTGTCAATCATTTCTTCAGTGACTTGTCTTTGAGGTTCGAGCCTTGCTTTTTCCTCTGGAGTTGTTCGCGGTGTCGGTGCCTTTCCAGGGAGGTACAATCTTGTCAAGGATCCACTCCCGCCGATGCGTGCTCGTTTTATTTTGCATTACGAGACGAAAGTATATTAAATCCCAAGCCATTGTATTTTCCTCGTATATTTTTATGGTTCCCTCATTTATTGGTCGATCGATTGTACTGCCGCGATCCGAGGTGCTACAAAGAGGCGGACGAAAATACCTTTAAAAAAAGAAGCAAACTTGAAGATAAAGGCTTCTACAAGGATCCTAATGCACGTCGAGTGGTAGATATGAACAGGTATGTATTGTTAGCAGCAACAAATATGACAAGCTTTTAACAGTAAATTATGCGTTTGAAATATGCTTTTATATTATGTCAAGACGATATGAATGCAAAACCTGTCATGCCTCATTGGGTGCACACGACGAAAAATCTTGAAACAGCTGCCCGACGAACTAGCAGCAGAATTTCCCGCCATTTTTTCCTACCGGTGTGCTATCTCTAAAGATCTCATTGACATTTTATGACCATGTATGCAGCACGGTATGGGAGTTGCAAACTTTGCAAGAATTGCTACAGGAACTGCACCTCAAACGTCATATACGACCGCATATCATATACACCCTATATCAAATACATCGTCGAACGAACCCAGCTTACAAGGAGACCGAAAATTGCATCAGAAGCTACCCTGGGTTCTCGACAATCAAGGATCCTCAAGGAAACGCTGGATACGTTCCTTCTATACCATACTTTACACTCATATACAATGCTATCATGGATGCTCTTCGGCCAATTGTGGATAAACAGATGGTTATAATTGATGGAGAGATATTCAAGGGAGACCACACATTCAAGCGTTTACAGAAAGTTACAAAAATGGGTGATGCACCGACTTTTGGCCCTCTATATACTATATGTAATTAGTATGAGGAGATACGAATGCAATTGCTAGTCCACACCAAGTCATTTCGCATTTACAGACGCCTTTTCAGGAGATGATGAAAACATACGACATGTACGGGTATAAACCACCGAAGCTATTTTTTACTGACAACGACAACGTCCGGGGAGACAAGGCGTTCCTACTTGATAATATCAGCTCATTGAAGAACGGTCCCAAGATTAGCAGTTTGACTTTAACTGAATCTACCCGCGACAATCAAATATTACACCTACCAACCTTTATTACCACGCACTACATACGCAATGAAACCGAAACTGAAGAAAGAATTATGAACATCATCTTTTGTGATATTGAACCCCAAACGATTGTGATTGGTTTGGATTGCGAATAGAACTTCAGTCGACATGCTTTCCCTGGCAAAGTGGCAATATTACAGTTAGCATACAAGGTATTGGTTCTTTTCTGTTACACTATCGTTATATCAAGTTACAGCTTCACGACAACAAAATAACTTGTGGTTTAGAGCCACGTCTTTATCCTGCCAATCCACCAGTATAATAATATTCCTCCTTCTATCGAAACTCTTCTAAAGTCGTCTAAGGTCCTAGAAGCTGGCCGTAATGTTAGTGGTGACTTGAAAAAGCTAAAGTGCGACTATGGACTAGACTATCATGAAGGCACGGGGTTGGAGCTCGACATGTTTTCTCATAGACGAGGCTTCATAGAATGGAAATGTAGGACTACTACTACTACTACTAATCCTTTATGGTATGACAGTGAATGGTAGTAAAAAAATGATCTACAGCAAAGATATAATTCGGTCATTGCTTCATCCATAAAATACATTGCCTCTCTTGGAGTATATACAGATATTTGATGCTTAATGAGGCTCTTTCTTATTTATCCCGGATTTCAGATCCCGGATGACCGTGTACTTGCTCAATTTTGCACAGATCTTTTCATCAGATAGGGGTGGAGTAAATGACATGTGGATTTATAGAAACTAAAGCACCGCTGTAGAGCCACCTTCCTTTTTTGGATTTTTCAACTAACTTTTAAAGATTTTAATAGTATAGATGTGCAGCGCAGAAGAGAGCGAGATCGCCAAGAAGACGGAATGAAAGCTTGGCAAGAGTGGGCATTGCATCAGCGGCGACAATAAAAGGCTGTAGGTCATTTTGACATGCATATGCAGACACTGCATTAATGTATACTAGTTTCTGTTGCTTGACTTACAACCATCCATATCAGAAACTGTTGTGAATTCATCTTTTTGTCTTTATATTTAACAGTGGAAAATCTATAGGCTTTTCTGCAGAGAGTGGAGTGTGATTATCAGGTTGAGCAATGGCACAAAGTATATCAATAAGTCGTTCGTTATTTCTGTGTCTATTCTAGCTTTAGGCCGCTACACTTGATCATTATATAGTCAACATGGCTCGTCGTGAGTTGGATAGGATTGGATATAAACCTTATTCAAATCCGCTCTGCATGATCTTGTATATCGAAAAAATAAATAGAGTAAAAGACAATGATATGATAGAATAAAGTCTTTAAAATCCCTTTATGAATAAAGCAACATGTGGAGTGAACGGCTGAAAGAAAGCAAAATTGAATTTGCATTCGATCTAGTTTTTGTATTTAGCATAGATTGTTTGGATATGTGAATGAAGGATAAAATGAAGAGCTCTGTAATCTTTCGAGTACATAGAAGGAGAGAAAACTAAGTTTTGTCTTTCTGTCGTAATTCATGAAATAGAAAACCACAGGAGTAGACCACACAGAGAGAACCACAAAGAAGGAGAAGACCACACAGAGAGAAGTAAGACCATGAAGAGTAATACCGACAGGTAACCACAAAGATAATACGATGGTAGATAGATACCTTCTATTGTGATTATTGATGATTCCAAGGTATTTACATACAATATCAACATTACTAATACAATTACAGATCTGATGAAGAAGGTTGATGAGTAATCGTGGAAGGAGTAAAGGAGATTGGTGCTTTGAATGTTTTAGAGAAGTATTATCGCGATTGGTGTGGTAACTTCTTGTAAGCACAAAGGATAAAAGAGGAACACGGACAATACACACGATTGGTCCGTGGATCTCATTGGTTTATGTTTCAGGCCAAGAAACATGCTGCAACATTTCTCTCATAAAAACCAAAAAAGTCCCGGCTGCATGGTTCGAACTCGTGCATCCCGGGAGTCGTACCAAGCCGTAACCAACCGGCCCATACGACCCAATTCCGGCTGCATGGTTCGAACTCGTGCATCCCGGGAGTCGTACCAAGCCGTAACCAACTGGCCCATACGACCCAATCGTTTGCGAAAGCAAATACAGTGATCTGGAGTTTATTCTTATTTAAAAACCGCCGCCCGATTTCAGTGTGCTTTCAGTGTGCTTTCAGAGCCGTGATGCAGCAAATGGATAAAATTGGCTCCCCTACTTACATCCTTTTTTACACCACCTGGACTGCTGTGCTTCTTCCCACTCTAAGACTTTTACTGCCACTATGCTTGTCTCCACCACTTTGCTTTCTTCTCCTTTTTTATTTACTTTTTTTTTTTGCCAATTACCAAATCAAATTCTTCAACATTTTTATTTATTTGACCATCTACAAGTTTCTAGATTCGCCATCGCATTAGATTTCTTCAAAATGCTTTTTAAATCTGATGCAATTTCTATAATTCAAAACTTGTTTATTTTATTTTCTTCTCTATTACAACTACAGCAGCATGAAGCCAAAAAAGAAAAAGACCTGACCTGAGGTATTTTGCTTCTAAGAGTAGGTTACTTTTATTTTACATAGTAAATCAACATCCACTTGCCTCGCTTCGCTCGGCTGAATGAGCCCCTTCGCTGCGCTCTGGGTCATTCAACGGATTGGATGTTTCCTGGGGGTTCCCCCCAGACCCCCACCCCCTAGGGGTCGCAATCTGACCTGCAGGTCAAAACCGACCCACGGGTCAAGGACGGGTCAACGGGTCGGGTTGCTGCTTTTCTGACCCATGGGTCGACCCGTTGACGCGTCGTGACCTAAGTGTATATAGTTTAGATTTGGGACAGTACTAGTTATCCAACGGTTCCTTTATTCAAGTGTATAGTAAGATATACGAAAGGGAAAAAAGAATATTATGATGACATATGCGAATACTGTTTATTTTATAATAACTTTATATGAAGGGCAAAGTATGAAGATAAGGGGAAGCGCTAAGGCCTAACGGTGCAAAGTATATAGGATTTAATAAATAAGGATACCTGAAGACCAAAGATAACTTAGACTTTAGAGTAAAAGGAAGAATAGAATAGGGAAGGCCGTTAAAAAAGGAAACAGGAAGAAGTGTAAAAAGTAAGTGAGCAGTTTAGCAAGAGGAGCAAAAAAAATGAACGAAAGGAAAGAGGAGTGAAAAAGAGACAAATCAAATAGGAACGACAAAGATCGGAAAGTGAGAAAAAAAAAAGGGATAAAGGTGGTGGAAATTTTTTTAGTCGGTTGTTATTTTTGACCAAGCCTTTACCAAAACGCTTTCTTGTAATGCTTCCGGCAATAATCTGTTTCGTTCAGATGGCACGAATCCTTTGACATCCGAAAACAAGCGTTCGCAAGATGTTGACGTTGCAGGGATGGCGAGAAACTTGCGTGCCATTTTTGCTAACTGCACGTACGTTGTGCTTGTGCATTGCCAGTACTCCAATTCGTAGCTTACCGGTCGTCTATTATCGTCACCTTCGGCAAGTGCTGTCTGTGGCTCGCTTACATATGCTGTCAACTCATCTTGGATTCTTTGCCTCTTGGGACAGTAGCGATTGCGACATATCTCCTCAGGTGACAGTGCTCCAGCCTCATGGTCAGTGGTGCCACTCACAGCCTTGAACGTGCTCCATTCTGCTTCGACACTCATTCTAGCTGTCTCTTTAAATTCTGGCTCCCATTCCCGTTCATCCCAGTAAGCATACTTCAGGCACGGGTTCATTGCTGTGGCGACGGCATATACAGTGGACGAATCGGTTCTTGCATAATACATTTCAAGCTTTGCTTGGGCCTGTCTTGCTGCGTCACACAGGATTTGCGGATTTGACGTGTCGTCTTGGAAGTCTTCGAGATCGTCAATGAGCACGTTGTATGCGAAGATTACTTTGTTGATAGACGGGTAACTATTGATGGACCATGTTGCTTAAAACATTGCTGTATGTGATGCTATTACA